TATTTGGAGTAGTTAAATTGAGTTTATCTAATGTACTGCAAGTCTCCTCTGATCATTTCCAAAACTCTGTGCTCTTTTGAAGCTGAACAGCTGAAGCTACTAATTTTAAAATAGCTCAGCTTCCTATCATTGAAAAGGGCAAAGATGTTAATGAATCATATTTTCTTAATTAAACTGCATTGTCTCAATAAATTCTTCCTAAGCTTCTTGAATGATTTCCTGCACATATAGCTGTCAAAAGCATTTTATTGGAAAGTATAAATCAGAGTTCAGCGTCTGCTGTTAGTACTTTAAGTATTCCCTCAAATATTTTATTGCTTTGGAGGCATTGGCTATACCCCATATCTCAAGAATTGACCACCTGTAAGCCATTAAAACATCATTACACCACTCATTTGACAGGAGGCGTATTATTCTCCTGTGATTGGCTCTTGGATACACTGATGGAGATCCAGTATCTCACTAAAGGTTAAATATGCAAGATGAATAAGGCAAAATAGTGGAATTTAATATTGGCAAGACTGAAATATTCCAGAACCCTCGTCGGTGTAAATCAATGTTCTATGGAACATAGTAATAACTTTATTTACAATAAACCAAGATTTGAAGCATTTTCTTTTTCTCCAAATTGTTTTGTATAAACTGTATGTTACTATTACAGCTATAAAACTGTTTGAAATTGAACAAATTATGCAGCAAAAAAACCTGAAGATATTTTAGAGACATTTGATATTGGAGTCCAAATCACACATGGCAACAAACCTCTAAAATGGAAGAAAGTCAATGATCTAACCCATGGACTTGATCTGACCCCCTTCATGAAATTAGATTAAGTTATTGTACCAATTATATCACAGTAACTTCAGGAGACAACTCATGAGATTTTTTATGCACTAGGCCAGTTTTGCATTAAATAGAAGTTAAAGGTTCAGTTATTTGCTGAGGACTGCAGCATTTATGAGCTCAAATGAAAACAAAACATCACTCATGCACTTTAATTTTGATGGAAACAGGTGTGCAGTGAATTTCAAAGCATTACAATGGTGATCAAGGTGGCATCTAAATGCTTGTTTAGAAGTTTGTTTTTTGAATGACTTGATGGCTTATGCTGTCAATATCACCATCCATGTTCTTTAAGAAAACTTAAAAATGAAATGTTAAAATAGTTTTCATTCTTTCAAAGTTAGTAAAAATAAATTCAATACAAGTGAAATGGCAGTGCTTTAAACTCTGTTTAATGACACAATCCTATAGGTGTATGTAAAAAACACGAATTCTTAAATTGACATTCAATTCCTAAAGTGCAATAAGCATCAGCACAGAAGTGATATTTCCAGCTCTGCTCCGGTGTCATGAAAATAAAGGAAGCTTACATAAATCATTATAAAAACAGCTGACCAACATAGTGACTGACTGACTGTAAAAAATACACTTACAGTATATAAAAACTGTAGGATTTCAGTTGTGCAAAACAGGGATAATGATTGTGAAAAACTATTTTATTTTAAAAAACTATTTTAAAAAAACATTAGTGACAATTATTGCAATAATGTCAACAATTTCATTCTAAACCCCAAGCTACAGTAAATTTAATTTATATATAATAAATCCTTATATAATATTAGATCTTTTGTGGTAAAACCCTTAAATATGAATAAATTCATATACAGTATGTATTATCAGAGTTGTTACTGTAGGCCATCCAGTAATACATTTTTTGAGTACTTGGCAATTTTTTTTTCACAATTTGCTAATTTAAACTGAAAAAGACATCCCTGCAACAGTCTCATTTTATGCAGTGAGAACTGCTGTGCTTTTATTCTTTAACTTCTGCAATGCAACAGCCTCGGTAACTCAAGTCCCGGTCCCTCACCGCCGGGCGCCTGTGAGTCTCCTGGGTCCTAAAGAAAGACAGGACTGTTGCATGTGTATGTGGTCCCACTGCTGTGGGAGTCAGTGAAAGTGTTTGCTTCTTTGAGGTACAGTAGGGTTCGTTGGACCACTAACTGTTCAATAAATATTGCATGCTTTCTCCTTACCTCCTAAATAGGTATTTTATGAAGGGAATGTGAATCTGTTAAATTTCTGAATTAAAATATAGCAGGAGTCAAAATGTATATGTAATTATGTATATTTCAGGCACAAAGCATTTTCATCCTGGTGTGAGGGGTACAACTGGAGAAAACCTAGTTGTACTTCCAGTTTGGGATTTGTAAAAAGTCTCAGTTTTGGTTTTCTGTCCTGGTGGGCACACTGCTATAGAAGAAACCAGCAGCACGGTTACATCTAGGTGTTTGATGTCCATTTAGTCCACAAGCATGGCATGTCAATACTTGTCAATATACTGTTCAACCCACATTCTCACTAACAATTGTGCATGAGAATGTTTTGGTCCTTTCTTGCATGGGGGAGTGTTCAGATTCTTTGAAGATGATTTTGCTCAGCTGTAACTTAAATGCTAATCCAAGGCCTGGTTTAAATTAATTAACAGTAGATTTTGGCACAATATACTGTAGAAAGATTTTATTATGCATGTGACAAAGTTATTTTTATGTTTTAACTGTCACTAAATATATATACTTAAATTTAACTCAACAAATCAATATTCAGATTTTAAATGAATACTTAAAATCTTACTTTTTAAAGTGAACACAAATAACGAATAGCAGTAAAGCTGCTGTCTTTGTGTCAAATTCAATCAGGCAAAATTTGTTTCATTTAATTGATACATCTTTAAAAAGTCCATTGTAAGCTTAAAATTGTGAATTGATTATACACAGTGCTGATTACAAGCACAATTTCGTATCGTGTATTTCATTTTGCAATTAACCTAATTAGACTCTGTTCATGAAACAACAGGGCTTACAAGCAAAAGAACTTCACTGCCTCAAATGGGCATCTGTATATTAATCATAAAATGCAAAACAATCTGTTATAAACCGTTAAAACTATTCTAAAATAGCAGTTATATTATTCTGCTTTAGTATTGAGCTAATATTCTTTAAAAATAGATATACTTTATTTTATGTTAGAACATGAAACTTTAAAGGATGTGATAAAAACTCAAACTTTTAACAAAAAAAAGTCACATGGACAACTTTTTTTTTTCATTGACAACTCAGAACTAACTCGAAAAAGATGCCAGCACTTGAACTAAATGTCAGACATGCTCTCAGTAGGGTTTTGGCTGGAGATGTGCTGCCTTGGGTCAAGATAAAAGCTTTTCCACTGAGAGCTCCCAAGATCCTTTTCCAAAAGCTTCACTTTGCCTGCTGAGCAAGAGGAGCCCTCAAAAAATATATTTTTTCAAATATTGATAAGATGGCTGTTGGGTCTTAGGGATAAAGTAAGGTGAAGAGCAGAAAGGCAATATTTATTGGCCGCATCTTGTCTCTCTGAATGAAGATCCGTCTTCGTTAAGCGCTGTAAAAGGTGATGTATTGCAGAAGGCAGGGTAATGATCTGATCACTCCACCATCCCCTCACTAAATCATAAGCTGTTTCTTTCTGTTGTGTAGATGTTTAATCAGTTATACACCCCATTACTGATTTAATTCAGAATGTCACTAGCAGGTGAATTATATTACCATTCATGTGTTTATGTGATGTAGCCCTTCACAGCAAGAGCACGCTATTCATTAAAAAATCATAATCTTTCTTCAAACAGTGAAGGTCCAATTTGGGGAGTGCCAAAAAGAGAAGGGAAGGGTGTATAATGGAAAAAAAGTAAATATCCTTAGTTTGACCTTCTCTGTAATATCACCATGGCTCCCAGCAATATTTCAGGCATTTTGCAATTTATCTTACAAAAAATTAAAAATCGGAACTAAATACGCACCTCCTTGTGTACTCCAGCCTTCCAGTGATCTTCTATCACTGTCTCCTATAGGAAGAGGGGGCTTTAAAATGTAAAAAAAGATGTTTATCTAAAAAATGTGCTATGACCCAGGAATAAGTCACTTTTAGCAAATGGATGTATGGTGTAGAATACAAATATACAGCTAAATGATAGAGACAGTTTATGATAGAGGTAATACAGTATATGATCAATAATAATAATAATAATCATGCAATGAATACATTTTCAGAGCACTCTCTCACACACTTCACATCTCTAGCAAGAATATAGTGGAAAAAGCCCAGCAGACCGACATATTTAACCTATAGTAACACCTTATAAGACATAAATCTTTTTAGTGAAAAAATAGGTTTTTAGCATGTTTTGAAGGATCAATAACAGATAAAATGGTTCTAGACCAGTGCAGAGAAAACTTAGAAATCAAAAAGGCGCTGGTAGGCATTCTTACTGATTTGAAACATCTTTCTTTTGTGAATAAGCTATTTGTAATGGAAAAACACAATTGGATTTTGTTAATATGTGTAACATTGTCGGATGCTTTGCCAAGCACTGGTCTGAAGTCAGCCCATAATATTCAATTGTTAACTTTTCTGCACAGCTTGAGTCCATCATACCTGTCTGAAATTATTACTGCCTCTGTGAGTGAGCTTTGATTCCTATGGTTTCCTGCTTTTCATTCTATCCCTCCCCCCCTGTTTTAAAGCTCAATGGAGACTATGAAATAAAATGCAACTATGCGTAATAGAGTGTGCCATTTATCCTTGTTTGGAAAAAAAACAAAAGGAAAAAAAGGTAGTGTTTTAGAAATGACTTTCAAAAGTGCATGGATAGTAAGCTCTTCCTTTCAAACAAGGCACAAGTCTGTGGTTAAGTGCATCTACTTTATGTCCAACACCTACCCCATCTTTCATACTTAAACCCTTAATAAAGAGATGACCTCACTGAAATCATCTTCTTGCTGTGTCAGCCATGATCTTATTACATTTGACAAGTATTTGAATAACCTGTTAAGTCCCCAAAATGCTATATTATGTACAGATATCACTGTAATTATGTTTTCCTGCCTTGCAGTAATATTCACACTTGATCGGACATCAGGCTGGCAATTGCTGACTGTGCCTAATGTTTTGTCTTCCTCCAGACGTGGGATCTGTGGAAGGCCTGGCCTATCACAGGGCTTGGGATACCCTGTACTGGACCAGCTCCACAACCTCTACTATCAGCAGACACACCATTGACCAGAGCAGGGCTGGAGCTTTTTACAAAGAGGCTGTTGTCACGATGTCAGAAGAGGACCATCCACATGTCCTTGCTTTGGATGAGTGCCAGAAGTAAGACACTGATGCTCTGTATCAGTATATAACTCCCTTTGCAATCTTGAGTAAAGACAGGCCAACATTAAACAAACAATGCCTGAGCTTCCAACTGACGGAGCTTGTTGGCAGCTGTTTGCTTGTCAGAATCTTCTATTGTACTGCACAGGAAACCTACTGTCCCACCACGTCAGAGGAGGGGGAGGGTCAATGTTATGATGTGCAGTCACTACATAGTTAATTAGTGCTTCATTTTGCTTTTAAAAAAGTTTTTTCAAAGGATTACACAGTTATTGAGCAACACTTTGTTAAATTAAATATACTGTAAAATCTCTAGTTACACAGCTTGTGAATGCAAAGCATTGCTATACCCAGCCTTCAATGGTCACATAGTCGTTGAGAATAAATAACCATTGATTGGTTCTGCATTCATTCATGAATGTTACCAATACATGTGCATTTAAAACCCAAGATATTCTTTTTAGGTTTACTTAACATGGACATCCTCTCAATGCTGAAATTAACAGGAAAGTTAAATAAGGTTTAGTGTAGGTTAGTGGTGCATTCTACATACTGTACACTGCCTTAAAGAGATTATATTATAAGAATTATAAAAACAAAAAATTCTCAGATGTGACCAGAATGAATTAAATCCTCTGCTTTCAGCAGTGAAATGAGATCTGTCTGTAAGCAGAGAACTTTGAGGCTTTGCTCTGAAAGTGCATTCAAACTGAGACATCACCTAATTGCTTTAACTGCTGCTTATCTGAGAAAAACAAATATGAAATGACAGGCACCTGAGACAAAGCTGCATCAAGGTCTGCCATGTGGCTTACTGAGTGGAAAAGGGAGTACATCCAAATGCCTGGAACTCCCCGTGCTCAGAACAGCTCTCAAATGTAACTTTGACCTGGCATTAGGATAAAACGAGATCTTTTTAAATGTCTGACACAGAACACATTTTCCCAACCTGGAATTTGGCCCAGTTTCAATATACCCTTTGGAAGCTTGCAGTTAATTAAAAATTTACTTGAAATGATTTATCTTCCTGTACTTAATAAAACCCTTTTAACAAATTTATATTAGCTGTACTGTATATTCTTAATTTTGTAATCAGGTTAACCGGGGAAATTATTGCTGTAGATGCAATCCATGCTTCTTTGTGGAAACTTGCCAAAGATGAGCTAGCATCTTTATATGAATGTTTTACTGGATCTCATTAAATGTAGTCTAATTGATATAATACAAAATCAGATGAACACAACAAAGCAGAAAGCGGACAAGGAACAGCCTTTTATATACTACTCACTATAAACAGACTGTTTTTTTCTAACTGGAGCAGTTAAGATAAGGGACATTTGTCTGTAAGTGCTCCCACAGGCAGTCTGGGGCTGTGGTTGAGGTTCAACCCAAACTCCCTGTGATGAATTATGTGTAAATTAAGGGGATATTGCTCTTGTGAAGAGACAGTGTGGGATATACTCCGAAAACCTTTGGCTTCAGTAAGTTTTTTTTCTGAGGTCAGCTGCTACTAGGAAGAATTCACCAAGTGGACCTCTAATAGGTGTCAAATGCACAGTGCTGACCATGACTCACACCATTGGAGAACCAACACTGTCCTTCCTTGTACTGTAGGTAAAAGATTGTTTCTGATAAACCTTCTCTTGCTTGTCCTTAGACCTCTATTTAACTATCACTAAATTAACCCTTTTTTCCAATTTACCTTTCTTCTTGCATCAGTCTGAAGCACTCTCTCTGTACAAGTGCCCCTTTTTACCAAATTACCTGTATTCTGGGTGACACATGCTGTCTGTATACACAGCAGCACCTTTGAAGAAGCGAGGCTGTGTGCAGAAGCAGCGATGATGTTTTCAGCTTTATCCTCACCACTTTAAAGTGCTTGTGTTCTATGAGTGTTGAGATAGAATCACTGATGTGGTTTTGACTTAATTGTGTCCATCAAGGGCTATTTCTGCAGAACTTAATGACTACCTGACCATTGAAGGCAATGCTTTTGGATTCTCTGTACTGTAGCTTTGACATCATCACTGCAGGGAATGGAGAGGGTGGTGGGTACAAGTATTAAATACTGTGTTATCACAAAAACATAAAAGCACAAATCGGAGTAAATATAATTAAATACATGAAGTCACTGGTTTAAGCTCTTACTGTGACCTATTCAGTGTACTGTATGTAGCAGATGTATACATACATTTGTTCAGAAATCGTACACAGCTATGAATGTTATTATAAAATGCTTATAAAATAATTTGCTTAAAATAATTTTAGTTTCATATTTACTAGATTTTGCATAACAACCGCATAAAACGTTTTAATAGATTTGTTACTACTGATGGTAATAGTCAGTTTTATAAGTCCTCAATATAATGAATATAGTTTAGTAAAAGAAAGAATTACCAGAATACATGCAAATCTGCCTGAGGTTTGTGTGTTTCCTTAGTTATTCTGTGTATCAACTGCAAAACTGTCCTGCCTGCAAAACTGTAAAAACATTGAAAGACGAATCTACAAGAGCACCCAATTGACTTGTTGAGACATTACACTACAAAAATAGGAAGAGACATTTTGTAAAAGCTGATACATTCAGTATTACCATTTATATGTTTACAAAGAAATGTATTTATTAATTTATGTACTGTACAGTGTGTGACAGAAGACTGTTGTTGTGACAAAGAAACTGAAGACCAGTATCAATGTTTTCATCAGTGCACTGATTGGTAATTTAATCAGAATCTTGTTCAGGGTAATCTCGACACAATGTACATTTATGAACAGTTATATAGTTCAAGTAGGGAACTGCGTCAGCATGCATAGCCTGCAAAGGAACAAGTAACGGGTTTATTTCATACTGAAAAGAAAAGAAAGGAAACACAACGTTTCAGCCACGGAGCCTCTTCAGGCGTGAGAAAGACAGGGTGGACTGCAAAGATTAAATAGCACAGGAGAACAAAAGCTGGGAAAAGAGGAGGGAAAGGGGGGAGGCAGAGAGGCCACTCAGGAAGTGCAAAGGGGAGAGAGGTGAAGAGAGGTGTGAAGTCAAAACCTGCATGAGAATAGAGAAGACTACACCAAAATAAGTCCGTCATTGAGGGAAGAGAAGGGGGAAGGTGTCTACATTAAGTTATGCAGATAGGTACCGATAAGAAAGATACACTTTCTTTTTAATTAACTGAATTTGAATATAATAATAATAATAATAATAATAATAATAATAATAATAATAATAATAATAATGCACTCTTACTGACTGCATTTATTGTATTGTATTACTGTATTATTGTATTATCACATTTTACTGTGCTGTGTTGCTGCTCTTGCACTGCAGTTTCCCTTACAGTATATCTACTCTATCTACTAAAAATCATAAACAAGTCTGAAAAGGGTAAGCAGATCGGTGAGACAGAAAAAAGTGTGCTGTTTAGTACAAAAACAATTGTAGGGAATTTTAAATGGCATATGATTTAAATTTTAAATTTTAACTGGCATATAATTTTTGATGACATTTAAGGTGCATCAAAATGACAGGCCTGGAAAGCTCTGGTGGATTGATCTAAAATTACAGAAATGTGCTGTTTTAATTTTGGACAGTATTATAATATGATGTGTAAAAAAATAATTATGTCAGTTTGTCAAATATTAACTTTCTATTCAATATATGGAATTGCAAGAAAATGTACAGTAGGTTGAAGAATCACCTGATATACATGTAACTGTTGTCTCTGTCTGATATCACTAAACATTTGCTGTCCTTTTATAAATGATTTAAGGAAGCAAACAAAATTGAGATCTTGATTTACAGTATGGAAAACTTATGACCAACTCTTCTACATGCTTCATACATTTTATAATTTCATGCACAGCTCTTGCTGAAAAGGCAGATGTACTTACTAGGCTTAAGTTATTGTGAAAGACGTGTCTTTAACACAGATTTAGTCAGACAGTTAAATACTGTCTGGAGCTTTAACTTTATATAATTCATAGCCCATGATTGAGATTAAATTATTAGTGAGGGTCTCATGTATAAGTTACCCTAAATAAGTAATCTTCAACACAGGAGTAAAACATTATTGCTTGTTTCTGTCATTTTTTCCCAAACTCCAGAGATGATTGCCATGTTAAAACAGCAAACACCTAATAATGCTGAGTTTCTTTTGAACACTCTAGCCTGATGTTCTGGACTAACTGGAATGAGCAGCACCCAAGCATCATAAGATCCACGTTATCTGGAAACAACATGCAGGTCATCGTTAGCACGGACATCCTGACTCCCAACGGACTCACAATTGACCACAAAGCAGAGAAGCTGTACTTCTCTGATGGAAGTCTGGGAAAAATTGAAAGGTGTGAATATGATGGATCACAAAGATATGTAAGTAACTTTGGTTTGGTTTTGAGCTACAATATGAGCAAACTAACCTAAGAGACATATTACTTTATTCAGAAGCACAGCATAAAGAACAATGTCTTTTGCTAATTCACTAATAAATCCTTACTACTAATAACATGCACAGGGAGAAGCATGTGAATAACTGCTTACACATCCCTTTATGCATAGAGGGTTCCAAGGAGTCATCAAAGACCAAGTTAAATTTCACTATTTTTTTACTATAACACATTTTAAGTTTGTTCCATTTTTGTTCAAGCAAGTATACTCATTAGAATATCTTAAGATTTAAGACAAGACAGATCTGTATGAACTATGTAGTGGATCATAATGGTCATTCAGCTCATGCTATTTTGATGTTAGCAAGGTGGATGTACAGTATGTATCTCACATTTCCAGTTCAGTTGTGATAAGATCAATCCAGAATATTTTCATAGTCTCCCTGCTCAAACTTCAGAGATTGTGAAAATGTTTCTTGGGTCAATAAATTTCACTTGAATTAAAATTGATGATATGTATGCTTTCATATTTGTAATACCTATTAGTGTTTCATCACATTTTTTCACATAATCACAAATTATTTTCAGATTGCTCTGTTGGGTCATTTAAAATCAAAGCACTGGTTACTGCCACAGCTCAGAGTGTGAGGGCTCATAATAAAAGCAACTCAAGTGACTGTTCCAACGAGCACACATACTGTACTGTACATCATTTTATTACAAAATGGCATCCATGAAATCCTTATTTACATAAAAAATACTGATGATAACATGATTCACTCAAATAAATAATCTTCTTTTAAACTTCTTTAGCAATGGTTAATGTTAAGTGCCCTGAAAGCTTATCCCAGCTATCTGTAGTTCCAGAGGCTCTGATTATTTAACAGCTTGACCTTACAATTTATGTTAGAAAAGCTGTGAAGTGTGTAGAGTGCAAAAACTGATAATAAATAATAAAAAATCCAATGCCTTTTAAAATGTTATGTATTAACAAGGTCCTAATTTGTCCAAGCTTTAGTAACCAGTGTCTTTGTTTTTATTTTACATTAGTTTAATGCCACTAGGGTACCAGCAGCAAATTAAGAAGATCCTTACACCATTTTTCTTAATATGTAAGAAAGTGTGCTAAGCAGCAAATGCAGTATTTAATTAATGGGGCTCTTCAACTTCAAAGAGACAGACAAATGAATCAGGATTAATCAGTAGTCTTTATCTAGAAATGCATGTATTGCATCAGGATCCTCTGTGGAGATGTGTTTTGCAGGTGTCATGTTTAAAAACTCCGGACTGCACAATGATCTCTTTCTTGGCTGGTCCCTCTTGTATGTTGAAATTTGCTCCTGACAAGATCCCTCAGAATTGAGGCCAAGCCCACAGCAATTAGTTAACCAAGAGCCAGCATGCCTGGACTCTTCCAGTCAAGAATGTCATCCACACTCTGCTCTAATTGAACTAACAAAGACCCATTTAGTCAGTTGTGCCAAGTTACCAATTAAAATGTGAAAGTTTAAGTGAATAACTGACTTTCAGCTAATCACCTGACAACCATAATGTCTCCCTGTTTTTCACTCTTGGTTGGGCAAAAATAAAATTGCAAGTTTATATTACACCTTTTAAAAAAAAGTTAATTTTAGCCTCAGAGGTGTAATCTCAGTTTCACAAACAAAACTACAGTACACATCACTTTACCTATGTACCTCATACAAAAATAAGTTTACGTAATGAATCTGTCTGCATCTGACTATACATTCAGTTGCTTTGCTGTATGTACTATACTGATACTGTACAGTATGTGTGATGGACTCTTTGTAAAAAAGAAATCCTTGTGACATACAGCAGCTACATTATAATGTCTGTGTTTGCTGTCTGAATGCATGAGTACTTGTGTGAAAACTTCAGTTGGTGCTATTGCAAACTCACTAGGTACCACCTTGTCATTACTTTTCTGTTTGATATTTTCAGTTTTAGCCTATAATTTCAAAACATGGAAAATAATTGTTGTAGGGGGAGAAATGAACGATTCACAGCCCATTAGCAAAGAAAGTTGGACTCACATTGGCACAACACTGAGTCCTTAAGTAGCCTTTGTTAAAACTGTGCTAGGAAAATTGCTTATCATGGGAAATGGCATTCTAGCCTGGAATCACTGTATGGCGGGCAGCAAGCAGCAAGCAAATTGATATTTAAATGCAGATAACATGAGCTACTCTCCTAGAATAGTATTCATATTTTATCTAGTAACATCATAATTATTGCCACATTGTTGTGGAACTTAATGTAACTGCTTTTTAACCACTGTCTCTTTTAATCTCCACACTGGTTCTTCTTACGGATGTGGCTGACTGAAGCAAACAGAAACACAGTGAATGTATCTTACCCATGCAAATGCTCAAAGCTTTTCTTAATTTTTAAAAATTAACTGGTTCTGAACCGCTGCTCAAGGTTAACAACTAGCAGACTGCCACTAGAATAAATATATGAGGTTGACAGGTTAATTTAGTCCTGAAACTATCCATTTGGCTTCAGTATTAGTTTCCATATGAAAACTTTACAGTACAAATCATTATTCATCGAATTTGTATAGTCTGTTGATTAAATTAAAAAAATGTCGCTCAACATTCATGTTTTATTAGTTTTATTAACTTCTTTTTTACAGTACAGTTCATTAACTTTAAATAGTAGCGAGTGCCCTAATATACTGCATATCATTTTGTTAAACAGCTTAGTTTCTGAAGTAATGTGTAGTAATTTGTCTGAGGTAGTGTGGATAAGGATGTACTGGTCCCCTCTTCTACAGTCTTCAGCCCTGCTCAGGACCAGAAGCAGGGTTGCTGGTTGGTACACCGAGTGAGTCCCTAACTGATGTTCACAGCTGAGCTGAGCCACACGCGCCAGTATGCGGGGACTTGCTTGTCTTTCAGCACTGACACCGTAAAGGCGAACCACACTACTAACCCCAAGCGCAAAAAGAAGTTAATGCGTATAGTATGGGCGACTGAGCCCAAATACTGTAGCTAAATTAATAATAATAATGGGGACTCCCCTCCACCACCACCAATGTGCAGCATCCGCCTGAATGATGTCATGGCAGCCATAGTACACCAGAACACTCCCCACACATTAGCTATCAGTGGGGAGGAAAGCAGAGAAATAAAACCAATTCATAGATTGGGATTATTAGAAGGCCATGATTGGTAAGGGCCAATGGGAAATTTGTCCAGGACACCGAGGTTACACCCCTACTCGAGAAACGCCCTGGGATTTTTAATGACCACAGAGAGTCAGGACCTCGGTTTTATGTCTCATCCAAAGGACAGCACCTTTTTACAGTATTTTTGGTCTTTAGGCTGTTAAATTGGTAAAATGGCATAATAAAATAAATATCTAAAGTGAAACGGTTTCTTTTTCTGAGCAAAAAAAAATTACCCACTGAAGTTACTCGGCTAAATCAAATTAACTTTAATGGACTTTTCTCAAGTTTAATTGCATCCTCTAGAAGTCAGTTGAAGAGAGGCAGTTAATCCAAAAATACATTTTGATTATTTTCATGTCAATTATTTTCCATGATACTGGAATTGTTGTACCCAAAATGAGTATTTCAAATTTGACCCTGAGTGTAAAATTGTAGTTAAACCGAAAAGAAGACATTAGAGCTGTAATATGATCTTGTCTTTGAAATTAATAGAGGATACTTTGCTGTGCTCACTTCTACTGTTATTCACCCAGAAATACATGTTCACCCTGAGGTTACTAGTAGGAGAAGTATTAATTATAACAGAGGAAGCGATCATTTAAAAATGTATATTGTTCTGTTAAATGTGGTCCACAAAATAACTTTCGTTTGAAAAAATAATTATTTTATCTTTCGCTTTGCGAGCTCCCCGGCGACTCGCGGAAGCTGCGCTGCTGTTGTCCTTCTCCAGCAGAGCTGATGGAGACATTGATAAAAAAATCCCACATACACCCTGCTTTGGCCCGAGCTAGAGTCATCTCATGACCTGGTTCGGCTCGGCTCACGTACCTGCCAATTATTAAACCAACCGTACAGGTGTGAGTGTGCTATTGTAAAAAGGCACTCGAGTGCACTGGAGCCTTAAATCAATTGCTTCATTTATTAAGATGACATGCACAGCGCTTAAAAGCTAGGACAAGCCGATCAATTGAGTTAGACAATATGTAAACTTTCCAAATTATTACTGTCAGTTTTTTAATTTTATGTATATTGTATTTTGAAAACTTCTGCTTCCAATAATTATTACAGAGCATGCTGAAGGTATAAATGTATTTCCTGGTGCAAATTACAGTAGCTCAGCAGAACTTTTTTCACCGGTATCAGTCACTGAAGCCATTTCCCCAATCACCTAGAAAATACTACTCATTTCAGTCATTAGTGCCCTGCACTAATGGAATCTTGAGTGCTTTCTTACTGATCTGAATGTCCAGCTGTTTCTGAGACAGGTAATTAATGCTGCAAACAATCTGTGCAGCAGAGGCCAATGGTTAGCAAATCCAAATCATGACCTACTGTACCTTTATCTGCAATCCTAACTTTAAAGGTAATTACAACCCTTCTGGACGTGTAACTGTAACCTGGACTTTAATCTTCATCACAACTCTGCTTTTAACTGTAATCCCTACTGACCCTTGTTTTAACCCATATACTCAGAAGGGAAGCAGTGGTGGGATTCAGCAGTGAAGACTAGTTGATTAATTGATTGAAACATACATATTTTACAAACTTTGGATCAGATTTGTGATGGTTGGAATGAGGGAACCTTCACATTGGGAAAACCATGAATAAAACATCTGTGTGACTCATCAGTTAAACTGAAAATGGAAACATGATCATTTCCAGGAATATGATGGTTTTACTTGTGTTTAAATGTACTGTATACTAATACAAAGCAACTAGGATGGAAAAACATACAAGGGATTGTGAACAAATATGATAGGAACTGATTGGTAAAATATAAAGAAAGTGAAAGATTTGCTTGAAGAACATGAAAAGAATACCAAATACAGTTCAGGCCTTAAAGGCTATTTCGGCCTACAGTAATTGTTTTAGCATAACTAAAATAAATCTGTTAATAATGTTGCTAAGATTGGTTTCAACTTACTGTATGCTAATAATGTTTGAACTTGGTTTATATACCATATATGTATGGTATAGTTATACACAAAACATGTCCATAGGTTTCATAAACAGAATACTTCAATATCAAGAAATTAGTTCTTTAATGTGCAATTAAACTGATGCCCCAAATTAATATTCAGTCAAGGTTTTCATCTGTTCTGCTGTAAAACCATCTGTTGTTCTTTTAAGATGTTTCTCCCTATTTAACAGTTGCTATTTGCACATATTCAGTTATTTTAATCATTTTTTGTGTTTTATTCATCGTTATATTGCAGGATAAAAGTTGGTTCCATACAAGCATGTTTGACTGATGGTTAGAATTTAAAAGTCAATGAAAATTCCCTGGGTCTCTCTTGAGTGAAATAATACAGTCCTAATGGGAATGTTTGATGTGTTACTGTGTTTGCGGCTCCCATAGTTCAATTTAGTCTTGCAGTGTCTGATCATGAGCTGTTTGAGAAATGATGATGTACCCTTGGCTCTAAATTTTTATATAACATGTCCATCATACCGATTGTTTGAGTTTTTTTTTGTTGTTGTTCTTTTTTGCTGTGTATTAACTGTCTAATCTTTTGTACAATACATTATAATCCTTTACAGTATATCTGCATAAAATAAATTCCTCCAATTCATTACAAAATTCAATGGTAATGGGCTAAGCACCAATCTGATGAATTTTCTGATGCTTAAACATACCTGGTTTGAGTTACATACTGTAGATGGCTTGTTCTGTTATGCTCGGCCATCAGATGTCTTTATTCTATTAAATGCTGTTTTAATGCCTTATCCCATTTGCAGTGTCAACTATCTAAAATGTAAAAAAAAAGTTATACTTCTGCTAGAAGAATAGTTATGCAGATTGAGCTTAGTACAACAGTAGACTTAAAGACCAGTGGCTCAACCAAATTTTATACCTTAATTTAATTGCTTTTCTACTTCATTCAAACCATAGGTCATTGTGAAGTCAGGGCCAGGAACCTTTTTTGGCCTGGCTATTTATGGCGACTTCATCTTTTGGTCAGATTGGGTGCGGAGAGCTGTTCTACGCTCCAATAAGTACACAGGAGGTGAAATGAAGGTACTTCGAGCAGATATACCCCACCAGCCAATGGGAATTGTAGCTGTGGCCAATGATACGAAAACATGTAAGTATTCATGTTGTGGAAAATAAATCCATTCATTTTTTATCAAAGCCTTTTCATCCTTAGGAGGATTCATGATTAATTGGAACCAAACACAGGAGAACAGGTAAAATCCACATAGAAGGGTTCCTTATCCAGAGTCAAACTCTGGACCTGAGGGCTGTGAGGCAGCAGCACTCTTTGCCACCACTGGGAATAAATTTCTGCTGTAAAGGAGCAACATTTATTGTAATCCATACAGTAATGTTTCTACTTGCACATTACAAAATGAATGTATTTTGACCTCTTAAACCAGCCCAAATGATATATTAATAGGACCAAATTTGACTGGAGACATATTGTACAAATTAAAACACGATATCCAGGAATCACAGTGGAAACCTGCATGGATTTAACTGTTGAAAATTAATCCAGTCAACTAACTTGTGTAGCTTCATAATTAATTAAACATTACAAGTGGAAATTCCACTTCCAGGGGGAATTTAAGAACAAAAAGACGCTAACTAATGACAGAAGACCATTCGCACATCTAGCCTATTTTGTAGTTAATTAATCCAAGAATCTCATCCAGTCATCTCATAAAAGATGTCAGAGTACAACCACATGACTGCATTGCTTGTTCCCTATGGTTCTCTTGCGCCCCCTGGTTCATGTTTCACTGTTCATTGTTGAGAAATCTGTAGGGTCAACTTTTTCAGGGCCTTCAAGGATTTTGATACAATTCTTGTTCTGTATCAGATCTCCTCATAGTGGTCTCTGCTCAAGAATAAAAATGCTCAGTTCCATCAGTTTGGCAGTGTAGGACTGCAATTTTCCTATGGAATTTGAGTGTCATCAGAAAGGGTAAGAATATTTGAGCTATGAGAAGGCATCCCTGGGTAAATTTAAGTTCCAATTGTAAAGTAATACAGTTACAGCCCTTTGGATTTCATCTACTCATATGTCAGTCCTGTCTCTCAGGGTATTACACACTGTATATCTGCTGAAAACTAATCTTTGATGTTTTCAGTTTGCTCTGAATTAAACCAGCAACAAACAACAGCCTTCTGTAATTGATGATGAGAACAGTGAGGTAAATCAAATGTCTACAATTTCTGTCTAATAACATTGGAAATCCAGTGCGGGTAAATATGAGCCCGATTTTAGTGTGGATTTAAAGACAGTCTGAAATAATCCATTTAAAATTAGGGGATATATATTTGTTTTCATAAAACAATGACCGTTGTTTCCAAGCAGCTTGGATTTTCTCATTTTCCCAAATGCAAACAATATTAACTTGGACCCAGTTTGAATTTTCAACGGCATGCAGAGATGTTTGTGTCCTCTGCAGAGCACTTTCATATCTGCTGTGAGCAGCTGACAGCATCATCAAGAGCCAGAACAGGGAGTGTTTGCCTGTCTGATCCACTCTCTACAGGAGAACGCTGTGGCTCAATAGTTTGATGTTTTCTCTCGTTTTGTACTACCAAGTATCATTTTATACAGAAAAAACAACTGTGGTAATGAACAGCAACAAATATGCATTAGATCAGTTAGAAATATTATCTTCTAAAATGTTAAAATATATGTATTTTTTTTCCTGTATTGTGCTGTATTTTCAATTTTCCCCGGACATTCACATTTAAATAATTTTCTGTTCTGCAAACCAAATACAGAAGCTTTTTTTGTGTTTTTCTTCTTCTTTTGAAATCCATGAATTTGCTTTTGTCTGAAGCTACTCATCAAAAGATTATGCTGGTAAACATGCATTCAGATTATTTTACTACTACTTACAAAGATGATAACTTGTTGTCTTCTGATATAATGTGTTCAATCAATTTATGTTGCATAAACAGACATGTAGAATATGGAAAATTATCAACATTACTATAATGCTTTCTGTTCCTTCTATGAAGTGAAACTTTATGTTGCTTCAGGTTTGCTCCAATTATCCCTCTCTTCCCAAAGGTTTGTTGTCATTATCATCTGCAATTATGATCATCATCATCTTTTTCAAACTGTGAAAAATAGGTTACAATAATTAAAAAGGAAACATAGCTAAAAAAAAATCTAGTTCTGCAGGAAGACAGGATTTCCCAGGAAAGATGACTTCTGTCACTTCACAGCTTACATTTGACACAGTGCAGCCAAGTGAAACTCTGCCTTTTGTGCTGGGGAATGGAATACTTCAGTTCTTGGCTCACTTGGCAATGCAGTAGACTCCAAAGTGCATGGTTCATAACTTCTTTCTATATGGTGCTGTCAGTGCCAAATACAGTTCAAAGAGAACTCGCCAAAAGCCTGCCCCCTTTTCTCTAATGTTAAAATTGTCCTTGAATTCTTGGAAAAGCTAAAGCTTAAAACATGTTCATCTGGGAAATTAGTATTTGTGTTAGCACATTTTGCTCAAAATACATACACAATTAAAACTGTTTGCCTTTATGTACACTGTGTGAGGGTGAGGTATCAACATTTGACAACCCCCAATAAGTGAATCACTGCAGCTGATGAGACATGAATTCTTCAAAAGTAAATCTAGAAATATTATTTTATAGGGTAGTGCGATATTTTCAACATTGTTTTTGTACCACTGTCAATCCTAAATAGGTAATGCTGCACATTGGGTACTTTTAATTTATAGTGGAAAGGATAGGCATCCAAGGATCGGGAGAGACTGTGTTTCTAAAAGACAGGCATTTTTAGGCAAAAAAATGTATTGTCTGATAAATATCCCAGTACATTTCATCAAAGATTCACTGTGTGCTTTAAAATGTCATGATATTACTTCCTGCTATCTTAAGAAACATTATGGAGTGTAATATATTATGTTGTGAGTGAGAATGAGGTACTTTAAACTATGCCATAGCACGTTGCAAAGCATTTTGTGCCCCTGTTTTACAGGTGAGTTGTCTCCATGTCGAGTGATGAATGGAGGGTGTGAGGACCTTTGCATTTTAACTCCAGATGGCAGGGTGAACTGCACCTGTAGGGGAGAACGAGTATTATTAGATGGTGGCAGATGTGTGTGTAAGTCCTGGAGTACTTTCCCGCATTGTATAAATTGTTCCACACATGCAACCCTTTAGACACGTTCTTAGCACCTTACCAAATACTTTTCACCTGCCTACAGTTTCAAATAAAATGATCATGTGCGATGAAACATACACAAAATCATTTATGTGAAAATTAAGCCCGGAAAGCTGTAACTTCAAGATTTGGGGTGTTAATGGCTCTCTTGATCATAACCATATTTTCTGTTAGACGAAAACTTGTTATTGAAAAGCATTTTATTCCATTTTCAAATCCTTCTGGTTTTCCTAAGCAATACATGGCTTTTGTTTCATTCCTCTTGCATTATTTGCCTTTGGGGTAATATTTTCAGATTTCTGGTGATTGGCATACTGTACTGTATGCTCTGAGGGACAGAGAAAACATGCTACTGGCATCTTTTTTACATTGACATCTTCCATTTGCCCCACACCAGTGGACTGAAATGATAGACATTTTTTCTCACAAGTGATCAAGTGGTTTGTCTGACTCCCTTTACATCAACAAGTTTTAATATGTTGTAAGTCACACAAGACATTCACTGTTAATTAACTTGTCCAGTACAGAGGAAAACAAGTTAAAATGAAGTGTTGCTGCTCAGTGGAATTCAGGTTTAAACAACACAGAACAAACAAGCAGTTCAACTTTAAGGGAGTTATTTTACCAAATTATGAACTTCTTTGTTTTTGCCATTTTTCAGGCAAATCATTAATGCTAATATTCTAAGATTAGTTATGAGGCTGTGCAAACATGGATTGAATGTCGCAGATGACCTAGTTTAGAATCTTGGTAGACATCCCAGAAGAATCGTAACTTCTGCTACCTAAGCACAAAGCACTAAGCTTAAACACTGAACGTGGAACCAGTGGAATTGAAAATGAGTTATGCTGTGCACAAGAGAGCCAGAGGCATAGCAGATGGTAGATGCTGCTTTTGGACTATGAACTATAAGAAAAACGTTAAGATAATACTTCTTAATCTATATTTTACAGCTAAAAACTCATCATGCAACATCCACATGGAGTTTGAATGTGGGAATGGTGAATGTATTGACTACCAGCTAACGTGTGATGGAATAGCTCATTGTAAAGACAAGTCAGATGAGAAGCTGCAATACTGTGGTAAGAAACAAAATTATTGTGGATGCTATTTGTGTACATAAATTGTGCATACTGTAAATGGTGCATAAATTAAAAACTCCAATGTCAGAAACATTAACCCATGAGTCTTGATTTGGTCAAAATAGAGTTTTGCCTTCTTATATTGTTTTGACAAGAATATAAATTTGAAGAAATGCCTTAACATAATGGATTTATTTTGACACACATAGTATAATAAAATAATATTCATTTTTGTGTCATTCTTACTTTTATTTTTTGTTTGATGTCAGACAACAGGAACTGTAGAAAAGGTTTTAAAAAATGTTACAATCAACGATGTGTGGCAAATAGCCAATTTTGTGATGGTGTGGACGACTGTGGAGACAACTCTGATGAAGCCTACTGTAATAGTAAGTATTTTGTGATACCTTCTGTGATAGCCTAGGTGTCAATATGTACAGTATAACACACGTTGAGTTTTTAAAATACTGAGTACAGAAAATATGTATAGTGGGTGATTAAACATGCATTTTAACCCTAATTGCTCATTTTTAACTTTCTATTAAAATATAATTTTTATATTTAACTGAAAATATTTTTGTTCCTTTTATTTAAAATGGTAGTAGATAAAATTTTTGAAGTCATTGGAACCAAGCTGTAGTTTACTGTATTTTGCAAACACAAAGACTTATACAGACATACTGTAAACACATAGTGTAAGTATAGACAGTCTGTGGTTGGTGAAGAAAGCTACGATGCTTTCACAAGTTTGAGTTGTTCAGTTGTTGCTGTAAGCTACAAAGAAAACCAAGGTACAAACTTACTTTCATAAGCATCGAAGTACAAAAGCAGGTACTTTAAAAGTGACTGCAAATAATTTTCTAATCTATTTTTTAGTTTTAGTTTTAGATTTTTTTTTCTTATTAGTGACACCTAAAAATTCAATTTTGGTAATGCTTGCATCAGACTATACCATTGATTGAGAGCTTGTCTAACTGTTGTTTATTTCAGTTAAAACTCATACAGTGAAAGGTGTTATGCTATAAGACAATTGTGCTACACTGATATTCTGTCAACAATGTCTAATATCTTGAAACTGAGAATTAGAGATTTTGAAAATGTGATGCAATTAGTGGTAGACGCTAACGTACTGGTGTTCATGTGTTTTGTCACCTCATACTCATGGTCAGCATGTCCAAGGGGCCTCAGATCAGGGTACCTCTGAATAAGCAAGTGAACACACAAATGTAAGGGTTACTTGGTCTTGTTAAGTTTTATCCTTTTGCATAACACCACCTTTCATCTTGCCTTCAGAGCCTTTATGGTAGATGTATGCAGCCTGGGAAAAAGTTATTGAATTATACAGAGGTACCTGGTTTACATATACTGTAAAGTAGTTCTATTGCTACTTTTCAAACTTTAACATACAGTATACCTTTATATGGGTATATTCAGATTTTTCATTTACATTCTGGGTGTGAGCAATCTCAAGTCCTAAGGTTTACCATTCGTACATTTGCTTCCTCTTAACAATCAATCTTTGAGGCCAATGTCCTTATAAGCAAAAAAAATGGGTCTGCAGTAAACTAATTGAAATTATTGTGAATCGATCCATGTAGGCATCAATTTTCAGGACGCACTCATTCCTGGTGAGGGTTGTGACCACCTTGGGTCTGTCCAGGAAGGACTGGGTGCAAGGTGGGACACACAAAAACACAGGGACAATTCAGAGACACCAATTAATGTAACCAACATGTCTTTGAAAAATGCAAGGAAACCAGATCACTGCATAAAACCCATGGAAACAAAGGGAGAACATGGTTCTAGAGCCTAAAATTGAACACAGCAATCACAAACTATGGCAGCATTGTTGTAAATATATTGTACATTAAAGTTATATACAATATATTATCTATATTAATATATATATAGTTTTTCAAATGGTCCATGTTAAGCCCCAAGAACATGGAACATGGCTAATATGTCACTGTAAGAAACAGTCCCTTGTTTTCTGTGCAGTATTCAATAGAAGAATAATAACATTAATAAATCTGTCTAGAAGCAGCTGAAAGCAGGTCATCTATCATGAACACTTCAGTATTGCACTATTACTGTAAAGATAGAAATGCACATCTTTTCTGTTAGTTATCTTTCACCTGAACACAAAAAATACAAAGAGCAAGAGGAGTTATTTGTAAAATCTCAATTAGGAAAAAAAACATTTTGCTGTACCTCCTGTGTATTCTATGTAAAGTGCAATTGATTTATTGACAATCGTAAATGAATCCTTTTCCCCTGAAAAGTCAATAGAAAATGCTTTTCACTCTTGGATGTCCTGACAAATGCAATGCCCTGATTGCAATAAAGCACCCTCTCAGTCACACACATTTATATGTTACTAGAACATAACAGCATATTTATCCATCACCTGTGCAATTTTATGGCTGTTTTGTATTGTGTATTGAACATTCTGCACTGTGGGATTAACACAGAAAACCAATTTTAAAAGCACTGATATGGGATGAAGTACTTTCCTTGGGGTGAGATGTAAGAAACAATGGGAAAACATTGATTACAGGTATAAAAAAGAAATAAAAATGATAAAGCTTACACATCCCAGTCTCTTTTAACCATACGGTAACATCGGCTTGCTCAATATCTTCATTTTAGGATGCTAGGTGGATCCCACAACATAAGAAACTACAGAAATGAGGGGAAGTCACTTGGCCTATCTAATGCATTTGATTGTATTTAATTTATGCAAGGATCTCATTGAGATCGCCTTCTTGAAAGACACAGGGTATTGACTTCAACGGCATGGCTGGGCAGCTTGTTCCATACTCCCATGTTTCAGTGATATTGAACTTCTCAATGCCTATTGTTTAGATACAGTAGCAAGCTGAGGTAGCCCTATCTCCTTGTTCTTTTTAAGCACGTAAAACCTTTGACATTATCCTGGCTACTGTTGTAATTGCAAAATGAGGAATTGTCTTTCATCTGAACTCTATATTGGTGCTGTTTTTTTTTTCCATTTAAAGTCAAACATTCTCCCTCTGCCCACTGCAAGCAGTTAACTCAAGGCAAGCAAGCAACACATTTTTGAGTTGGTAGATTGTTATTTACTGTAACTACTTATGTTTCTCACCTATCTCTATTACCATGGTTGATGCTTTATTCCAGCAGCATGATCTCTAAGGGGACTTCAATGTCACATGCCACTTGGAATTGCTTAGCAGGGTAATTTAAACATACTGTACATGTTGCCCTTATAACTTCCATATTGTGAACACATTTTTTTAATCTATTGCACATTCTATTTTGTATTTAGAAATGTATTTTACTCATTACTTCCGCACTACTTGTACATCAAAAAGAAAAACAAATGCATAAAAAATACTTAAAGGCACTAAATCTTAATTAAACCAGAAGTAAAACATTCATTCTTTTGAGGCAGAAATCTGATACTCCAGGCCAACTATGAAAAACTGAACCTTATTTCCTAAGAAGTGTGAAGTTTTATGCTTGTTTGTTTTAATTATGACTGAAAAATGACTTTGGTTGAGTGCTAAAAAATGGTCAACATTGAACACATTTTATTATTTGAAAGAAAGTTTTAAAGTTTTAAAAGCTTTGAAGATTAAAAAGTATTTTAATCAATAATGTGTTTTTATTTGAATAGTTTTGAGTGTCTTTTACATTTTGTCTGCTTAGCTGTTAATTGATATACTGTATAAGCAGTTTATCATGAGTCCACAGATTCCAGCTCTCTTTATAAAATATGGCTCTGCAGCCACTGCATAATCTCATTATCACTGAGAAAGATAAAAACGGTTCTAAACAAATTTCAGTCTGCCTGAAATTAGTTTAAATCCATTTGTATTAATTATTGCTAATTGTTTGTTGTATTATTTCTCTCTTCTCCAAGTGTGGATTTGCATTTAAAAGAACATTTTTTCTCTAACAAGTATTTCAGCCTTATTAATTCTACTACAGTTAGACTATAAACACAACTTTTCCCAAAGTTTACTCCTGAAGGAATTCTGAAGGAAAATCCTTACTTTCAGCCCATCTCCAGAAAGGACAAGCCTGCTCCTTGAAGTTCCTATTGAGTGAGTTAGAAACAACAGTAATCAATAAGAAACCATGCCTGTTCTAGGTTGGGGCTGTATTGAAAAGAATGAGCAGAATTCCAGCAGGATTAAATGTTGGAGCTGCACATACTGTAGATCCAGATTAAATGAAACTTTTACCACCCTACAATTGCAGATTCCAAACACATTGTCTAGTGATGGCTTTGTGTCTGCCTGAGACTTCCTGCTTCCAGGGTGAAGCTTCCATTGAATTACATATCGGGAATTAGAAATGAGAAGACTTGCTGAAATTTCGATTTTATTCAGGATATTGTTTATCAAAAGGATTTTTAATGTCCCCGATTACCTTATGATGCAAGTAATTTCTACATTTGGCAAAAGGCAGTTTCTTTAGATCAATTACTTTTGGTACTGTAACTTTTTTGATAAAACTCATACCTTAACTGTGTTGAACATACAAAGAATTTGGAAATTGTAAAATTTAATAAAAATGTCTACCAGTTGGAACCAAATCCATGCCACACCCAGAGAACATTAGAGACTTAATTAGAGAATTAGTAATTTGCCTGAAGCTGAAAGAATAATCTGGTAAGAAAGCCCTCATTAGGAGAAAGACCATTTGCAGCACCAGTTACTGTGCTGGTCAAAGTGAAACGATGCACATTTCATATAGCCAAGCACTTTAAACTGTGTTAACGTGCTCCTGTGTTCCACCCTTGCAGCACACACCTCCTGCTTGAGGTGACTAAATACTATTCTCTATGCCTCCTCATAGCCTGACGAGCTGTTGTCACTCCAAACAGATTAGCTTTAATTATTGATGTCTCCAGAGGGTGGCACATCAGGAAAATAATATTATGATAGCCTCAGGATCAGAAGAACATGGTTCTTTTATCATTGTTTAGATGCATTGTCCTTTCAATAAATCGTTAAATCAAAATAGCACATTGGACACAAATATACCAAGTGGTATTTCATTGTTGAACAAAAAGAGAAGAAAGCTCATTGTAGTATAGAAGACGTCCATTGCAGGATAGACCTTGGTATCCAAAACCTTTTGGACACAAGATATAACAAATTTCTGAAGGACCCCTGGTTCTTGTATGCTGTGTTGGAACACAACCAAACAAAAGCAATATCTTCCCTTTGAGATTTATTTGAACTGAAGAAAGTACCTTTTAGATATGCCAGGGCAGCTTTGCATTACTCTAGTACAGGGGTTCTCAACAGGGGGGGACACCCCAGGGGGGCATATGAAGATCAGGAGGATGATGCAAGAGTCTTTTTATATACAGCTAACTCACAATACCTTCCGAATCTCTTCAGACTATAAGGCCACACCTTCTGATTGCGTTTCTGCCAACATTAGGTGTTTTAGTCGCTGGCTTTTATGTGCTACTGACTCTTTCTGACACCTTCTTTACATGACCCAATGGCTACGCCAGATGTCATTATTCTCTAGGTATTAACCGCCTTGTATAAAGTAGACATTCTCTTTTATTAAACTATTATTAAACAATTTGTCTTTGACAGTCCCCACTGCTCTCCCCATGGTCATCACGCTTGTCCATTAACTCAGCAAGAGACAGCCTTCACATCTGAGTAGGGGCTACCATTGCTGGCATAAAAATAATAAAATGTTGAGGTGAAAAATATCTCATACGGTATACTGTATATGTTTCTGATGGAAGTGTTCCCTGATGACACCTTTACAGCTCTTATCCAAAATAGCCTCCTGATGCACTGAACAGTATGTACTAGAGTCTGAAAATTACACATTCATGGTCAATTGTTTCTATCCCAGACTCCACCTGTTCTTCCTCGGAATTCCGCTGTCGCGACGGGAGCTGCATTCCAAGCTCAGCCTGGTGTAACCACATGATCGACTGTGCCGATGCTTCTGATGAGCGCTATTGCAGTAAGCTGATGATATTAATAATCATAACATTCTCATTTACACAACACTACTTAATCAAAACATATGTCTGTATAAAAAAGTATGTAGGATGTAAAAAAAAGTGGTTTGATAATTGTTTGCTGTTTATGAAAGCTCATTTTTACCAAAAACTATCAGACTGGTTTGAAACTCAAATAATGAATAGGACTATTTAATTCCATTATCAAAAATTATTATTTTTAAAATCACCTTGACATTGGCAACTTTTTTTTTGCTTTTGTTTTTGCCTGCGGGAAAGGTTTTCAACGAAACAACATTTTTAAGAGTCATAATGATTTCTTCTTTCATGTTTGTTCTGCCCTTTCTGCCTTTTGCAGATAACACAGACTGTTTGGATTACTACAGAATCGGGGTCAAAGCTACAGGCTTCATAAGCTGCAACTCCACATCCCTCTGTATTCTTCCATCATGGGTCTGTGATGGATCGAACGACTGTGGAGATTATGCAGATGAAACCAACTGTCAGGGTGAACCTTTTATTAACAGTTTTAACGTGATACCAACAAACTCTGTGAACATAAAGCTGTTATTCAAAATTACTGAAGAGTAAAAAAGCAAAACACAACATTTTACAGAAAAATACAGTATACGTCAAGCAGTAATAAAGCTGATAAATATAGTATTAATATTTTTTATGATTTTTTTTTTAAGCCAACACATTATTAAAAAAGGGCATATGATCTCTAGGAATTTCTATGTAGGAAATTATATAAAAACATGCTTAAATAGTCTTGAGAAAGATATGAAAGGTCAGGTTATACAATTTACCTTCCAATTAGAAGGTTACTGGCAGTAATGGGTTTATCAGATGATTAATGCCTTTTGAATTAATGAATTTGATCTCCTCTGAACTGGATCGCAGTCCACCTGGGACACAGATGTGAAGATGGATATTTTGCTTGCCCCAGTGGAAACTGTATCTCCAGTGTTTGGCTGTGCGATGGGCAGAAGGACTGTGAGGATGGAGCTGATGAATACCAGTGTGGTAATGCTTTTGTTTTTTCCTGAATTTTCTCCTTTTATTAATTTCCTGTGCAGTTTTAATAAATCAAAGCGGTATCCGAAAGCCTCTCATGAGTAATTTCTCACTGAGTATGCTTGCAACAGTTTATTGCTACGTGATTCTTGAAGTTCTGTAACAACATGCAAGGTGTTTTCAATGGTCTTCACTAGAGAAACACTGCACATAGAAGAATCAGGGGTGTGTTCTCATCACTTGTATTTCGCGCAAAAAGTTGTTTTTACTGAGTAGCCGCAATTTCAGTTCTTAGCTGAAGTTTACTGATATTGGATATCACCATAAACTTAGTGGAAGTGTGCAATTAGGAAGAGCTGCCAAGTTGTCTGGGGCTGTGACATAATTTACTTATTTATTAAATGTATCTATGACAAAGTATTTAGTACTGTAGTTAACCTTCCTGGAACTAAGAAATTCACAAGTTTACCATCAGATATTTACACTGTGTAATACTCCTGACCTTTTCTGGAGTGATATACTTCATGTCTGAGTCAACAGCAGTGTAATTTAATATTCCCACTGTGACTTCAATTTTCAACTCTTATTTTATGACAAATTACTTTTTAAGCCTTGCAAACAGAAATAGTTCTTAACCTTTTTTTTCTATTTTTTATACTGCTGTTTTATCTAGGATATACAGCCTGATGGTCACACTGTGATTAAAATGAAAATTACTCAGCATGCATAAAGATAGCAGTGTCATCTTTGTGTACTCTTGGCAAGCAAAATACAGATAATTAATACAGTTGAAAAAAGTCTATACCAGCAATCTTCCCTGTTATAAATGAAAGAAAACGCTAATTCAAGAAGAATAAGAATTCCCTCAAAATATTTATTCTTGTTGTGCTTAACTATTCTAATTTCACTGACAACCACATGTAAGATGATGTACGTTGGAAAATATGTGACCTTTGCAGTTTCCAGAAAACACAATAAGTGGATTAGTCTCTGTAGACCTTGGAGCCACCACTACGCGTGTTTCTCCTGAGGTAAACAAAGTCACAGAATTTTGGGACAGGCTCTTAATTCTGATTGGCCACCCACCTTTTTAATTTAAACTCTAACCAACTTTTTAAACTTGCACTTGATCCTGTTGTTGCTACAGTGTACTATATGATCATTCTTAAAAGTGCTGCGGCAGAAGTTCAGCCTTTTCTGGTCCTGCTTTTCTGCATCTACTAATGACTCACACTCACTCTGACACTGTGATACAAAACAGCATTTTAAAATTCTTCTGAAGTTAATTAACGTGTACAGTAAATTAAAAAAATAGCATTTAACTTTGTTAAATGAAGTATTATACCAAAGAAAGCAGTCTTGAAGTATATGCCATTGGACATATTTGTGGGTATTATTTTGCATCTGCTTGACTTTCCAGTAATACTGTATGATAAAGTGTGTTCTTAGTCTTTATTAAAACTAAATGCAATGGATTGCCAAAATAACCCAGTTGCATTCATCATCTTTCCAATATGTCTCCTCAGTATTTGGAATTTGCCATGCATTATTTTGTAACCACCAATATTCATCTTAGCAAAGATGTGTAGCATAATTTACACCTTACTTCAGTTTCTTCTTCTGTTTTTGGTTGAACATGCGAACGTTGACATTGATTAAATATAATTGGTTTAACCAGTTTCCCATGTCGTTTTAATTATTTTTTGGGGGTGATCCTCTACTTCTTTTACCAGACATGGGGACCTCTTGTGAAAGCATCTTAAATACTCACAACCTAAAGCAGTCACAGCTTTACACGGCTGGCTCCAGAAAATAAAAACATATGGAAAAAGCTTTATTCTCTGAATAATGTCAAGCACGCCTACGAGAGCTAGTTAGTGAGCCTATACAGTTGTCTTATTTACATATATTTAATATCTGTAGGCTAGTATGGGTTTTTATAAGAGTTATAGGGTAGAATTTGATGATAGGCAAATTTGGTACGCTACCCACATTTTCAAAGATGTATGACCAGAAAGTACTAATTCCTCTCTGTTTTCATTTCAAAACATCATACTATGCTCTTCATGCTTTGACCATTATGGCATGTTACTTTACTAATGCTTTTATTAATCTCACGAACTCACTCTCAGATATACAGTATTTCAGTATTTATCAATCATAGTCTTAACTTTCAAATATTACAACAATAGCAAGTGTAAGAGATTATCAGTGTGGCCTTTAAAGAGATGAATAGAATGTTTTTGCCATTTCAAGTGGGATCATTCAGTTTTATTAGATTTGTAAAATGCAGTCTTTTTTCCTCTTTAAAGGACAAGGTTGTGTAGAACTTCCTATCCCCCAAAGTTAATTATCATATAAAATGGACCCTTGTTATTGGGAAATAACTGGCAATGAATGAAAAGTCTAAGAGGATTTTTGTATGAAATGTCATGCACTCTTGGATAACCTAAAGAAAATGTCAAAACTGATTATGTAATTCATCTGATCTCTGTTAACATATTAAAACTGAATCAATGCCATTTCATCATTAAGACAGGGAATTTTAGAGCTCAAAATTATTCTAACACTGTTCAAAGTCATTGTACCCATTAATTAATGTTTGTATCAAATATCTCCAATAGCAATTACTAGGACCCTGTTTATAGATGGAACATCTACAGTATCTATCTGTCTATATACTTTGCAAAACATCAGCTTTCTCATGGAAGAAAACAGTAATGATGGCCCAGTCTAAAATGGGAAGACTTGAACATCAAAAGGAGGTCTGTTACCTCCTTTAATATCATTGTAACAACAAAGGCAAAAAAAAAACAACACAGTTAATAATAGAATGCCCTAGCAGGCACCCCAATTTAAAAGGAAAACACTTCACTGAATCTTAAACTGACATTCTGTCCAGATTGGTTTTCTGCAAGGTGGTGATATCAGTGCAGGTGCATATATGATTATTACTCTACATTGGTTATATGAGAAATTATTCTGTCAAGAAATCTTCGGTCATTAAGAAGCGGGATGTCCAAAGATTTGGTCAACTGTCTGCACCAGTTATGTAGAAGGTAGTGATGGCTGTGGAGGCTCGTGTTTATTCTGTCAGCTCTGGCTATATCATAATTCTGTAGTACAAGTAAGATCTTACTAAGTAAGGAATGAATCATCCGAAGGTGTTTACCTGTGTATGCACTGTCTTTTTGTTGATAGTTTAATTGTCTAGTACAGTACCTTTAGATGTATCATTGAAGAACCCTCGATACAGTAAAGATTTAAATAATCACTTTGGGAATTTTTCAAGTTCTTTGACATAGCATTCAGTGTTCTATTTCTTCAGTTTGTTGCTTTACTGCTTTACTGCTTTACTGCTCATAGTTAAACATTATGATTAGCATTGTCTCTACATTTGTAGCAAGACAGCCCCCATTGTGCATGGTGCCACACACAGGAACAGGAGAAAGAACAGGTATACCAGGTGGCAAGATTATCCAATCCTGCCGAGGTCGATAATTTCAGTTTCCACGCCTGTCTGAGGGAGGGAATCCCTTTTTAAAAGAGAGATGACAGGCCCTGCTGTGCAACAGAAAACATGTTAAATTAAAAAGTCGAAAGGGGAAGGTCAGTGTCTGGACATTTAGTTGTTATGCAGTTTGTTGTACTTTTTATCTTATGGATGAGTCTTGGCTTGAGATGGATGTACACATTGCTTTGCAGACGGATTGATCTGATTGTGATCATGTTCACCTTGGAAATCCTCATTGTTAATGTTTCTTTCCAGAAAGTAAAGCCTTTCATGTCATTACAAAATCAATGTGAAAACACATAGGCACATCTATTGCACTGTTCTGTTATTCATTAGACGACTTTCTCATGGGTTATTTTAAAAATTGTTATTTTGCTTTAACTGCATGAAAGAGTTTTAGTGTTCCTTTTATCTTTATCTAGTAATAGAACTACAGTATATATTAGATAAAATATAGACAGATTGATTGATTAGTAGTAGTAGAGGAGTTTATTGCCATACAGTATGTACATGTACTGTACATTGGAATTCTTATTTGCATGGACATACACAGTACAAAAGACAACACTACACAAAGACAGTAAACGGTACATTACGACATAATAAATAATACAATCAGAACAATAAATATGTAGTAGTAAAAGAAAAAAAGTCTAATGGTCCGTGCTTTAATAGTGCTGTGCCGCTTGCCAGAGCGCAGTGGAGAGAACAGTTTGTGGCCGGGATGGTTGGATGCTGGATGATGGATTGGGATTTATTGCGACAGCAGATGGTGTGGATCTCACCGATTGATGGTCAGTCACATCTTATAATCCTCTGTGTCGTTGCCACAACAATTTGTAAGGCATCTCTGTCATGAACACTTTCTGTGGTGCCAAACCGCATTTCTTTAAGCACTGCAGAAAGTGCAGGTGCAGTTGTGCCTTTTTCAGACTGGCTACAGTGTTGTGAGACCAAGCCAAGTCGGTTTAGATTTGCAGACAGTTTCCACTGCTGAGCCATCGATGCTGATTGGGGTGTTACTTCCTCTGGGTCTCCTGAAATCCACAATGAGCTTTTTTGTCTTGTTGATGTTCAGGACCAGATTGCTGTTCAGATGCCATCTTGTAAGATGAAGCACTCCTCACTCATGTATGAGGACTCTTTATTGTTGCTGACAGATCCAATAATTGTGGTGCTCAGCCCAATACTTGCAGTATAATTGTGAATTAATATAGTACATCAACTGCAAATAATTCCTAATATTTTTTTTAAAAATAAGATCAGATGACCAGTATGCAGTGGTGGGTTAGCATGAAGCTGGAAATCTAGCTCCCTCCCACACCATTCGTTTAATCTTCTTGTCCTTGACTTTTGATGTGTCAATGATGGTTGATGCATTGATGCGGTCCTGTAGTTGTTCCAGACCCAGGAGCAGGGGCATCACAGTCCATGGGCAGTGTCCGGCCCAAGAACAAGGAGCAGAGAATCAGGAACAAGACATGACTGGAAAACTGGCAGGCTATAGCAGATTCCAGTGTGAAATGCAGAGCTGGTGTTCAAGCCTGGAGCTCAGGACATGGGCTGGAGCACAGGACTGGAGCTCAGGACACAGGGCTGAAAGCAGAACTGGAGCTCGGGACACAGGACTGTGTCACAGGACTGGAGCTCAGGACACAGGGCTGCAGCGCAGGACTGGAGCTCAGGATACAGGGCTGAAAGCAGGACTGGAACTCGGGACACAGGGCTGTGTCACAGGACTGGAGCTCGGGACACAGGACTGAAAGAAGGACTGGAACTTGGGACACAGGGCTGTGTCACACAACTGGATCTCAGGACACAGGGCTGCAGCGCAGGACTGGATCTCGGGACACAGGGTTGAAAGCAGGACAGGGAGGACCACTAGAGCTGACAGTTGTGCAAAGGTTCCAGACTAGGGACAACTGCAGTGTGACGTGGACACCGGGGGAAAAGGAGTGGGTGCACTGACTGCAGGCAGCCACCGCACCACACCCACAGCTCACACAGTCCAAGGGTGCAGGGACAGAAATGCACTGCCGGATTGCTGAGGACACGCCTTTAGTCTTTCCTCAGCCTGAGGCATGATGTTAATTTCATTGTTGGCAAACTCCTGGGTGAAATATTAATCAAATGCAGCAGCAGTTTCCTTTTCATAATTTGAAACTTTACCTGATACATTACGTCACTGTACATTTGCTGTCTTAATACTGATTTTTTATTTATTTTAAGGTCCATTGGAATATTCTTTTTTATCTCTTCCTAATGTTCTCTGTACATGAACCTCTGATTGCAATTCCATGTACTCTTTTCCTTTAAGCGGATTACTTTCTTATTTTAATCAATTTATTCTTTTTATATTTTTAGTGGATTTATTAATCCATTTTGGCCACTGATTTCTAGACTTCTAGAAATCTTCTAGATTTACTTACTCATAGGTGAATCTGTTCTGTGCTTCAAGCAGAATACAGTATGTTTAAGCGGCTGCTATCCATTCTCTGATTCCATATCTATCTTTTCCTATTTTACTTCTCTTAAGATGTAAGCCTTTGAACCACTAGCTCAAACTGTCAGTCAATCAACTATTTCTACTCCAATGTCTGTTGCCAATACTCAGTTACATACTGTATCTTCAGTATGGCGATGATATATTGTTATATGCTAACAATATATCCTAATCTTTGTTTCATATGCTATTTATGATGATTTCAGTTCTCTTGAACTGAAAATTAATTGGTCCAAGTCCGCATTACATTTTGCTATGGAATGCACTGCGGGTCAAATGCTGTTGTTATTTTAATTTGATATTATTCTCACGTCTGTCTTGCTTTTCTTGGGCTGGGCTGCTGTAATGCTGCAATTTCCCTTCGGGATCAATAAAGTATCATCTTATCTTAAAATAGCTTGGTATTGAGATTCATTCTTCTTCCCATCGTTTCACAGGTAAAAACACATTGAACAGGTAGATGCTAATTTGGGTGGACATAATAATTTTCTTCCAATTCTCTTCAAATTGTGTCTCCATAATGAAAATGAATGTGCTTCCTTGCTTGAATGTATTTAGTTCAATCATTCTTCTTTCTCCTGCCACTATTGTATTGACATAGACTGCATACTAGAATCTCTAAATTCATATTTAACGGGAAGTGATCGCATATTAAATTGTCCATTGTGCAGTGTGAAACATCTGCAGGAAGTTCCACCTCCACCAAACATTAATTTAAACTTTAACTATTTCTGTTCATTTCTTCTGCAATCAGATACTTCTGCAAATACTATTAACGTTACAGGTCTGATGCAGACACAGCATTATTAAAAACTGAAAATATTACATGGATTAATATATGCAACTGAGTACATCTATCAATATACTGTACATTGTCTTCTTTTCCAGCAGTCAGTGTATTTTTCTGTCAGTAGGTTGTATATTTTCATGTGTTGACTGTTGAATGCTGAACGACTTTACAAAAAACTCAGGATCTATCGAATGTATTATTAGTGTCATTTTTATTTCAATATACTGTATATTGCATATTGAAAAAATGAATGTTAAACATGGAAAACTAATGTTTAAGACCTTGGGTTGTTTGTAGCAGTAAAGCTAGAAATGGTTAAGAAATGCTTACAGTTGAATGAGACCTGCTTTTTTCTTCTAAACAGTTCTGTGAGTGATTGATATCACTGAATTAATTATTTATGCCATTTACATTTAATTAGGTCATTTGAATTCTGTTGCTTGTTTACAGATTCTTCCTGTCTCTGGAATCAGTTTGCTTGCTCGAAGAACAAGTGCATTGCCACGCAGTGGCTCTGTGATGGGGAAGATGATTGTGATGATGGCTTGGATGAAAGTGATGAATTCTGTGGTAAATTTCAGAATTTATTCTGAATAGAAATCATAGGTAACACTTTAAGTTAGGGGTTGCAGATAGCATTTGGAAATATTTTAGTCTGCACTGCATCAAAACATGTCCCCTTGTAAAAATGTATGAACTGCATTTTACTTGTTTGTGAACACTTTGAAAGTAATCAACCTGATATTTCTTATTTTATGCATTATTATAATTTTTAAAAATGCACATGTACCCTCTCCAACTGAAAAAGCGCTGTGCTTCTATCATACCCATTCTAATATTCTCCAAACACTTTAAGAGCAGAGAAACTCCAGAAATAGCAAAATGCTACAATTTGGGAAATAGTTTTTCAATAAAGCTTTTCCAAATATATGTTTTTTGAACTTTAAAAACTAACTTTTGTACTACAATAGGAACTACATACTGTATTGCTTTTTTTAAAAAACTATTTTTTCCCTGAGATTTTGATTCAAGAAATAATTGCAAATTCATACTGTGATACCCTTCACAGCCTTCTCATTTGAATTTAGATGCAGTACCGACTAGACATTTTAGTTCAATCATGCATCTCTTCTTTTTCATCCCTTCTTTAGACACAATCATCCATGTTTTTATCTTCTGTTGAAAAAATAACCATTCTAAAAGCTTTCTTTAATAGTTCAACTTTTTCAGGGTAAAATACTATATAACAGATCACTTAATTCAAATTTTTGTGTTTCTATAATTGTATTTTTAGTTAAATCTGAAAAATAACATAAATACCTTGATGTGCGTTTGGGATTATTTATATAACAGAGGGTCTCTATGGCTAAACAAAACACTTTAAAGCTTTCAGAGCTCATTTCATGTTTAGTAAATTGATTGCATATGTCCAAGAAAGACAGTGGTCAAATACATTGCATAAACTTTTAAAAGCTCATAAAATGGAAATGTGCACTTACTGCCAATAACAGGATGCACTGTCATCATTCATTGTGAACTGTCTGACACTCTGTCACCAGGATCTGTGACCTGTGCTCCTGGTATGTTCAGCTGTCCTGGCTCCCACGCCTGCGTGCCCAAGGACTGGCTTTGTGATGGGGAGAGAGACTGCCCAGATGGGAGTGATGAGCTCTCTGCTGCTGGCTGCAGTAATTAACTCTTCTATCAGTCATACTGCAAAAATTACAATAATCCTCATTATGCCTGTATAAAATAGCTTGCATGTTTTTAGGGATTAAAGTGTAAGTGTCACTATAATAATGTGAGTAAATAACACAGATTAATGAAGCATTAACTGGGACAAAGGTTTTCTGAAGTGCCTTCATGCTGATTATAAAAAAAATAGAGAAAGAAATGTATGCCCTTTCCACTGTTTCATCAGCTTTGAGCCTTTGACAGAAATAACATGCCAGACCACGTTTTACTAAAATATTATTATTTGGTCAATCAGTGTGTCGGCAGTCTGAGCGATGTTAGGGGTTTTCAAAAGGATTGACTTTTCTTTGTACACTATACTACTTTTTTAACACAAAGATTTTCTATTGTGCCATTATTGTAAAGGTCTTCTCTGTCTCACCTTTAGAGCCAAACAACACTTGTGATGAAAGTACTTTTCTCTGTCACAACAATGGCTGCATCCCCAAGCAGTTTGTATGTGACCATGATAATGACTGCGGAGATGGATCTGACGAGTCTTCTGAGTGTGGCAAGTAGTCTCTTTCTTATGTCCTTTATGAAAGAATGCAAAAATCATTCCATTTATGACAGTGCCTTTATTGTAGCCTATTCAGGTCTGTGACAAGTGTAAGAGTGATTAATGTAGCAATTGTGCATTTGTAGGAGCAGCTTGAATTTAGTAAGATGAAAATAAATGAACTTTTTTCATTAAACTTTTACTGCATGAGCACTCTGTAACATGGCAGCTAGTTTGAGCCTTTCAGTCCTTCGAAATTGATCTATTTCATTGTGCTTCAATAAGCTTAATGTTTGAAAATTGCTTGGTAAGAAGAAAGAAATTACATTATTCTGAAATAATGGATATGCATTTCTTCTTTAAAAAATATTACATTTTTCATGTACACATGCTGGGCCTTAAGCAACGGAGAGCCCTGGACAGTTCAGCGTCTTATTAACTGTCTGATATCAAGTCTAATAGAGACGAAAGTCCTTTGATTTGACAGCACATACACTTAAACATCAAACACAAAGAAAACTCAGCTCCAGCAAAGGAAACATTAGGATTCAAAATCTAAACTCCGAATGCATGAGCTTACAGAGATGTATTTATTTTATTTTATTCAGGCTTGATTTATTTTAATAATGTAATCAACTCCAGTCCCTCATGATTCGTGCTGCTAAAAAAATATCACCATGAAAACAACTGATTCCACAGAAAATACATTTCAGAGATTAATATATCACAGACAGCTATATTAAGACATCAGTCAGAAAATAAGAATAGTATTCTCTAAGCTCTTAAAATGTACTGTTGCAATTTCTACTCTGTATAGACTGATGTGATTTCTTTCTTTTTATCACCTCAGTTCTCTAAATAGAGCTCCACAAATTGTTCTTGGCAGATTGCACTGAATGAAAAACAAACAGATTATACCTCTTTATGAATCTCAGAGGCTGCCTATCTGGTCACAGTTCTGTGATACGGAACTGCGAAAAGCCATTTGTTTTGCTGATGCCTGTGTTACAGTACTTTAGTGGTTGAGCAGTGATTTTAGATTTATTTATTTCAGTATAGGTTGGTGCTTTTCATACGCATAGCAGCACTTTCTATTTGCACTTCACTCATTGTCTTAAGTCCTTTGTAGTGTACCGCTCGTGTGGTCCTGGAGAGTTTCGCTGCGCAGATGGCAGATGTCTTTTAAGCGTGCAGTGGGAATGTGATGGATATTCAGACTGTCCTGACCATTCTGATGAATTGCCTCTAAACCCTAAGTGCTCTGCTGCAGGCAAGTCTCTGTTGGTACAAGGAAAAAGTATTGTTGAAAGAATGGAGTTGCACATCCAAATGGTACAGATGCACCAAGAATGTTTTTCCCATCTTATGTAGAACTCATAAGAGAATGTCATTGATAGTGCATTAAAAGAGAGCTTTGCTGTGGCTTACAGCACACTTTACCTAAGCATAGAGGAATCAGGGCTGTTTATTTTTTATTTCTGTTTCTTTTATTTTTCATCATCATCTTTCTGCCTGTTTCATAACAACGCTTTAGAATCTATTGGTCAATAAGGCTGAAAGAATGGAAAGGAGCATCAACGTGGATGTGCAACATTCATTGGCTAAGAACATGCAAAATACAATTAAATGTTGCATCGATATTGCCAGCATTTTGAGGTTACATGTTGTTTTCACTCAGACAGCAAGAAATGTACCCTCCCAATACAAATAGTCACACTGCTTCAAAACAATATGCCTTATGTGGGGAGAGCTACAGTAATATGCTCCAAGTGATCTTGTGTGACTATCATTTAATCTCACTGATTAAAATCAGAAACTGTTTATGTGAGAATTTGTGCTACATGGTGGAAAAAACGTTCCTAACAATACCAAAGTGTTCAGAATTGTTTCTAAAACAGGTGTTGTGTTATAATGATTGTGTTCCAAAGACAAGTCATGATAATAATGTAGCAGCTACTCAATTGGAAATAAAATCAAACATAAATAGTTACATATAATGAAATGAAGTAATGTTCAAATGGAGACAACAATATGTTCATTTTTAAATTAATCCTGCTTTATTGCCATGTGAACCCTAGAATGTAAAGCTGCCTCTTGTTAATTTGATTACAGTGGGTACAGTGATGTACTTTATTAGCCTTTTAGTTGTGTGTGCAGGGGGTCATTAAATGTTTGTCTTTTCTAAAAATATTTTGGTACATTGTGGCTGTTTTATTTTAAAAGCTGAATGATCTGATTAAATTGCTAACTACGTTTAAGCCAGCAAACTTTGAATGTTGAATGTAAACCTAAATACTTTATAGTATAACAAATAAATAGTGTATTTACAATAATTTGCCTGTGTTAAATTATACTGTGTATCTCCTTTTTGATATAGAAAAAACCCAGCTGTTCAAATTTTCTCTTGTGGTCAAATTGTACCATTAAAACAGAAGATTTAAAGAAAACTGTCAGTATGTATAAATGTAGACTTGATCGTTTGAGCAGTACATTCATATATCAACTACAATGTTTTCTGTATAAGGGACATCTGCAGTACATCAAGTTTACCTGACAGATTTTCATGAGTCTAATATGATAGACTATTGGCTGATGAATCAGACGAATTGTGTATCTATTACCTTTAATTTCAGTACTATAAATATATTTAATATAAGTAAATATATTTAATCTACTTTTTTCTGTGTACAGACCTTTGTGCCCTGCACACAAGCATGAAGAAACAAACAAAAAAACAATCTGCTATCACTGTGCAAATCTGTGTCAGTAATTATTGGTTAAAGATTTGTGGTCACTAGAACTAAAACACATGAAGACAGATACTGTATACAGTAGAATGCTAGATGAGGAGTAGAAGTTGCTACATCTAATGTTATTTGCCTTACTGCCAGTACTAATGAAGATTATTTTCTCACATAAGCATCCAGAACATGTTTATTTATAGTAAAGTCTATTTGACTGCAGAGTACAGTGTTGTTTGGAATACACTGAAGCTTTCAAGGCTAAACATTGCTTCCTGAGCAAAGACCTACTGTTCACTTGTTCTCTGGTACATTTCCACCTATATTCCTCCCACACAAGGTTAAACATAAAGTACAGCAAATGGAGTGCATGTTTCTGTCCAGAGGGAGTTACTCAGCAATTTCAGAGCTGATAGCTTTCCCTGCGTGACCGTTAGTTCTGGTGAGCACCATGATGTTTATGTGTCTTTACTGCTAAAGTTCTGTGCACAGCTCCTGCAGTGGCTGAACAGAGATAAATCTCCTGAGGGCCTGTTAGGCCTGCTGCATGCCTTTCAGGCAAGAAAAATGGCTTGAGCACATTTCTTGAGTGCCCCATACTTCCATGAACCTTTTTTCTGTGACATGCTCATTGGGGTTCATATGTGACTGCAACTGTATGTCATTTCCTGTTCTCATTGGCATGTAAATCAGGTTTTTTTTTAATAACTACATGGGCTAATGTATAATCTGTCAACATTGATATCCTGTAAAGCACTTTGAGTTGAGTGTCCAGAAAAGTGCTATGTAAGTGTAAGTACTTAATATTATACATTAATTCATTTTCCATGAAGTAAAGAAAGCATATACTTTGGACTGTAAAATGTTTTTTTTATATATAAATGTTATTTTCTGTTCACTGTTGAGCCACTGTTTTTGGATTTTGTAATTTTCCAATGATATCAAAATATGCTGTTACTCTTAATTTGTAGTCTGCAAGTTAAAATAATACTCAATATTAAAGTATTGGTTTCTCATTTTTTAGAAAGTTTGTGCAATGGGTCATTTTTCATGTGTGCAAATGGCCGGTGCATTCCTATCGGAAGCCTATGTGACAAGAAGGATGATTGTGGCGACGGTTCAGATGAAAGAAACTGCAACGTGAATGAGTGTTTAAACAGAAGAGTCAGTGGATGTACACAAGAATGCCAGGATCTTGCAGTGGGGTACAAGGTCTGTGATGACATTTTTTCTCTTATGCTCATTCAGCCGCCACTCAGCTAAATCTTGAGCAATGTCTTGTACATTTTGAACATTTTGAAGACTTGTCTTCCTTGCTCCAACCAAGTATGTGGAAATTGCCTGAAAAAACATGATGTTTAAGTTTCTAAAATAGGTGAGAAAGCTGTCATGTCATGTCACAGCATATGGCCCAGTCACAGATTCTAATCCTTCTGCAGCTTTTCAGTGGAAATTCCCCAAGTTCTAGGATTTGAATAGTGCAGTATGGTGGATTGATTGTAGTTCTGATTTTGTCTGAGTATATGGTAAAATAGAAACTTATTGAATTCAAAACATTTGTGTAATAAGCAGTTGTCTAATTCAAATTTGAAATTACACCCTATGCATGCCATTCAAACTCAGTTGTTCTCTCTGAAAGCTGAAAGCTGATCAAGCTGAAGATATTGCATCATCATAATATTATTATGTAATGTAATGATTACATTACAAGTTTTTAAAATAATGTGTCAAATAGAAAAACAGATGCAAAATAATATATTTGTTTCAACAACAAACTGTAAATGTGAGTTACTATGATATCATCATCAGACAAACCTGTGACCATATAAGGAAGTTTTGCGTGTTTGAAGTGAAACTGTTAATTGAGCATTAAACAAATCTTAACTTACAGGCATTTTTTGATATATGGCCATTTCAACTGAGTTTAAAAAAACCTAGTAATTAATTTCTCTAGTGGGTTGAGCATTCCTAGTTACATTTTTGACCCATTTACTGCTACAGCAAGCAATTATAGCCGGACATCAGAAGTTTGGAAAAAGTTTTAGTTCAGTTGGATTCATTTTACCTTTTTGGGTACCAGATTCCTAACTTGTTGGAGGACTGTACACAAAGATTTTCCTGTAAGGTAAAGCTAATGTAATCCTATTTATTTATGTGTGTGTTTAGTGTAAGTGTTGGCCTGGATTCCGACTGAAAGATGATGGAAAAACATGCATTGATATTGACGAATGTTTGACTGGATTCCCCTGCAGTCAGCAGTGCATTAACATGTATGGATCCTACAAGTGTTTGTGTGCAGATGGATATGAAGCACCAGCTAGTAATCCGAACAGCTGCAAGTCTCTCTCAGGTAGGAACATGTACTGTGTATTTGACCTCCAGTGTTTTCTCAGTGTTTTTGCAACATGGTACAGTGGCGCTTGACTTGTTACAGAAGGGACATAACCCCTTTGAATACTAGAACTCTACCACTGCAGAGAACCACATCTTTGTCTTAGCAGAATTTCATGTGTCTGAACCCATGAGCAGCCGAATTCTAGCACAGCAAGAGGAGAACTGTATCCACCAGATCTGGAATGCCGTCGTTCTCTTTTTTACTGCCTTGACTTTAGAGGGATTAGCTGGTGTCACAGCCTTGTAAGGTCGTTTTTTTGGAAACCTGATTCGAACTTTAGATCAGATTTTATTATAAGGGAAGCTGGTGACCACATCTCAGTATTGACATAACTTCACATAATTTTATAGAAGCAGCAAATGAGTCAATCAGTGAGCCAAAGGATGCATGGCACAGCTAGACTAAGTTTCAGGTGTTTTTAGCCAGACTGTGCAAGTTCCTGTGGCCAGTCTGGTTCCAACTCCTTTCACGAACACTAGCTTTACAAGAACCAATTCATCAGGTAAGTAGTAGATCAAGAGGATAAGCTGCCCAACCCCCACCGCAATCCCACTATTGTGAGGAGTAAGTGAGGGAGTTTGCTGCAAGGGTGTAGATAAGGAGGCAGGGGGGATGAGAGAGAGAGACACTGCACATGCAGGGACGGCCTATGAAGACTTATATACTGTACACACACAGGGGGAAGTGAGTAAGATCTAATCTTCCTCCCGAAATTCTGTTATAAACTCCATTTAGCAAATTATTAATTTCAAAACAATGTGTAGGCTTTCCTATCCTATTTATCACCCATATCAGGACATGTCTTTATACATGGATTTATATATAGACTGAAACGTTACTCTTTTTTCATAATAATATTTATTTCTTTATATCCAGGTGAAAAACCCTTTCTAATTCTTGCGGACCATCATGAAATAAGGAAAATAGATGTTGATGGATCTAATTACACACTTCTGAAACAGGTAAAATATGAGTGTCCTGCAAAACACTGTATAATTAAGATGGTGTATAGTTATTGTTTATAGTAATATAGACTGATATTTATGCTCTCAGTGAAAAGAATGCTCAAGACTTGACCTTCTATTGCCATGGCTTATAGTAATGCACATTCCAGTTGGATACCTGTCTTCTAAAAGTGTTTCTAAATGTAAGAATTTTTTACTTTCCCAAAGTCCAGAAAATAAAATTTGCACAGATCTCTTAAATGAAAATGGTAAAGCAATCCTTCAGCGTGAGGGTCTGTACTGTATATTTTTGGGAGTACTGTACATAGAGTTTCATGACATTAGCTCACTTGATGTACTGTAAGTGCAACTGTGTGTTTTACACTGCATTCTGTAGCCTGATGACAACTTGTCAGTGAACTGAAACATTGACATTTTTTATTCAGTTCGTGACATTGAAGTACGCGGCTTATGGGGAGCACTCGAACTTCATATACACACATTTGTATGTTGTCTCTGTGTGATTCTTTCCTTAAATTAAATGTACTAAGAAGCTAATTAAAGTCATGAAGTATTCTAACAGGCACAAATCATGATAGTCTGATGTAATCATAAATCAAAGGACACAATTAATCCATTACACCTGAACCATTATTCTTCTTGTCATCAACAAGAATAAACATGAACAAACATAATTTTACATATAGCACCTTCTTTTGCAAAATGCAAAATTTAAAACTTGATTTGAAGAAAAGGAAATGGCAAAATGATGCTTCTTTGCTGGGCAGTGCAAAGAGAAGGAGAATCAAGGACAAGCAGAATAGTTTCTTTGAAAGGCAGCCTCTTCTTTTCCATGACAGTTTTAACACAGTTAATACTGAAGATTTCTTGAAGTAGTTTGGGTTTTTAATTGCATCCCAATTAACCCAGTTGGGTTGGGTGAATTGTTCACATCCTGGTACCAAAGTGTTACAGAAGAAGGCAGCTAAGATCACATTATGTGTAACACTCTCCTACAGTAGATGATGTCAATCGGTGAACCATATTGATGTATTTATAGCCAGCAGCCATATCACTCTGTAACTCACAAATGGCAATCCACTAAAGCTCAGCAGGTGTGAGCCTGCCAGTACCTGGATGGGAGACCTCCTGGGAAAAACTAAGGTTGCTGTGGTCTAATGCCCCAGTATAGTTACGGGGACACTATACTGTAAATAGGCGCTGTCCTTTGGATGAGACATAAAACCGAGGTCCTGACTCTCTGTGGTCATTAAAAATACCAGGGCATTTCTTGAAAAGAGTAGGAGTGTAACCCCGGTGTCCTGGCCAAATTTCCCATTGGTCTTTACCAATCATGGCCTCCTAATAATCCCCCTCTATGAATTGGCTACATTACTCTGCTCTCCTCCCCACTGATAGCTGATGTGTGGTGAGTGTTCTGGCGCACTATGGCTGCCGTCGCATCAACCAGGTGGGGCTGCACATTGGTGGTGGTAGAGAGGAGTCCCCATTACCTCTAAAGCGCTTTGAGTGGAGTATCCAGAAAAGCGCTATATAAGTGTAAGCAATTAGTATTATTATTAAAACGTAAGCACCTTAGCAAATCAAGATTAAATCAGACAAAATTTCTGAGTGGAAATTCCCTCCTCTCACTTAGAGTAGTATTTAATTTAGCTAATTAAATTGAACACAAAATCACTTACCTTGTTACAAGCACTGAACTGAAACATGCCAGAGACATGCTAGAGAGCCAATGCAGCATGGTCCAGCAGGCCTAATTTTCTGTAGTTAAAACAAACAGAGCTGTCTTGCCTCACTACCTGTCCCCAGATCTGCACAAATGCAGAGTGCAGCTGTACTTTGTGCTTATTCAAGAGTGAAAACCCAGAGGAGTTTTTAACATCTGTCTCAAGTGTTTAAAAGATGAAGATACAAAGGCAGGTCACTGCTGTCAGGTTAGTACTGCATCATCAGAATGTGTGCAGTGAAATTATGATGCTACTGACTCCCAACAGTATGTATCTGTAGTGCAACATTTGAATTTTGTTGCATTCATCCTAGTATTCAAATATTTCTTATTATGGAGATACCCCAAGCAAATTAGAAAAACTAGGTTACAGGTACTTGCAAATGAAAAATAGGCATCAAACCACACAGAATAAAAGGGAACTACAATCACTGCTGACAACTTCAGTATGCAAATAGTAAAAAGTCAAGGGAGGCATGGTTGCATGGCATTTAGCATTGCTGCCTCACAGCTCTGGGGTCCTGGGTTTTCATTCTGGGTTAGGCTCTATTATTCTACATGTTCTCTCCATGTCCATGTGGGTTTTCACATAACAGTCCAGTTTCCTTCCTTTTCTCAAAAAAGTTTTGACTTGACTAGTTACTCCAGATTGTCCCTCTAGGAGTCCTTCCCTGGCCCTTCTTAAATATAGGACAATCATAAATTAACTCCAGTGGTTTATAACTATCAAATTGTGACACACATATAAACAAAATTTAGTGTGTATTGAAAATACATTCCCAGAATTTGTATTATTTTTTCCCAAGGAAGCATTTACAATGTAATGTTCTTTCCTCATGAAGGCTAATAGGGCTGTCTGGTGTTGCTTTTTTATGCTGTACCTGTCTTTGTATTATAGCTCATTAACGGTGGTTTTGGACTTACAGTACAAGCAATTGGACACCTGTACATATATAACTGTGCTAGCACACATAAAATTCTAGATACGTGTGTGAATGCACTTCTACTGAATTAGATAACAATAAGTGTTATATTGGGAGTTCTAAGCAATACAAAGCAGGCAATGTATGATGCACTTGTGCAGCAATAAGTGTAAACAAAGAGGTCAATAAGCGTTTTTGTGTTTGATAATTTGTTTCTTCCTCACTGCAGGGGCTCAACAATGTCATTGCAATAGACTTTGACTACAGAAAGGAGTTTATATATTGGATTGACTCAAGCAGACCTAACGGGAGACGAATAAACAGAATGCGCCTGAATGGAAGTGATCTTAAGGTACGACAGAAGTTTGCGCTTGCCTGAGGCTGGTTAAAATGGAGGTAATATGGTCGAACATTAGTCACAGGTGCAAGGGCATAGTAAATCACAGGTCTTACTTCCTCTTTACAAGAATGATTGTATGATGTAGTTTAAAAGGTTTAAAGAGGTAATAAAGCAACATAATTAAATACATGTATAGAATGGATTTTTATAGAGAAAACTGGAGTGTTCAAAAGCGTGTAGAAGAAACACTATACCATTTGTTCAATCTTCTGATGGCACAAAGCACCACTTAGAAGGCACTACTTAAGAAATGGGAAAAGCACTTAAAATATCATTAGAAAGCTACATATGGTAGAACTTTAATAACTTAATGGGGACCTTTAAAATGCATTGTGATGCACCAAAAGCTCTATAACTTCATTTGTCTATGTGTTTACCACTGGCAGAATTGTAGCTTAAGAGTAAAGTGTTCTGTTGTTTTTTGAGAGATGCAATGTGTATTGTGCCACAGCTAATAGATGTGTTAGTCAGCACAGCACTTGTCAGAAGCCCTTGCATGGGCAGTTTTAAGATAAGGGGAACCATGGCTCATTAAGTTTCGTAGAACCTCATATTTACATCTGAGATATTGGTTTTGTCCTGCCTGTAGCTAAACTGTTTAAAAATGGTTGTAATACATAAGAAGTTATTAGACCAAAAGTATTGTTATTATAGTCTAGAATTACAAACCAAACCATTAGTCTGGAGCTATAAGGCGTAGACAGTGGTTGGAATGTCTTTTATCTTTCTGTAAGAACCAATGAAGACTATTATAATGCATTATGGTCTATAGGAAGAGTGTAATCATAGTTCAATATTATTTCTATTTTTTCCTATTATGTTTGCTCTGATTTATCTACAGCTCTACTAAAAACATAAGAACTTTACAAATATTACAAAGGAATGGAGGGCAATTCACATAGGATTGTGTTTATCTGAAATGGATTACTTTTTTGTAAAAATGTATGCTTGTTTCTGTAATGAATTTGACATACTGTAGTCTCCTGGCTTGACTGTACTCCTTAGGGATTTACAGTATATACTTTGATCAAATCTCTTAAATCACTTTTGGACTGAAGAGATTCATCTCAACATGCAACAATTTTCTGAGTCTCAGAATAATTCTTGTTGTTCCTCTCTGAACTATTGCAAATCTATAATATCCTCTTTGTGGTTTGATGACCAAATCTGGTCACAGTGTACAGGACTCTGTGCGCTGTAAAAGAGGATGTGGTGGTTAACACTACTGTCTTGCAGCTCCAAGGTCCAGGGTTTGTGTCAGTGTAGAGCTGTCTTTCCAGCTTCCCCAGCTCCCAGAAAGATCCTGATAGGCTGCATTGAATTCTGTTGTCCCCTGAAGCACTGCAGTGTGGTGGGCATCCTGTCCAGGACAGAAAACAAACAGTCCTGTGTTTCTGGCCTCTCCTTGCTGTGCTCTGTGTTTTTTAAGCACTGGTTCATTAAAAATACCTGTATAAAAATGTCAACCTACAGTATTTTAAGGATTACACGGAGTAGGTGTTTAATACTGATTTTCAGCAGGCTTTTGATAATGTTCTTCATCAAATTAATACTCAAATTGCAGGTGGTTGGCTTTCCAGGTAATGCCTGTCTTTGGATTGAAAACTGGTAAAGGAATATAAAAGAGTGCAGATAAAGGGATAATACTGATTGAGGAGTACCCTATGGATCAAATGCCCATTTTAATTTAAATCAATAATATTGTGATAGTGTGTAACACTTTGCACTTAATGTATTAATGTTAAAAATCACTTTCTGTCTGTTGAAAGCTTGATTTTATCTAAGTCTTTTTGTAATTCCCTTGTATCCGTTTCTGTATTTGACTTTTAATATATTATCTTCACATCTCTTCCAGTCTGAGATAGAGAAGCTAAAACATGTTTGTTTTCTCCAGGCTTGACTAGTGTAATGCAGTTTTTGCCGACATAACTACTTGTTTTTGATAAGTTGCAAATATGCTCAGAACGCAGATACTCAGATCTTCATTCAAACTTTTTATGAGTATCTTTCTTCTGGCTTCCTAGTTTCTTTTCACAATAAAATTTAAAATGCAGTTCTGCTGCTCTTCTTTAAGGCCTTGAATAATTTTTGTCCTAAGTTCTGTAATCTTTTAACCCAGTTGTATGCTATTGAATGACTAATGATTTATGACACATATTGACTGATCTTTGTTTTCTGTAATGATGTGGGTTGTCCCTTTAAGTATTTATAAAGGGAGAGCAAAAATGATAATACCATCTCTGGTGCGCAAAGCTTGTCTTCAACAATTAGTTCCTTATTCATACTGAGGTTTGTTATTCCAGGAGTGAGAATTCGCATGCTGTCATTTTTTTTATTTTAAAAGCAGTGCTGTTTATAATTACTGCTTCAGGGAAAGCTTCCTGAAATTGTTTAGAATGGCCCTGTGAATGAGTACAGCAGGAAACCACGAGGGAGCCCAAACACCATTTTTAAGTTTACTTTTTCTCAACAGAATTAAAAAAAGCTCAATCTCCCTACTGGAAACTGCAGTCCTGTAGTAATACTGAAACGATTTAGCTGGTCTACCTGAATAAACAGTTTTCCTACTGTTCCATTTCTAGACTTGAGTGCCATTTATGCTGAAATAAGAACACTTTTGGAAAATATTTGACATGGCAGAAATCGACCTTTACGCTGCATTTGGCGAAAAAAAGGATTGTTTACAGAGATATTATTTTAGAGGTTTTATTTAATGTAATTTTACTGTAAGGAGATTTACATTTGCAACAGTCAGCATGGCAAAAGCAAGGTTTTCATTTGCTTTTCAACTTACTATCTGAATAGTGATTGTGACAATTTTAAATATTTTTCTCTAACTGACTATACATCTTTAAAATGCAGCTAAAACTATTTGAATTCAGGTATTGATGCAAAAATGCAAAGCAAAAGATAGTAGATGTTGAAAAATGCTGTTTTAATGTATTATACAGTGACACAGAAGAAGCAATTCAACTCAAATCAAATGTATGTTAATTAAAAAAGTGTTGTAAATGAATTGATATGAATATTTAATGATGGCAAAGGACTCCAAAATGAGTATCAGCTTCAGGCCACAGTTTACAATTCATTTTCCTAGAAGCTGAAAGTAGCCCTACTGTCTTTGTCTTCTCCTCTGTGCATACTCATGTTTCTTATTATCTTCTCAGGTAGTTCATCGCTCAGCAGTCCCAAGTGCTTTGGCAGTTGACTGGATTGGGAAAAACCTATATTGGAGTGACACAGAGAAAAAGACATTGGAGGTCTCTAAAGTCAATGGATTGTATCCTACAATCCTCGTGAGCTCTGGTCTAAAGAACCCAAAAGATTTGGCTTTGGATACTCAGTCAGGGTACGTAACATACTATCTACTTATTGTCATGTGATGTCCTGTGATTATTTTAGCAGACTTTTTGTTTGATTTAATTGTCGTGTGAAAAACGGGATAGAAATGCTGACCATTATCCCCAAATGATTATCCACAAATTCTGGTGAGCATTACTTTTTTTCAGAAGAATACAAAAGGTCACACAGGATGTGAAATGATGAAATTGCATTAATAAAATAAAAGATCTGCACTTTGACATCCCTTTTAAGCTATCATTAGTGTTTAGCTGTTCAATAGTATCATTTTCCCAATGTAATTAACCTGGATCTCAGATTAAATACTTTAGTTTTTTTAAACTCCAATTAAAAAAAATGAATATATTTTTTTGCAAGTAAAAAAACAGATAGTTAATAAGATCTCAGTAGGCTGGTAGGCATTCCCCCTGTCACATTATAATCCTCAGTTAACAGAGGAAGAGTGTCCAATACGTGAATTCCTAAAGCTGTACAGACTGCTTGTTTTCATTTGGTCTCTGAGCCCCAAGGAAATCTGTTTTACAGTAGTAAACTCATTAATACTCGTGTGAATTATATTAGGAAAGATATTTCTTCCTACCTTTGCTTAAGCAAAAAAAAAGTTGGAAATCTGTCCCTATTGCGCATGTGCAATGAAGCAAGAAAATATTTTCAAAGCATTTTAGAAAAGAGTCTCAATGCTGCCAATGGCCGTGACTGTGAATATTTTGAATATGGAAAGACATCCTAAATTTTTATTTTAATTATTAGAAAACTGTGTGAACTGATGAATATCTCTGTTTTGCTTGTCAAAGGTATGTGTTCTGGATTGACTGTTGTGAATACCCTCACATCGGGCGCATAGGTATGGATGGTACCAATCAGAATGTGATAATTGACACAGAAGTCTCAAGGCCAGCAGCTTTAATGATTGACTATGTCAACAAAAGGCTGTACTGGGCAGATGACAATCATGTCTTGTTTTCTAACTTGGATGGATCCAAACGGTACAAGGGTAAGAGAACATTTCACAGCAATCTTGACATTTCTAAAATTGAAATGCAGTTAAAACATGTTCTATGTATACAGTGTCCTACCGCGTGTATGATTTTATAATTAAGTAAACAATAGCTATTAACAATAATACGTTTTTTGTAACAAAAATCATGAAAAACACATAAAACCCCCTCACTTACAGTACCTCTTACATTGCAAAAAAAACGTTTTAAGATATTTGATCAAGAATCAACACTTTGATCTACACAAGATCTTTATCTAGATACAAGAAAATCTCTTGTTTAATATATACAGTACATAAAATAAAAACAATTCAAGGATTACTGTTGTGCAGAAATCAGGTCTATAGTTGATTCACACATCCTCATGATAGGCTCTTAATTATCAAATAAACCTAGGAATTAACAATATTAAGTCAGTGAATTCTCTATTAAAAGTATTAGTGATCACTATCAGTTTTACAGTTAAACAGGTATCATCATATGGAAACATTATGTAGATTTCAATAACATTGTGACAGTGTCATCATATTTACATCCAGTTGGTTCAATTAAGAACCAGCCAAGTACAACTGAACATACAACTTTAAATCATAATATTAGGGTTTGATTCCTCATTGAAACCCCTAAGCAACAGTGTACCCCAAAAATAATTCCAGACCTTGCCTAGAGATTTCTTAAATCTGAATACCAATGATACTATCCTTATCAGTTTTATATGCATGTCATATAATATCTTAGATCTAGAAACGGCATCTCTGTCTTTCATTAGCAAATTGTTTCATGGTTCATGATCTCTTTTTCTATTTATAGTCAAATAGACATCCTTTTCAACTGGTCTACAATACAAATGTGTTCAAGACAAGTATGATTATAGATGTACCTCTAAAGGGATTGTTCACAATAATGTCTTGAGAGACATCACTTGTATGTTTTGCATCTGTGCTGTTAGTATCTGGTTTGTGTTCTTCTGTGTTTTTAGTATCAAGATGGAAAAACATTTTTAATCTCAAATTTTGATCAAACTGTTTTAAAACAATCCTCTATAAGTGTTTACTTGTTTTTTAGCAAGTTCATCAAATAATTATTAATTAGTAATAATGCAATTACAGTAGCTTATTGTGGGGTATTCATTGTGTTTGTATGTAGGAAAGTTTGTCATGTGCTATTATCCTGGTAAACATCTTCTTAAGACTTAAATGTTGATTTTAGGGTTCCTTACCAAAAATGTTTTGTACATGTACAGTCATGTGAAAAAGAAAGTACACCCTCTTTCAATTCAATGGTTTTACATATCAGGGCTTAAATAACAATCGTCAATGGTCCTCACCAACTTCTAAAATTAGACAAATCTAGACTCAGATAACAGACAACACATAGCAGATTTCACTATGTCATTATTTATTCAACAAAGAGTAAGCCAAAATTAAGTACACCCTTACTGCTTCCATAGGAATAAGGTAATTAGCAGCCAGGTGCTGCTAATCAATGCATTTGATCATCAGGAAGCATGACCACCTTTATAAAAGCAGAACTTTTGGCAGTTTGGTGGTCTGGAGCATTCAGGTGTGTGTTAACGCCATGCCAAGGAGAAAAGACATCAGCAATGAACACAGAGATGCAATTGTTGCTGCCCATCAATCTGGGAAGGTTTATAAGGCCATTTCCAAACAATTTAAAATTCATCATTCTACAGTGAGAAGGATTATTTACAAATGGAGAACATTCAAGACAGTTGCCAATCTTCCCAGGAGTGGGTGTCCCAGCAAATTCACCCCAAAGTCAGACTGTATAATGCTCAGAGAAATTGCAAAGAACCCAAGAGCTACATCTAGGGATCTACAGGTCTTGGTTAACATGTTAAATGTTAAAGTTCTTGACAGTATGAACCATCAGAAAAAGACTGAGCAAGTATGGCTTTCAAGGAAGGGTAGACAGGAGAAAGACCCTTCTCTCCAAAAAGAACATGCCAGCCCAGCTTAGGTTTGCAAAGTTGCATCTGAACAAACCAAAGATGTCTGGAACAATGTCTTTTGGACAAATGAGACCAAAGTGGAGATGTTTGGTCATTATGCACAACGCCATGTTTGGCGAAAACCAAACACAGCGTAGCACCACAAACACTTCATACCAACCGTCAAGCACGGTGGTGGAGGGGTGATGATTCGGACTTGTTTTGCAGCCACAGGACCTGGGCACCTTGCAGTCATCGAGTCAACCATGAACTCCTCTTTATACCAAATTCTAGAGAAATACCTTGTATTCTAGAGACAAATGTGAGGCCATCTGTCCAACAGCCAAAGTTTGGCCAAAATTGGGTCATTCAGCAGGACAATCATATATAATTGATACACCAGCAAATCTACAACTGAATGGCTGCAAAAGAAAAGAATCAAGGTGTTGGAATGGCCAAGTCAAAGTCCAGACCTCAACCCCATTGAGATGCTATGGCGGGACCTTAGGAGAGCTGTGCATAGACGAATGCCCTCAAACATCAATGAGCTGAAGCAATGTTGTAAAGAAGAGATGCAGAAAATTCCACCAAAATAATGTGAGAGTCTGATAAACCCATACAGAAAATGATTATTTCAAGTTTTTCAAGTTCTATAAGCTACTGAATCACGGGGTGTACTTAGTTTTTCACACATGGCTTCTGCATGTTGGCTTATTTTTTGTTAAATAAATACTGACATAGTGGAATCTGTTATGTGTTGTTTGTCACCTGAGGTTAGATTTATCTAATTTAGGACCTGGCAAGGACCAGATTATTTTTTTGTTATGTCTTGATATATTAAACAATAGAATTGAAAGAGGGTGTACTTTCTTTTTCACATGACTGTAAGTGTCTGGGTATTTTTTCTACCATGCATTTCATAAAACTTTCCAAGGCTGTATGTTTCCTCTTTTTTTCCTGTTAAAATTACCATGGGCCTTAATTGGGCCTACTGTATCTGTTTCAAAATGTTCTGCAGTATAGCCTCAAATGATGGATGATATTGTCCCTTACAGCTCAGTCTGTTTTATTACGGTTAGACTGAGCTGTAAAGAAAGATTAATTTATCTTTAAAAATTCAGCTAGATTTGGTATTCATTAGACTTGCTTTCCTTTAGGGATTTTATCTTTCTTGGGAGTGTCTGTCTTTCCCTTTTTTCACCAGTAATGTGATTTTCTTTCTTGAAATTTGAGGAACTGACAATCTCATCTTTTAATTTTCAGCTTTTGTAAAGTTTGGCTCCACAATAACTGCTTGATCATATGCAATAGAGGTGGTGGGCTCCATGTATAGCCAATACCTCTGAGCTACACTTCAGTCAGTACAGAGCTAAGATTCCACAATATCTGTTTCTGTGTAACACAATCAAGAACATTCATGTCAGCACAATCTTGTTCAGTGCCAAAATAAAATCAAAGATTATCTGTCAAGCACAGTTTTTTTCAGGGAACAAATCAGTTCTCTCTGTCCAACTTTTATGACAGGTCATGTTACAAGTGAGATAAATTATATGAACAGTACTAAAATGAAGTTATAATGTCTTAGAAATCTTTAGCATGGTATTATACTTTAATACATTATACTTTAATTCACAAATATATTTTCTTCCTGGATGTCACAGTGCATTGCTTTAACTTTATGTCATTTAAATCAGCAGCTTTGTTTTCAGTCAGCTATAATGGTAACTCTTAGGGCTTATGGAATCTATTGATATACAGTAGTATTATTAGAATGTGATTGGGAGTAATTAAACCGTTATAATGATCAATAACCTTCTATTGAGATAGATTTTGATTGTATAAGTATTTTATGTTTCATTCTGTAATAAATGTGTTGCTTTTTCATAATTAAGACATTACATTCGCAGCTACTAAATTAACCTGTCACATCAGAAAACATGATTAAAGTGGCATCATAGACAGTATACAGCAAACTTCTTATGAGATGGTAACTAAGGGTTTGTTTAAGGATTAACTCATGAAGTTACTTGAATAGTGTTGTATGACCGTACTCTCAGCAAGGCAGAAGTTGTACAATGGTCAAGCACAGCTTGTCAATACCAGCAGTGTTTTTCTCCTTACTAAATTTAACAAGAGACAGACCAGTTATTTGTCCTTGCTGACTGAGTCCTGTTCTGTATGTTCTTTCTCATTTTGGGACAGCTAATATATACTGTAGCATATAACATAACGTATAACATATTACCAATTATCTTCAAAAAGTTTTCATTTACAGTAGCATCAGTTGTGATAACTGACCTGTTCAGACTGGTGATATTCAGACAGTACATTCTCATTAAGCGCTCCTTGGCACTGCACAGCACAGCGCTTATTATACAGTATGATGTTATTACCTTGAACTTGTTGAGGTCATCGTCACTTGCTTAAATGTAATAATAATTCATATATTTAGCTCATGGTAATAGTAACAATAGCTGAAATAAACATTGACTGAGTGGAAGAAAGAGAAAAAATAATTCGCTGTAACTTAAAAAATGACTAATACTAAAAACTGAAGAAACAGTCCAGATTCATATTATGTCATGGTACTGCAGTAAAATAACATACTGTATATACATTTTTCATGTAAAAATGCTTCAGTGATATTTTTAATGATCTGTCTTTTTTTCAGTAACGTGAAGTACCTAGGTCTTATACACCAGGACAACAACACTTCCTCAGATTTTCTTTCCCTGTTTATGAGTAATATTTTTCAGCCATCTTAAAGTGACACAGAATTAATATGTTATCTATTTGTTACAATTATTGATTTAAAACATTTGACTACCAGCTATAAAATAACATAATTCAGACCTTGATTTTTGCCGTTAATCTTGCTAAAAGCAAGCCATACAAAAACATTAACTTCAGAAAGTTCTATTAAATTACTTCTGCTTTGAGTCACACTGAGTTTTCTACAAACAGTGAGACTGGCAATGATGCTAATTGACTCTTTCTGTCTTTTCCTGCCATGCAGCTCATTTGTGTAGAGAATAAATTAAATGTTTCTCTCACTATGATTTTTTTTAATAACAGTCATTAGCATTTTTATATCCCATCCTGCTTTTGTAACAAATAGGACCCTTATGTATAATAAGCAAATCTACCAATTGCCTCAGAATGAAATTAAAAGACATTGAAATTCAAAGCATTGTTTCACTTTTACATTGTAAGCATTTTGTTTATCTGGTTCCAAGAACAGCTTCTCATTAGCAATAATTCTGTGCTTTCTGGTTCTGAGCTTGGCTTCACCCCACAAGTAGGACTCTAGCTTTCAGTCTTAAATTCCCCTAACCAGTAATAAAGAACCTCCGGGGCCTGACAGGTCATCACAGCAGTTATTCAGAAGACAACGTGTGCTGTATCTGTTGGCCCGTGCAGTATTGAATATTCCATCTGGCTTTTTTCCAGAGCTGATGATTAATCTTGCTGCCTCCTATTACAGTTCCTAATCAAGACATTCAAGGGGTGATGGGGCTAACACTGTTTGAAGACTACGTCTATTGGACAGATGGGAAATCCAAATCTCTCCACCGAGCGCACAAGACCTCGGGAGCGGAGAGCATATCGCTGCTGAGCTCTTGGCAAGCTATAACAGACATACAGGTGTACCATCCCTTCAGGCAGCCTGATGGTAATCGCCTTTCTATTCTATTAGTTCAAATTTCAGAGCTGAACAACAGGTAGAATTCAGTCTCATCTAAAAATAGCTATGGGAAGATTACTGTATACCAATAAATATCATTTTAAAACTTATACTGTATTTAAGGTAACATTAAAGCACTAGGCTAAAATTATTATTTTTTCCATCCAAATGTACAGTGCCTAAACACCCGTGTCAAGTAACAAATGGAGGATGCAGTCACTTGTGTTTGCTGTCTCCCAGCGGAGGTTATAAATGTGCCTGTCCCACAAATTTCTATCTTGCTGCTGATAACAGGACCTGCTTATCCAACTGTACAGCCAGTCAGGTTTGTGTCAGAACATTTCCATCATTTTCAATTGCTTATAGTCTTCTATGATATCCAGACCAGTGCATTCTTATTACCTGGTTTTAGGAGGATGAAGATGCAAAGTGATGTTATTTATTATCAAATAAAAGCAGTTTTTGTGGCCTTGTTTGATCAAGCAGATGTTTGATTGAAGATTTATACCTGTAAATAAGCCTGTGGTTCCCCTGCTTTTATTTCTTTTGTTGAAAAAAAGTCTCTGCACAGCAATGGGTTTTGTGAAATATATGCTTTGATATGATTACAATCGTGTTATACTGTGGTTTGTTGGTGTATAGTTTCGTTGTGGGACTGATGAATGCATTCCCTTTTGGTGGAAGTGCGATACAGTGGATGACTGTGGCGATGGGTCAGATGAGCCAGAGGACTGTCGTGAGTAACTCTGTGTAACTTTATATACTATATCCATTCGTGGGGCAAGGTAGATGAACTGATAGATGAAAATAGATGGAATCTCCAAAGAAAGTATATGAATGTTGTATGAAGTAATTTAGATAGTCATATCTACACATGTATCATATATGATTGATACTGTAGATATATCATATATCACAGAAGACTATTTTTTTTCTCAGTCTAATTAGCAGGAGCTCCTTGCTCAAAGTTAAAAGAAGGGTCATACTGTAATTACTTATTTTTTAAAGTTTGATTAAAAAAGATCATTTTGGGTCACTGTGCTGTATTAGTTTAGTGGGAAAGATTTTTAATCAAATGGCCAGATCTCTGAAGTGTGCCAAAAAGTGACTCATCAGAACAAAAAAAGGAAATACAGTTTTGAAGCATTTTATTATTATTTTAGAACAAATCAAGTATATTGTATATATCAGAAAGCATAGTTACATAATTGTTTAATGCAGTTCTAACTATTTAGTATGACATAAACATGGCAACTGTGCTTTTAAAAGATAGTACCATAAATATGAATTCTAAAACACAACCATAGGCTCCACATGCTCTTTTGCTTTCATATGCTCTTTGAAACTTTAAAATATCAAAATGAGTAACCCTCCACAGCTGGTCCGCAAGTCCTGTCAGGCATACCTGAGCTGGCACCTGAAAATATTGTACTCGGTATGTCGGCCCTTTTCAGAGTCTCTCAAACTGGGAAAGCCTGGCTGCTGGCAAAGAACGGCTGCCATGTGTCACCTGCTCACCCGTACACAAACGCAAGGAACTATGATTATGAATAATGTCAATTTTAGTGTATGTTTGGATTACCTCTCATTTCTAATTTCTATTCTTTCAGAAGGAATCTTATTATTAAGCATTACTAAAGTTGGAAAGGCCTATGTCAAATGACTTAATCCTAATTTGTTGTGGAAGGAAAATAAAAAAACAGATATGATGTCTTTGACAAAGCAAATTCTTTAGGGCCTAAACAAGCACTCGAGTATATTGCAAGAACGTTACTTCCTGTTTGATGGTGCTAAATTGTTCTAAAAATAAGAATCCTGGACACTTGTCTAAATGAACTACCAATACTTTGTTTATTCATCTATTCTATTTAGTTTTTAAAATACTGTACACGCATGTGTACAGTACATGCTTACCCACTAGTTAAAATGTCTATTCATTTTATAGCAAAGATAGATGGAAGATCAGAGATCACATTTTTGGAATGCAATCGCCACCTAGTGATTCATAAGGTGTTGTGTACAGCTGTGATCTTTCATCTAACTATAAGTAACATTACTACGTAAAACACATGTAAACCAAGCCCACATCACACACATGCTACAGGGAACTAGTTCTCTACTCTTACATTGTTTTCCACTGAAAGTGACTCACACATCAGATGGAGATGGTTATAAAGTCAACTGGGGTTAATGTCAGTTTCATTTTTACAGCTGAATTTATATGTCAGCCTGGGCGCTTCCAGTGTGGAACTGGGCTCTGTGCCCTTCCTCCTTTTATATGTGACGGAGAGAATGACTGTGGGGATAATTCTGATGAAGCCAATTGTGGTAAGAAGCAATGCTCGCATTTTTTAAAATGTCATCTCTTTCTGTACAGATTATCTACCTGACTGATTGCAGCTTGTTTTCAGCTATGTTCAACATGATTTTCCTGATTTTATAATAACCTTCTTTCTTCTTCAGATTGCTGGTTTAAATGTACATGTTACTGTGTAACTTTCTCCCTGGTAAAGAATGCAGAGGTGGATATTGCTAAATGAATAGCTAGAGAGCATATAGGGCAGTGTTAGTGGATATGATAATGCATAGGATGTGGGTTCAATGCCTAGATGGGACAGTGCTGTTGTACTCTTTTGCAAGGTGCTTCACCTGATTTGCTCCAGCATAATGCCTAGCAGTACAGATGGGTGCAAATGAAAGTCTCTTTGGATAAAAGAGACAGTAGCATAAATTAGCGTGGGCCACTGCATCAAAAAAAAAAAAAAAAAAAAACAGGCATACAGTAGTCCATAAAAAGCTGTAGATTTCTGTAATCTCAATGTCATGAGGATTATCTTTGATGCACTATTGGTCCATGGTGACCTTTTTGGTGCTACTGTACGACTCTTACCATGAATAAATTACTTGTTAATAATGGAGGGATGTACATCCCTATTTTTGTGAGAAGCGGTGTCCATCTATATCGCCTCTAAAAACTTAGATGATGAGCAAATAGTTGTAATACATAACATTTGTATGACCTTTTGATACAGTCTGTTTCACCCCCAACACAGCTATCCAGAACTGCCACTTGTACTGGATGTTGTGAATTTGTTAAATGAATGTAATAATAATAATAATAATAATAATAATAATAATAATAATAATAATAATAATAATAATTGCTTATACTTATATAGCGCTTTTCTGCATACTCCACACAAAGCACTTTACAGGTAATGGGGACTCCTCTCTACCACCACCTATGTGCAGCATCCACCTGGATGATGCGACGGCAGACATCAGCTATTAGTGGGGAGGAGAGCCAATTCATAGATGGGGATTATTAGGAGGCCATGATTGGTAAGGGCCAATGGGAAATGTGTCCAGGACTCCAGGGTTACACCCCTACTCTTTTCGAGAAACGCCCTGAGATTTTTAAGGACCACAGAGAGTCAAGACCTCGGTTTCACATCTCATCCGAAGGACGGAGCCTGTTTTCAGTATAGTGTCCCCGTCACTATACTGGGGCATTAAGACACACATGGACCACAGGGTGAGCACAGCCTGCTGGCCCCACTAACACCTCTTCCAACAGCAGCCTTAGTTTTTCCCAGGAGGTCTCCCATCAAGGTACTGACCAGACTCACACCTGCTGAGCTTCGAGGAGTTGGCAGTTGTGAGTTGCAGGGTGATATGGCTGCTGCTAAAGTGTTAAAGCATTGCCCAAAAATCAAGCTTCTTTTTTAACTTCTAAAATCTAAAACAAAGACTGAAATAATGACTGGCATAAAGTCCCATTTTTATATCATCTTTACTGTTCCTGATTCATCAAGTTATATTAATTTATTTGAAGTAAACAAAACAATGTTGCTTCATTTTTTATTTTAACATCAATATGCTATCTTTTATTTTCAGATACTTACATGTGTCTCTCGGGTCAGTTTAAATGTACACAGAAACAGAAGTGCATCCCCTTAAATCTACGATGCAATGGACAGGATGACTGTGGAGATGGGGAGGATGAAACAGATTGTCGTAAGAGATCTTTTCCCTTTCCGTTTTTTCTGTTTCTCATTAATCTTAAGGAGATTAGCTGAGTGCCTGATAGACAGGCTTTCTTCTTTTTATAAACCTTGCCAGTTTGTTTAATAGAAAAAAAATGGACAACACACACATACTACAGTATGTGACTGAAAGCTGTAAGGGCCTAAACTGAGAATACTAAACCTGTTTCACGGGTCAGTAGATTGGAGCTCATTCTTTTAAAGTAAAAGGGTGACATATATTAGATTTTAAACTTTGCCACTGAATCTTTGGTACAAAGCAGATCAGAAGAGTTTATGAAAGGTTTGGTTTTCTTTAATCTGTCTGCTGTAATACTGATGAGTTTAATACTGAAGAATTTTTCTCTCCCTATTGTTCAGCTAAATGAAATTCTCAGTCCCTCTGTATTGCTGACATGTTGAGGTGATATGTGACATAAAGTGTTATTTAGACAGATGCTCAAGGGACAGACTCGTGTTAATAACGATTAAAAGTATATTTTGGTGCAAAAAGTGCAAAGATTAAAAAATTAAGTATTAAAACAAATTTCTGTTTACTCTTCATGCCTGGCTCCTTCTCACCCCTCTGCTAATGCTCAGCACCTGAGATTTAAAGCCTTGGCAAATTTACCCCAGTAGGTTCATTTCCATAAACATGTGAAGCACATGCTCCAGTGTGAGACGCAGCCTGTGGCTGTTTGCACAGAGTGTGCTGTTCAGTGTGGGGTGAGATCTCACCTGGGATTCCAGTTGTCCTAAAGGGGTGATGCTTTGCCTAGGCTAACTGTCACTAGGGGATGAGTATGTGCCAGGTTAAAATGCACAGCAGTGAGAATTAGCCAGGGGTGCAGATTAGACTATGACACAGGACCAAATGCAGCAGTAGTTTATGTACACCAGTAGTTTATGTAATAGTTGTACTGCACCAAAGATGGGAGATTCTACTAAGGATCTTAATTATAGATTTTCATTAAAGCTTACAACATAACAGTACATTAAAAAAAAATTCTACAGAAAGTATGGACATTTTCCTATTTGGCCAAGTCTTCCGAGCAATTGCAAAGAAAAGTAATGCATTTCAGAAATGAAAATACAATCACTCATTAATTGATTTGTACTATAAGAGTACATGAAAATAATAAAATACATATTGCTAAAATGACTGCTCATTAATAAAGTTTTAATATTTTCATTTCTTATTAATGATTTAGCATTGTATGTGAGATATAATATAATTTTCATTTATTTTATGTGTTTTTGATTAAAAAAGCCTCACATGAAATGTTCAATTCTGAAATACATGTTCTGTCGTTTAATATCACATCATATTGGTTTCCTTTGCATTCTGTTCCCTTATTTGCTGCTGGTCTGAATCTGAATACTGCCCATCAGCGGAAAACACTTGTTCGCCTGAGCAGTTTCAGTGCAAGACCACAAAGCACTGCATCTCCAGGCTGTGGGTCTGCGACGAGGATCCTGATTGTGCTGATGGCTCCGATGAGGCCAGTTGTGGTAAGCGGACTTGTGCCAATACAAGCGCAGAGAACCTGAAGTTCACTAAACACAGTCCTCCACCAACAATCTGTTCCCTGGTACCAGTGGGACAGCAAGCTGCTCTTTTATAATTTATTCAGAAATGCAGGGAAAAGGCTGGGAGTGGTTTCATAACCTTTAATTATTGGACTGCATGTTACCTGGTGATTGCCCTGTGTTTGTCATTTTATCAGGTGCCAACAGACAAATGTGAAGCCATATGGGCAGAGTGCCCTATTGAGAAGTACAGCATTTATCTCTGTATGTGCTGGTAAACACATTATAGACACCACATTTAGTTCAAGGTGTTAATGCAGCAATCTTTCTGCCCTTTAACAAATTACACCATTATGTTTGTTGAGCCTTTGAAACTGGGGACATCAGTGGTCTCTTATTGGGGCAAGGTACTGTATATACCTAAAAAAATATATTACTCCCAGCACCTAGTGAATTAGCTTAACACATCTTTCCCATTGTCTTTCCTCTTACATATGTAGGTCTGGCTACTGCAGTGACCTTAGCATTTTAATGTCAGTCATTGCTTTTAATACTGACATTCTAGAGTAAATATCTGTGGAATGTCAGGTCCGTGAATTTTATCTAGAGACATTAAAGTACAGTATATGCGTAATCTGATTAAATGTATTTTAGTTTCAGTTTCACCTTTTTCCTATAACGTACATTTCCTATAATATATGCATACAGTACATGCATACATGCATATTCTAATTTAGACATTAGTTTAACTATTTACAATTTTTTTAAATTATACCTATGTTCTTATTTTCCCTACTCCAAACTGCCCAGTCTACAATAAATGGATTGAATGGACAATAGAAAGAAATAGGTTAATCTTTTTAGGCACTTCTTGGTATCATATGTACTGTATGCTGAATTTCTTTATTTTGTAATATGCGTTCTGTCACTCATGAATATCCATTCAGCAGAAGTACAGTGCAGTCTGTAAGTGGTGTTTATAAAATTGTATAATTTTTCAAACAAAATTCAACAAATTCTGTTAACACACAGTTACTGTATGCTGTATATACTGTAGAAGAGAATGCATGTAAATCAAGTGAATTGCTGAATTATCTATAATGTCAGCCTTACAGATGGGGAAGACTGTTCTGTTGTTCAGCACAGTTCCTTGCACATCCACGAGTGTCTGCCACCTCTTTCCCAGGCTGCGGTGCCCTTGTAATAAAATAATGTCAAATAGTTCCCGCACAGCTCCGAACTCGGAGATCCTCACTGGGCCAAAACGATGAAAATCAGATGACGATCAACTTGACCTGGATGTGTTTGGAGTAACACTTCAGAACTGTGTTTCTCAGTGTACTGTAGCACACTGCAGCCTTCACTGTGTGTGAGTGCATTTTAACATGTTGCAGACTGGTCTCACACCCAGGGATTTTCAGGTGGGAGCCTCCATGGAAAGTAAAATGCCTTCCCCACCCGTGAAGCATGCAGTGAAGGCAGTGAAGGAAGATTTAATGGTGCGCATTAGTGTGTTTACAGTGTATGTTAGGTTTAACTTATGAAACTTTTCCTTCAAATGGAAAACATCTGTTTCTTAGCATTATTTCAATTATTGATTTTTTTAATTCATGACAAGATGCACATTGGCAAATATCCTGTAAAGTTCTGTTTTGATCCCAGGTAATGAAACAATGCATTTTACAATGAATGTGAAAAATATGGTTCAAAACCAACAGAGATGGTAGCACCTCAACTACACATGACGTGTAAGCTAACAACCATCTCTTCAAATAGCTTTCGCGTGATTTTGAATACTAGCAAGGTTATAGTTTCAATTGTAACTCATAGCTAAAATCTTTACTTTTCAAGTCAAGGATATTGTTTTTTATTTAGAATGGGGGCTTCCCTTCACATTACATTACATTTTCAGAATATTTCTGCTCTGCCAGTTTGCTGTTGGTTTAATTATAAAATGTATATCCACAGATCAGTGAATATTTTTAAATGCCATCTGTTTACCCACAAAATATATATTTACTATTCAGAAGAAAAATGTATTAGTGACATACAATTGCTATTCAGATATTTTTGCTGCAACAGATGCCAACATAAACAAGTGAATGAATTCTGTGAAAGACACCCCTGTCACAACACAATTAGTCAGAATCCATCTCCAATTGCTGTCCAGATGTCTGTTTTATCTGTTTTGTATTTCTAGAAATCTAAGGAATGTTTGGTGATACCATATCGTAGGGGGTGCTAATAACACATTATAAGTGAACAACAAACAGTGCCTAACACTAAAGTATTCACTAATACGATACTGTATTTATAAAATATAAATACCTGACTCTATGCAATACATCTTCAGTATGTCATTTTACTGTATAAATGTTTTATGTTTTAAGAGCTATCATATTTTTTTGTTTTCAAGTGATAGCCTTGCCTGCAGCAGAAGTGCTTGCAATTGATTGGGTATCAAGTGTGCAGAAACAAGAGCTTTCTTATTGAGTAATGCAGGAGAGGGCACTGACTGTGGTTGTTGATAATTAAAAAGTGTCAGTTTCTTACAAATTGATTTGTCTCCCATCTCCTGACTGAATGCTTGTTTGTTTTTGATGGTGATTAATTCCCCAAATCCATTACGAGTTTATGTCATATATAAACCTTTTTGTAATTGTTCACAGGTAATTCATTTACAGAATGTCATGTGGCATTTTAGTCCCCCTGAACTGTTAAATTCAAGAGGCAGGTTAATGCCTTATAGTTTTGTTTTGTCTAATGGCATTTAATCATAACAATGAATGACTTAATAACTTAAATAGTAATTTAAAATTTGCATGGCAAATTACAGAGTGTGCCTAATTTACTGTTGAAATCGGTCACATTTTTTGTACAGCTTCTACCAAGTTAACTGTTAATCTTCAGACTTGCTGCAATTTAGATAATATTTTCCTCCTATTTCAGAATTAATCTTACTCATTTGTTATCTTGCATTTTGATTCTAAATGTTTACTGTATGTGAAGCCACTGAGCATAAAATTCAGGTTTAATTCAATAGACAATTAGGAAATACAGCTGTACTATGCCATGGTTATATCTGATAAAAAGCTGACTTTTTATTTCAAGCGTGGACATTTTCTGTAACGATATTTTGTAGGAGGCTCTGAGTGCATTAGAACTGTCTGTGTCAAGATGAGCCTGCAGCAATAGTTCTATTTTTTCCGGGGGCACACAGGCAGTTTTCTGATATAGTCATGTGCTTACTAGCCTAATGCAGTGCCAATCACATACCTGTAGACTTTGGATCTGAAGATCCTGCTCCTCTGAGTCACCTCCAAGTGCATGAGCAGTACATATAGAAAGTTCCCAGCACCCAAAGCACCTCGCAGGAACATCGCCCCCTGGTGGAGCGGACTTGAATACTCCTGCGAGTCCCAGGAGGGCGGTCGATAACAGATACATCGTACCTTATGAGCTCTGCAGTCACCCCCATTTCCCTTCACTTTTTTACTGATAACTTATTTTTTGTTTTATATTTGATTGACAGAGAAAACTGTCCTTCTTATTGAAAACTGCATGAAAATATCACCCTCCATTGGTACTGTATGTAGGTTGTAATTTCACTTCCTTTACCAATGTAATTTGTGGTTTTAAAATTTTTAGGCCTCATTCTGTACACTATGTCTCAAGCTAGATTTTTTGGAGTCAAGCTTACAGTATTTGTCCTATATTATATTAGTGCAGTTCCTTAATTACACATGCCTTTGCAAATGATAAAGTAATGCTGTCAACACTAAAAATTCTGTTCACATATAATCCAAAAATATTAGTCTTATGTTGCTACTGTAAATATTCACTCTACAACTACGAAGTTAATTTCAGTTTTCAGTTAGAGCATCAAGCTTACACAACCACCTAGTATTAAACAATTATCTAATTTTACAACATATTAAAACTAAACTGACACATAGCTTAAAGCAAATCAGTGCTGTAATCATGAATCTTCTGTTGTCTCTTTTAATGGCTAATCTTGATAAGCGTTTGTCAAATGTAACTTTTGCAATCTTTGATATATTTATAAATTGAACATTATTCTTGTACACTTTTAACATTTGTATTATGTATTAATTTTCTGTTTATCATACAATATGTCTCGATATGTTTTTTTTATACGTCTATGTCTTGTGTCTTGTTCTTTGCATCAGACCCATGGAATAAGATGTAATTAGGTTTTCAGCTAACTCTGGTGCTGTTTAAGATCTGTGTGCTGTCAGTGTTTAAAAACCTAAACTATGCTGGTAGTATTGTGCCTCAGGAGTCTATGTTGGGTCCTGTTGTTTACCATCTATATTTTATTTGTAGACCAAACACTTCAGAAATATGGCTTCACATGACTTATCTCTTGGATGAAACGGTCAAATGGTCAAACGGTCAAATGTTTAGAAATTGTATGCTAAGCTTATTTAAGCCATTAGATTCATATGTGATTTAACCTTTAATTGTGCAGCTGATGCTACACTTTTTATTACCATAAGCAAACTTTTTTATTAGTTTCTCAAAGTATCACAAACGCAGGTGATCTCCAATATCCTATAAATTCAACCATTACGTTTGTTTTCACAGCAGTAACACTTTTTTCTAACAAACCAACAAGTCAAGGGCATTATACTGACCATAATACTTCAGACGCAGACAACACAATTCCATCTATTTTTGCCAGCAAAATAAAAGGACCCCTTAGGTTTTCAAACTGACCAGCTATGGAAAAAGCTGATCTAATAGGCAGAGGTAGCTGTCGTTCAGTGAATTCTGACTACTCGGAGACTTATGGGAAATTCTTAGCTCTCTCTTGTATTTGCTTGATTTTTTTTCTTTTTGTTCTTTTTCTTTCTGCCCATCAGTGAAGTGAAGATCACATACGTTCTTGTCAACCTGTCATAAGTACACACCAGAAGTGTGCAAAAATACACATTTTATTGCCTTACCAGCATATACATACCCTATCTCCCATTGCCAGTAAGTAAATGTGATAGTGGAAATAAAAGATTCATTATTCCTTTCTTTATTTGTTTTCATTTTTTTGAAGGCAAAAAAAAACCATCCCAGGTCCTGTGTTTAAAATAAATAATTGAGTTTTATTTTTGCTCATCATTAAACATTAGGGATAATATATATATATATTATATAAGTGGTATTAGAGAAGACCTGTGTGTGCTACAACTTCAGAATTTAGAATGAACAAAGACAATAAAATGAGATTATTGCTTTTTGACTGGTTTTCTTCTGGATATTTCTTTCTAATGCATGTGCTGAGTAAAACATACAGTAAATCTCTGAGGGTTCAGACTGGACCCTAACCAGGCCTGTACTATGTACTGTATACTTTCCCCAATAATTCAAGATTATTAAAGGGTATATCTGTTCCACAAGGACATTGATCTTGGGCTTCTTTTAGGGAGGGTTCTATAAACTGATAATACAGTGTATTTTAGTTGGTTCTAAATATTAGATTATTAAATTTAAAATTCATACTTGTTCATACTTGATCATTTTAAATTGACTCCAAATGCTCCAGTCAGACACATTGGTGTCCTTTCTGATCCTACTCTAAGCTATCAACACTGTATTTGGAATGCCGTTTAATTATCCTTCTGCATTGATGTAACATTGCTCAAGTCAGATCCTGTTTGGTTATGATTAATGCTGAGAAAGCTGTATTTGCTTCCTTTTTTTCTAGAATTGAGTAGCATAGCGCCTGCTAGCAGGGATCTCCAAATACCGACTGAAAAAATCAACTTTTGTCCACACATAATCTAAATCTGCTTGGAGTGTCATGCTGCAGTCACTACTCTGGTTGTTTGTAAAATACAGATAGGATTTCATTTCAAGATCTTGCTGTAAAGCTTTATATTGTGAATTTTCACTGTGCCATATTTGAGGGACCTTTTGCATATGGATTCACACACTTTTTGTACTGTAGCTTACATTCAGTCAGTGCAGTTCTCTAAACTGCCAGAGAACATGTTGAAAACTGTGGGAGACTGAGCCTTCTCTGTCTGTGCACCAAAGCTGAGGAATTTTTCATGTTTCCTTAAGAAACTCTGAATCCGTGAACATTTTTAAAACTTGAAACTTTTTACTTTTCTTTGTTATTAATGTATTTTTGTAAAGTACCATAAGATGCATGACATTGAATGGCACTACTTTATATAAGTAAAATATAATTGTTCAATTGGTTTATTAAACCAATGTGAAACATATTGGAATGAAATGGAATTAAGTCTATCAATATTTAGACATTTCTCATTCATTGCTTTTCATAAAATATTGTTTGTTAACAAATAAAGTACAGTAGTACACCAATACCCTGAGAACTAAGCAGAACTTAAAATGGGGGTCTGTTAGTGTTAGATCACCTATTTTAAAGACTCTTCCTTGAAGGCTGAAGAACTTTAGATTTTAGTCTTGAATGATCTCTAAATACTCAATTGAACAAATCGTCTGTTTAATTGATCATGACAAAAGTGTTACATGTTTTTAGAAAATTGTGATGTAATAGTGTCGTTTCAGTTGAATTAGCAACACAACTTCACTGCGGACAGTTTAAGAGATTGTAACACAACATACTGTAGTGAATACTGCGATTACTCCATTGTGCAAGTGCTTCTCATTATGTATGTTAATAGGCACTAGGATGTATATTATAAGGCAATTCCAACACAATGCACAGAGGAGAAGTAGCTTTGGTCAGGGTGAGAATTCTCTGTGCATGTGTTGTTGTCACAAGTGAAGTTTAAAAACTTAGCTGAACAGGTCTTCAGAAAGCCTACTACCTGTGTTCTGATTATGCCAGTTAACACATACATTTTATATGGGAATAGATTAATCCCTTGAAGTGACATTTAGCAACACTATGGGAAATGTAATGAGCCAAAACATGGAAACAAGATATTGTTTTTCACCAAGTCACTTCCAAAGATTTCATTAGTGTCATACCGGGACATAATGGATATTTTCATTTATCCTTCATGAATAATTTATCCAGCTGCTGCAGTGAAACATGATCTTAGGTGGACTTGACTGAGACATCTTTTGATGCACCTACTGCAGCGATTTCACAAAGGTGCAACGCATACGCAATATGTATGCATCCATTCCTTTTATTTATAAAGAAATTGTGTTTCAATTTTGAAGAGTGAAACCTGGTTTTCAGGAAGTTATCAAAACAAGGTTTTTTGTCATTTTTTAATAATTCAATAAGTTTTGGAAATTTCTCTTTCTTCTCTAGGTTTAAGACTGCTGTCCCAGCTTACAGTTAACAGGTTAAATTAATTTTATAAATGAATATTGGCATACAAGGAGACACACTTGGTTTGTGAGGAAATGTAATGCGAAGTATTGATCATTTGTACTTTAGACGTACAGAGAAGACAAAGCTTAATCAATGAAACATAGCCATTTCCTGGCAGTTGTATAACCTCTGAACCAGTTCTTAATATTTGTTCCCTTCACTCTTGTTGAATTTGCACAACAAAATAATAGGGCAGTTTTCATGCCCAGCTATGCTACTGCTACATTAGGTGTGCGCAACTTGTTGTTCCTAATGTTTGGAATTTGAGGACTGAAGAAAGTTTTGTATATTTTTTCAACCTTTGAAAACTAAATAAAAAATCTTCCTTTAGAAATTAAAATATATATATATAATACATAGCACGTACAGTATGCAGTGTCTGGACGAGAAAGATTATACAGTATCTCACATGCTTGCATACTGTACTGCTCCAGTACAGCTTTAAATATAACTCTCATATCTCATTGGTTTGTGTTTAGGTTTTTATACTATAATGAAAGTATATAACAGGTGAGAAAAAAATGCGGTTTCTTTTTCATGCATGGGTAGCAATTACACTCCTGTGACATCTTAGAAATGTGTTTGTAGGTCACAGTAATGAACGTGTTTTGCAAGGGCAAGTTTGTTCTAATTAGTAAAGAAAACAGCAGATCCTACAAGGCAGTGTGACCTTATTGCGACTGGTGCAGTGTGGCCAATATTTTCACAGTTTGCAACACAATGAAAATAAGATTGAAAAAGTTATGTTCAGCTATGCAGCTGGTAAATTAGAAACTCAAATTATATTTGAAGCAATCTAGAATAATTTTAATTCCCTTCCCAAACTTGTGTTTTCCATTCAAAAAACATAAAACCAAAAAATATTAAATGGCCCACAGCCTCTATTTGTATACATAAACAGTTAATGCTATTTATGTATAAAAAAATAAATACACAGTACAGTCTGTGTATATAAAACAGATAATCCATTATATACAGTATATTTGAATATGAATTGAGATGTTTAAAGTAAAAAGTCCTTTACCTCTGTATGAGCATTTTTCTTCTCAGGAGATTCTCATAATTCATATTTGTCTATTTTCCCATCAGCAAAAACCTTTCTGTAGATATTACAAGTACATCATACAGCATCTGCCTGTTTCTCAAGTACAAGAGGCGAATTTTACCCTGCAGTGAAAAACAAAGCCTTATATTCTACAGCAGCTTTGAATCCAATTAGAATTCTGATAATGCTCCATTAAACCCAGGAATTAGCACTCAAACATGACATTGTGATATGTCCATTAATAATGCATTATATATTTATTTTTAGGACACTTGGATAACATTTCTGACAGGGCTTTAAAACTTTATTTCATTTCTGATTTCGAGTGCTGGAAATGGCTGCTTAATAAAGCTGAGCATAACTGCTGGACATACAGTACAACTGTGTGCAGTCATTTTAAGATGATTAAAATAAAATAGGCAAAAGAGAAAAATAGCTATTTCAAAAGTATGGTGGTATAAATCATCAAATAAAGCACATGTTTGCATGTGTCTGAGCTTCAGACTATGATAAGGTAATTATGATATTGTAAAGAGAGCATTGTCATTGTTGCATTAAACCTTTACTGAGTCACCTCTGAATGAAGGCCTCCCATCGATTTGTTTGCCCATTGCTACTACCCTCCATCTTGCTCGTTCCAATTGATTGATCTTACTTTCTTGGTCACACTTTGACTCGGTGTTTAGTGTTTCCTTGATCCAGGGATGATGTTTTTGATACAGTATGAGTAAAGCCCTTTGCCAATGTATTATTGTAGTCTTATTATAGTTTTCACCCTCTTGTTTGTGCTCTAACACATTTGTCTAGGTTTTTTAAGCATAGGCATTCCTTGAATCTTTGGGTCACCTGTAGCTTCTGCATCATTTTGGTGTTCAGTGTTCTGGTTTCACATTTATAATGTAAAGACAGTTCACACTGGCAAAAGGCTTTCCTTTTAATGTAAAAAGACAATTTCTTAAAAACATATTTCAGAATACAATGACAAATGTCGTGAATACTTGTCTCTAAATCAATAAAAAGTCACTGACAAACTTTGGAAAACGTATAGTTTTGTTCTTTTATTAAGAGATTCTTTGAAAGGACACATGTTTTTGTTTTTTTTCTCCCTAAGATGAGAAGACGTGCGGACCTCATGAATTCTGTTGTAAGAATAACAACTGCATCCCAGACCACTGGAGGTGTGATGGTCAGATAGACTGTGGAGACGGTTCAGATGAAGAGAACTGCGGTAAGAACTTGTCTTTTCTTCCGTATTTTTGTTTTGTTTTCTTCTGTCCATCAAAACAGACAGGAAAGCACATGATGATGAAAGAACACAAGAAATCATGATCATTATGGTGATGTCCATTTGTAAAAAGTATATTGGTTGTGCTGTCACAGAAATGCAAATACTGGTTTACTACTTAGAATCATGATTAGCCTTGAGTTCAGCAACACACAGGATGAGCTTTGGATCTCTTAGATTAGGGCTATTAGAATCTTAGAAATCTGAAATTTGCTAAATCTCCTGTGTTCACTCATGCACCTGAATGCCAATTCAAATTAAAAACATAAGAAAGGTAATGACTGCGAGGTGGCTATTTAGCCCATCTGTCTTATTGGGTTTTAGTAGATCTCATCCAGCCATTTCTTGAAAGAAGCCAGGTATCAGCTTCAGAATTATGGCAGCGTATGTCGTTCCGCATTCCCTTTGTGTAAGAACATTAAATAATAAAGGTGTGTGGTACCACTTCTGTTCTCTTCATGATGTTAACATGCACTCAGAGCCTTTTTTAGTCATTTTTCTTTATTCAGGCCTTTCTGCATGGCACCTCACAAGATTCACTGACTCTTTTCCAGTCCGTTGCCTTTACTGCTTACAATCAGACTTACGATTGTGCCAGCTGGGCTGTTGCTGAGCTAATAAAAGTTTCCTTTAAAAAGCATGTATGGATGTCTGAAAAGATAACCAAATCTATTACTCATAAATACCTTATTAGGCCTTGGCAGTATATTTTGAAGTTGTATAGGTTCATGGTTGTTAATATATTTATTTTATTGATTTCTAAAAGGAGAGAAAAAAACAGAACAGTCTAGTCAGTGTATTTGTTTTGCTGTTGTGCTACAGTATATAGTATATTTCCATTGCAATCATCCATTGTATGAATACAGAGGTAATCTATCCCCAGTTTTAAACCCTTTGATTTCACTGAGGCATAGGAATAAGCTACAAGGACTGCTGGCATTTAGTGACTGTTCAAAATCAGAGCACAAGGTGGTGAAGCAGTGAAGAGCTGGAGTCTCACACCTACAGTACATTTCATCCGATAGGACCCTCAGTCATTAGTCTGATGTTTTCAGTGAGAAATGTCCATGCCATGTTCTCACTGCTATTCCTCGGATCTTCATTGCTGGTATTGTGTCATTTAGTCCTCTAGTCTAATTTGAGATGTACTGTGAGTACAAAGACCTAATAACCTCATCAACTTGTTACTTTTTGTTACATATTCAGAGTATTATAACCACTGAAAACAGAGACACAGCTCTTAAAAAATAATGCTGACTCCATTAAGACTACTCCCAAAATGAGCAATTATCTTCTCAGTATGGTTAGAATTGGAGCTCTACCTATTGTCATCTTATTAATTATTAGCTCCCTTATTAGCACCCTTTAGGTACTGTACTTCCTTTGTTCTGTTTTTGAATGCCTTTGCAATGGGACTTTCTGATTGCTCAGTGTAATTAAGCTGGTTCAGCCCCATGCCCCTTTTATGCCAAAGATAAAAGGCATGTGACAAGCTCTCTTTATCACAGAAACTAAATTTAATTTTCTTTTGCTTATCTAAATTCTAAGTTGCCTAATAAAAGTGAGTTAAGTAATAACTAAAACACTAGCAACATTTCACATTTGTGTCATTGTTGTGATAATAAATGGTTTTAGAATTTTAGATTATATTTTAGGAAAGAACATTTCTAAATGTGCCCTTTAATTGTCCTTTTACCAAAGATTAGACTGGTGATTCTTTGAATCATGATCTTTTGAAAACATAAATAACCACTGGCTGGAATGTGAGGAAATAGAAATTGCCTTTTGAGTGGTGAAGTCTGATACTAATCTCTAGATACATAGAAATTTTTCTAATAAAGCCCACTAGATGATTGATTTGAGCACTGTCCAGATGTTTTATCTCTGTCAAGAGAAATATTTGGGAAGCTTTTAAATGATGGTAAAAAGTACATTCACAATTAAAGGAACTTCTTAGTTTATATTTACCTTAAACCATCAATATTAAACATTTGGTACCATTTATTTTTATGATATTTCTTGGCTGTGCTCCTGAAGGAAATATTAAACTACATAAATAAGGAACATTATTTCATATAATATAAATATAATTGCAGAGTCTTATTTATTTCTGATATTGTTTGCAAAAGTGGCAACCTAGGTTGTAAAGATTGTAAGAAAATCCAGCTTATGATATAAAAAGAGGTTAGAAACTGTCAGCTGTGTAACTCTTCTGTTTCAATGCACCAATTAATAATTACTTCAAGCTGCAGTATTAGGAAAATATGCAAAGTTGGTCACCTTGCTTATCAACACAAAGGTCTTGATTTAATCTTCCCAATTTACAGTAGAGTGAAGGTCTCCTGATTTTATTTTTCTCAGGTTGGAGACTAAGCATACAGGAATTAATAAAGTTTTCTCTGCAGCCATCACCCACAAATGTCACTGCTTATAATGCACATAGCAATAGAGTCCGGATGTGTAAAAGGCAATAATCAAGAAAAGCTGGCAAGCAGGGAGAGCCTTTTTGTCATTTCAGTGCAGAAAGACGCAGACCCAACAGTAAGTCCCACTAACAACAAAAAAAAAACAGGGTGATATGGCCATGAATTGCAATTTATTGAGGATTAGGAAGTGTTTCCTTACTGTATTGCTCATATTGTTTTGTCTTTGGTTTTTTCTCCTTAGAACCTCCGACTTGCAATTCGAAAGACTTTGTCTGTGCGAATGGGGAATGTGTTTCGGCACGATTCCGGTGTGATGGGGATCACGACTGTGCTGATAGTTCTGATGAGGTTAGTGAATGGTCATAATGATCCTTTCCACTGCTGCTACTGTATATTTTAGGGTAATTGACATTGGCGTGCAGATATTAAAAGTGACGTTTGAGCAGGTACAGTAGCTGCTTCAGCATGAGTAGGCTGTGAAGGAACAGGTGAAGATTCATTCCATGTTGAAAGGTGAAGAAAATAAAAGAGACACTTTTTTGGCCATGGAGCCTTCTTCAGATGAAGGCTCAAAAAAGGCTTATTAAGAATGCTCCATAGCTGAAATGTGGTGTTTGTTTTCTTTACCATTCAGCATGGACTAATATTTAAAATGAGCCAGTCCCAGCCTTGCTTTGCCACAGGTGAATTAATAATATAGTTTTTGTTGCTCCCTGTTTTCAAGTTAGAAGAATGCCTGTACTTTATAAACCTTTTTGAATCCTACAGTACTGTATGTTACTGCCAGAAAATGTAATTTATATTGTAAGTAGAAAATGGTATAGTCTGTCCAGCTGTCATTAAAAACCTCCTTAATCCTGGAGCACAGGGTATGGACACAACTGTATCCAGTCTATCACAGAAACAGACTTATTCTGCATATCTTCAGAAAAACCTGAGCAATTGGAAAAACACTTGAGAATAATGTGCAAATTCCACTTAGAAAGCAGGTTCAGTCTGGAACAGAACCAAGAACTCAAGAGCTGAAAACACCCTGTGTTCTATTTAAATACCAAAATCTTTTTCCATCACCAAAAAAAATTCAAGTATGCAAAAATGATCATATAAGTTTGCTTTTCAGTTTCAAAGTGTTCTTTTGCATGTTGAAATATTTTGTTGTAATTAAAAAGAGCTTATCTTGTCTTAATCTTATAAAATATGTTTTTGTAAATTTCATTTCTTTCATTTCTGATGACTTCAACACCAAAAGAAACACATGACTCTGAACTTTCTTAATAATGGAAAATAATTTAAATGACTTATTTATCTGTGTAGCAATAGACACATACAAACACTTTAGTTAAACAGCTGGAATCAAGAATGAAATACTGCACTATACAAGAACAAATTGAATTCACAACTTAATTGGATGAGGATGACTAATTCAGGGATACAGTGGAGAATGTACTTAAAGAGCAACCTACAAGTTCCGAAGAGCAAACCAATACATTATTTATTATCATCTCTGCTGTGTAAGGTTACTCTTATGTGTGTATAATTACGGTGCCCACGAACACAATTATTCCCATGCGACTGTGCCCACAAAAGCTTCTCAGTACAATGGAGGGGCAGGACTCGCTCTTGCTACTCATGTGAGTCAGAATGTGCATTTTTTCAATTCTGAGTGAAAAACATGCGTTAATCTTTGCAGAGAAAGATCACAGGAGGGGACTGTTCATCTGAAAGCTGTAGAATACAAACATGTCAAAGTTTAATGTTTTTCTTTTTCAACACATTCTTCTAGGACATTATGCAGTAAGTAACACAGTAAACATGAATCTTTTCATTAGAATAATGTACATGAAGTAATAATACAAATATTAGGCCTATCTTTTTGTTTCTTACAAACTATAGTTTTAAATTACTATATAAACCACCACTGATATTCAATTTTTTTAAGAAATTAGAATTTTCCATTATATTTTTAATTATATACCCACTCAACTTGAAAACGCCAGCCATTTAAGAAAAAGCCACAGCTACAGCCTCTTTACTGTATAGGGAGAATGAGGATCTGCAGACATGTTCCCTGGCCCACCTGCCTGGCACAGTCATTCATCTTTCGACACACCAGGAGCTCCACAGTGTCTGACCGAAAGTGCCAATTGGAGGAGAAGAAATATTTCCCGGATGTCACTGCATGCTCTCTCACAAGTCACATGGCAAAAGATTCTGGCCGACCACTGATCACCTACTCTAGATGAATTCTGCCATTAGTGTGCCTCCATACCCAGAATCCTGCCCTGAGGCTGCCTGCGGCCCACACTGGAGGAGCTGAGTCAAAAGAACATAAGAAAATCCACAAATAAGGAGAGGCCAACTGGCACATGGTATTTAGTAATTAATTGATCTGATCCAGCAGTTTCTTGACTGAAATGGGTATAGACGTCAACCGCATGACTTGTAGCTTGTTCCATACCCACACAACCATTTAGTGAAAGAAATGCCTCCTGTTGTCAGTTTTAAATGCATTTCCACATACAGTAGTTTCCACTCATGCCTTCTGGTTAGTGTTTCACTGGTTATTGTGAAGTAGTCCTCCGGGTTCACCTTGTCAGTACCCTTGAGAATTTTGAGTACGTCTATCAGGTCCCTCTGCAGTCTTTTCTATTCAAGACCATTAAGGTTTAGTGCCTACAGACAGTCAGTGTAGGATGCTAACTTATGCCCCAAGCCTGGCCATAAAGCTCAATGTACATTGGAAGCTAGCGCTTCCAAAATTGTACCCTTATGTACAGTCTCTATTCAGTTAATTTCACAAATTAACATGTTTTTCTCTGTGTTTGCAGAAAGATTGTGAAACACGTTGCTCGAAGGATCAGTTCCAGTGCTTAAATAACTTGTGCATTTCGCTAAAATGGCTCTGTGATGGTCAGGAGGACTGCAAGCTTGGGGAAGACGAAGACAACTGCGACCAAGGTAGAGATGCTTCATTACATTTTCAAACATGAAAATGCCCCCTTCACTCCAAACAGCAGTGCCACCCCCACACTCTCACTGGCTGCACATGCAGTACTGCAAGGCAACAGAGTGAACTCTTGCTTGAAAAGAGTTTTAAAAAAGGGTTGTTCAGTATCTGGTTTGTTGCTGCAAACCACAAACATACTCCAAGGAGTGTACAAGGCAGTCCAAGGAGTGGAAAGCACACCCACACAGTAAGAAAAATAAGCTAATATAAGCCAGATATAATTTTAGTTAAGTTGCAGTTCTTTAAAGTAGAAAAGTGTTCCCTGTTAAGCATACAATAATGATGAGAGTTCATCCTCTTCCGTATAATATTCATGAACCATGTCTTGCATCAGCTGCTGTAGGGGCACATCTGTGTGTGTTCCTTAATACATTATACTGTCTAAATGCCCTCAGATTGTGACCTTTACAGTACTTAGAAAAATTACTTGTACAGAAAAGACAAAAAGTGTCTCTCAAGAAAATGCTGTAATGTATTGTAACTAGGGGAAACGGGTCACAGAGCTCAATGTGAACAATATGAACATGTACTTTTTGAAACTATTATTTCCAATTCGGAAGCTTGTAATCATTTTAAAAAGAACAGTATTTAGGACACAGCTGCATCAGAGAGCAGGGGCATTACACTCTGCTTTCTCATTAGTGTATATTTCTTGAATGGAATAATTCCATACTGTATATGACTGATTTCATTACCTCTCCTAAGATTCCAGGTATTTACAGTAGTAAGTAAAGGAATGGCACAGTGATGGATGACTCAAAAGAGAGAAAAGTTGGGAACTATTGCATGAAAGGATAAATTCATGACGAGACCACAGTACTTTCCATCCATCATGTGCTGAACGCTTCATCGAAAAGGGTACTGGGAAGCAGGGGCAAAGGGGCAATTAATGGTGTTAAAATGCTCCTCCACTTTTTTAAGCTGCTACAGGTTCATTAATAGAAATCACAGAAGGGGGAAGGAATGTTTGGATCATAGCTGTATATTTTTTATGAACAAAGATAGCTTTTAATACATGAAAAAACGAAGGATTTGTCATTCGAAAACAGCACCATGCAAAGGCATTCATGTTACAGTTTTGGTTTTGCATATTTAAGGATTCTAAATAAAAAAACAATGATCAAGGAGCCACATACAGTATGTAAACCACTTCTCCCTGTGAAAGGTACAGTATGAGCAGATATCTGCAGCTATGTTTTGAGGCGGAATGACTGTCTAGAGGTTCTGTGAAAAGATAAATGATATTTCTGATTAGAACACCGCATGAGCTGAGTTTTTTTTCCATAAAGTACAGACACATTGTTTGCACAAATTTGCCAGGAAATGACCAGCTGTGTGGGTTGCATGTTAAAAAGTGCCTAACACCTACAGTAGGTTCATTAAAAAACTCCTGTACTGCTGTTTTCAAGTAAATACTCTTCAGTTAGTCATTCAGAACCTAAACTTTGTTTAGCTGTAATAATGCAATAGCAGTCTAACCAACACTGCTAATTAGCTGTGTACGTTTTTAATCAGTCAGCTCGAGTCTTGGAGAGCACAGGAAGTGTTTTTTCTTTTCAATGGTAACTAGAAAGATCAGAAGGGAGCTGGGAAAATATCATTTCTTTGCTTACTTATAGTGAAAAAGTGTCACTTAATGAAAAAAGATTTTAAGAAGCCCTTATAAGAAGGTAAGAAACATTTACATTTATTTCTATATCAAATTGTAGAATGACACTAAAACTCTTCCATTGCCCCACTCCATAAGTTGTCTCCACTGAGATGGGTTAAATATAGCATTATATTTTTAGGATTTTATTAATGTATCTAGGTTTAAATAAAATCATTTTCCTCAAACCAAATGGAAGTCAGTTAGTTTAATGTGTTGTTTAATTTTCCATTTACAAAATTGAAAAATTTAATTTTCTCTCACATATTCCTATTTCATCATCTTAAAATTATTAATTTAAACATGCAGTTGAACTTTCTTTCAAGATATGGAAAGCACATGTTCCTTTGTCCACTGATTGCTGTCCCTCCACACGAGTGTGTGTCAGGACATAATTACTTCAAAGCGTCTGGACATGATTCTCTAGGCGGTGTTAGTTTGGGAAGATATTGTGAATGTTATAAAAAAGCTTTCACGTATTTAGTGAAGGAAGTTTGATGGTTCGAGAGTCGAAGATTTCTGATGAAAACAGTGAGGCAGGTTGTCAGAATGCAGTTTTAAAACTTGGCTAATACTGGCAGTAGTGTGCATTCTTTCTTTCCAGCTATTTCCTAACAAACTGAAAAAAGCCTGGTGTGATGCAACAGGGCAGTTATTTTACTGCCTGGGAGGTCAACTCATTCTCTTATTTGTCTGGAACACAGATTTAACCATGAAAACATTACTTCAGACCTTTGAACTTTGCAGACAATCCTTGGAGTTACCATGTTTTGATGACAAAAAAACCCCAACAGGCATAGTAGTTATAATCAGCTGAAAATAAAGAACGATTCTGTGTGTAAGAGGGCAAAACGCAGAATTTATTTAATCTCTTCTGAGGACCTTTGAGGTTTTCTCCAAAACAAAGATTGAAAAGATTTGAAGAAAATGAGAAAGGTTATGAAGGAAAGGGGGCCCCTCAGCCCATCACCCACCTGTCTAGTTGTTAGTACTTGAATGATTCAGGAGCCTGTACCAAGATTCGTTTTAATGGTTCCAGTGACTCAGCATTTACACTCATCACCTTTTTTCTGAAGATGATCCTGCTCTCAGTTCTGAACTAAGTTTCATTTAATTTCCATTTATGCCCTCTGGCTTAGGCAGTATGTTGGGTTTTAGATGGAAAAGTTTGAAGTGACTTTGCTGGTGCCTTTCAGAATTCTGAAAGCCTCCATTTAATGTTTGGGAAATCTTGCTTGCCTGGGGGCAAAAAGATTCAATTGTTTCATTCCAGCCACACATGACTTCCCCTTCAGCCCTGCTGTATCTTACTCATTGTCCTCTCTGGATTATGCCCCATGCTGCAATACCTGCTTAGTGTAGTGGCAACCAGTAATGTACAGTATGTCATGGTGAAAATTTTCTAGGTGGGGTTTTATCGCTAAATTGTAAAATCTTAGCATGGCCTCCTTTAATGTTAAAGGAACAATCTAAATATGTTTCCAGGCATTTTATTATTTTTGCACCACTCCAAAACTGTCTGGATGTGTCTGCTGATGAGTCAGATTTATTTTAGTGGCATAAAATCTATAAATTAGACAGGTTTGCTAATGAGTACAAAACAAGGTTGTTTTGAAAAATCGGAATGAGTGGCGATCCTGAAACTGGTCTCTATGCTACTCCACACAGTGCCTCAGACCCATACTACTTTTCGTACAGCTGCTCTCTTGAGTTCTGTGCACTACCAAATTATTGACCTCCGTACGTTTATTGTCATTTGCCAACTGATTTCAAATTAAAAATTTCATTTTCAGATTAGTGGTTACATAAGGAAAGTTACAAACGAGATAGAGGTGATCTGAACGTGTGCACTGGATGGAAAATGATCTCTTAGCTCATGAAACTGATTTAGTTGCTACAGTAGTAGCTAATTGATCCATGGTTCTCACCCTGCCGAGATGAGAGGAAGTCAGCATCACAAAGCTTGGGTAGTTTGTTCCAGTCTGTCACAATGTAGAAACAAAGTGTACCCTATTCACAGATTCAAACGGATTTAGCAGCTGCCACATGTCTTCTGGATTGTGTTTCAATCCGTTGATTTTGAAGAATTCCACTTCTTTTAATTTGACAGTGCCTTTGAAGGTTTTTGAATATTTAAATCAGATCTCCTCGTAGTCTTCTGTGGTATCTAAAGTACAACTGGAGAAATAACCCAGGCCCAGGTTATGCATTGGGCTTCACTGCTCTGCGTGCGTCTCCAGAATTCTCCTGAAGTGTATTGGAACAGTCTGCAATGTGGGCCGTGGAAATCGAACTTTCCGTTGTACGCGGCTTTATGCATAAAGTACTGTAAACAGTCTTTGAAAAGAAGTAAAATGTTGTATCTATTTTCCTTGCTAGACATGTTTTCTTCTGGGAGGAATATGTTTTGTTGTGCTGGGAATTTGTCCTTAAACTGTATGGGGCCTCTGTCCGTTTACCTATGCTATACTGTCTCATCCTAATTTGCTACTCCTGGACATTAAAGAACAATGTTTAAGATAATAATATGGACATTTCTGGAAAAGCAATCCAATTATATCACATTATCATCATTAGTCTCCAGTGTTTTTCCATTTTCTTTTGAATTTATTCTACTTGATCTGCTTGTTGGCAAGATGCAGTGTTCTATATTCTTGGCATCCTTTTACAGATGACATGTTGAAAACTGACGCAGAAAGTCTTTCTCTCTGTGTGATGGATTTTTAATGCTGAGGATAACTGAATTATAGCATTATAAAGGGACTGCACCAGAGTGATTAAATGTGTATGAATAACACACTGTGTGTGTTCTAAATTAAGGTCTGGCACAATTTATCCAGAGGAAACTGTTACAAATCTAACTAGAATCTGCAGCACGTCACAGGTGTCTGTACTTGAGCATAAAAGTCATATGCATCTACTTCTTTTAACACATTGCAACACAAACATACAAGTCTCTTCCTTACACCATCTTACATCACCCATATTTTCTCTTTGTGTTCTCTGGTCCATTGGATTGAAATTGATGGTGTTGAATACTTTGATCAAGTGCTCTCATAGTATTCCCTTTTTCAAGATTTAAAAGTCGTCACATTTAGCCTGCTAGTGGAGAACATTCCTTGGAGGCTGGCTAAGTATCTAATTGTTCTTCTCTGGACTGATTCCAGAGCACTAATTTCCTTTGGATTGTACATTTTTATGTTACATTTCTTGATTTAAACTCTTTGCTTTTAACTACAGTATACTGTATATCATATCATTTTATGTGCCTTTTTATTGCTTCCCCACAGTATCTGAAAAATAAAAATGATTTGTCAACATAAATACCTCAGTTATTTTTAATAATTATCTTTTTTCATCAGTGTTTCCCATCCAATACTTGTAACTAATGTTTTTGTTACTAGCACATACTGTATATTTTCACAGCCTTGGATTTCATCTAAATCATTTTGAATTTCCTTTGTGGTTTCTTCAGTTTGGCATTGTCTGTGAACTGGACTAGTTAACTAGTTTACTACAGTACCTTTACAGTAACTTTACCAGAATCTACATGAAGTATATCAGCAATAGCAGTGGTCTTAGTACAGATAGTACTGCTAGCAAACTTACTCTGCTAATTAAATCAAGTTTGAGTATTCATTCTTTACCTGAATTACATTGGATGCTTATAATTACAATTTACGAATTAATTTTAATGGGGAATTTTATCAAAAGCTTTCTCAAAATCAAAATATGTGATATAATAAGCTTCATAAGCTCATATCCTTGCAAAGCAATATAAACATTTTCGGAATCCACATTGACTATCATGAAGACTACAATTACCATACAGATTACCCTCTGGTTTAGTTCTAATTATTGTCTCTAAACCTTACATGTTATAGACGTAAGACTTAATGGTCTTTAAATACATGCGTCAGTTTTGTGGTATTTTTATGTGTAAGTGCTACCATAGCAATTTTCCAGCTGATGTGTATTAGCCCTGTCTTCACTGACTGCTAGAAGAGTTTTGTTTATGGGAAAATGAATAAAATCTGTCTTCCTTAATTAAGATTGATAGAATACAACTGGGCCTGATATATTTGTTTATCTTGAGCACATCAAGTTCCTGCAACACTGCTATGCCATTAATTAAAATAGATATCTGTCTTTCTTTAGTCTGCTGTCAGTTTTTGTTCCTTGGTACAGTACATACCTTAGTGAGATATCCGTTTAATACATCAGCCATTTTTCTGTCATTATTTAAAGTTTCCAATTAGTCTCTCTGAGACACTACTTCATTCTTTATTGAAAAAAATCATCAGAGTTTATTTATAGAACAGAGTCCACAGTGTGAGCAAATATCAAATTTCCAGTACTGAATACTTCCATGCAATTATCATATCTTATTTCCTCTTTGGGTTTTGTTAACATTACTGTAATTTATCTTACCCTTAGAAGTTTTCAGTTTGTGCAGGTTTTGTTACAAAACAGTTAAAAAACGTGTTTTACATCATTTTGCAATTAAAATAAATTGGGACACTATAGAAAGTGTCTGAATACTTTCAGAAGTATTCACATTGTACACAATGTGGTATGTGTAAAAATAATAGTGGAATAGTACTAATAATCATAGTACTGTGTAAGTACTATACTATTAATAAGTAGTAATAGTAAAGCACTGTTTTTTAATAGTGCAGATTTCAGATACAAAGAACAGCAGCAATGATGGCCTGTTTTTCTGTGTCATTCACAATGAAATGAGCAGTTAGCCCACAGGAGAAATATCTACCTGAAGTGAATTATATTGCCTTTGGATTTTGCCCTTAGCCCGGAGGTCTTCTCCTGCTCGGTAATGTAGCATTTATTTTTACTTTACTGAGTGGCTCTATAAAGAGAAAACAAATTCACAAGATGGTTCTGAAGAAAATAAATTCAGAAGTCATCAGTCATTTTGTTATGTTATTGACTGTAGTGTATAGGCACTCATACTGTTTTTGTTACCTAGAGATCATCAGGTCAAATGCAATATGAGCAAACAATACTTGAAGAAATAATGACTGGACACAGCATCTTGATCTACGCCCTTGAGTCTGTGTGATTCACATTACTTAAGAATAAGAATTAAACTTCTATTTTTCTGATCTGAGCCACTCTGAGGGAAAGCTCAAAATCAAAATGCTGAAATTAAATGCTGACAGTTTATTTTCTCTTTTTGGGAAACATTTTTGAGCCATCTGTGGAAGTAACTGTGAAGTGCACATTGCTAACTCAGTTACGCTCTTTCTCATTGACCTTAGGTATTATTATTGAAGCTGCCAGCTGTGAGAAAGTCAGTTCCATCTTTGGCAGGTAGATTCTGACACCAAATATAGCCCCATTACTTTGTTAATGTGCCAGACGTGCCACATGATTGACAAAAAGGGATTTAGAAAGGCATTTGTAGATTTTTTATTTATTCATGCCTAAAAAAAGTAAAGCACCAGTAAAACGATTTCCTAGATTAAGGAAATTTTGGAGTTGTGGTGTGTTTTAAGAGCAGTTACTGTACATCATGAGAGATCATTAATATTAATTTGTATGTTTTCCTCTTTGAAGCTCATAGGGTTCTACTAAAAGTTGTTCTCGAATACAAACACGGACAAACAGAATACAAAAGACAGCATACTAAAGGGACAAAATAAAGGCACAGGTTTAGAAAACCTAAATATTGTGCATCTACTGATCTTCTAAATCTTTGTTTTGTTCTTGCTGTATAAGAAAAGATGTCTGAAGTATTTGCATTAAAGAACTTAATTTAATATTCTTTGAAATGGCTCTCACACATCTATCTGTAATGTTATACATACTGTAAGTACTTTTAAAATTCTATAGTGTTTTAATGAAGAGCATTTTATTAGCTTCTTACAGATGACCCTGAAGAATGGTTACATTCTCACGCTGTCATTAATTGAGTAATGGCCAATAGCCTTTTACTCCTGTTGAAATCCAGCAGCTAGCTGTACTCCCTGAGCTGTGATGTGGATCTGTGAGTTTGCTTGGAATCCTCTGTAAATATCTGGCTTTGTATCAATCATTGCCATAGTGCTCTACCTTTTCACCCACTAATCAAATCAGAAGGATGTGAATCTCTTACTTTACTAAAGACTGGATTTTGTTCTACAAATGGGGGAGATCTGATTAAAATCTCATAGGTTAAGCTCATCTACAAAGCCCTAGAAAATCATTTGTAGGAAGAATATATTGGAGATTCAGAAGTCAGAAGCCATCCATTAAATTTGAAAATGCATTTTATTTTATCTGTTCAGCAATGACTGCAATGAAGTTGAGTTGAGAGGAGGAAGGGAACAAAGTACAGGCATTAACAGAAGTTGTTTTATTTTGAAGCCAGGTGTCTATAGATCTATGTGTATCCTGAATTTAAAAAGCGGGCGGTGAATTGACTTATTGATTGATCGATCGCCTGCTTGTCCACAGTGGTCCCGTCTTGCTCCTCGAGCGAGTATGTCTGTGCGAGTGGGGGCTGTGTGTCCGCCAGCCTGAAGTGCAATGGCGAGAACGACTGCACTGACGCCTCAGACGAGGTGAGTTTCCGGTCTTGCCTCACGTACCGCAACCTGAAACATACCTGTTTCATTATTCAAAGAGCTGTTGAAAAATCCAGAAGTAGCTTAAAAAGACTCAAACATTTATTAGCTGTCCGATGTGATTAAATTGCACGTTACTCATCGTTTTTGCCCTATTGTCCCTTTAGCTGTATCCTCACAGTGCCTTTTACTGTGCTTTTTATGGAAAGTGTGTTGGTTGATGTTCCTCAAACAGATCTTTTCAAACAGGTGCAGAATACTAAACAGTTGAAGAAATTTTGATTGAGATAAAAATTGACAAAAAACAGCAGAGGTAGAGATGACCTGTTATGATTTGTAGTTATTATTATTGAATAAATATTCCAATGCACACATTCCTTCTCCTGAACAAAATATAGAGTAGTGGGAAGTTCCCTAGGGAAGTATTTAAAATGATCTCTGCTTACTGATGCACACATACTCTCCACTATCCTTCAGGGATTGGAAGTTATTTCAGTTTATTTTGGCTCCAGGTCTTAATGTTTTATCCTGCTTTAACCTCCACTCTGTTCTGTTCTTTTCTCAAGATGTGGACTTCACAGTTAAAATAATGTTAGTTTATCATGACTTAATGTTGAGTACATTTTTTAAAACAGCAAAACAGTAGCATGTGAATGCTCATCAAATTCGTTAATATTTATTTTTTTATATTGTATTCTTAATCTGTGCTTATTTTATGCTTTATAAGAAATAATATGTTTGGGAAACAAGTTTGGTTCGTACATTTACTGAAGCAGTTGGTTTAGCAAACCCCAAAGGGATTTTCTGTGATTAAAATAGCACTTTTTGCTCTGTGTCAGTAGTTCACAGTATACCTGTCACCTAATAATGGACGTTAAATGGGGCTCTTTTGAAATCCCAAGACACTACATGCTCAGAGACTTGTCTTTCCTAATGCATTATATATTAAAGCAATTTCAAGAGTAAGAAAAGGTCGAAATCTTTTACTAAAGGTGACACCCTTCTTAATTTAACCAATAATTCACATTCTGTCCCTATGGATGTCTGAGAAAATAAAACTCAGTATTCAAGGTATATACTTCTTCTACAAGTGCAAGGTAAAAACAGCAGTGATATTGTCTTATTCACTTTAAACCAGGCTAACCTCTAATCTTTTAAGAGAAGTTACTTTTCCTGTTTTTGATTGAAAACGTAAGCCAGACACACAAGGCAATTAAACCATATCATGCTGTATCGACAGGGTGACTGTGTGAGAGAATGCAGAGAGGACGAGTTCCTCTGCCAGAACAGAGCTCACTGTATCCCTTCCAGATGGCGATGTGATGATGTGTATGACTGTGTGGATCGCAGTGACGAGGAGAACTGCGACCACGGTGAGTCATGCTCCTTCTGGATGCAGTATCGATTTTTCACTTGCTTTTTCACACAGATTTGTTTTGTTGTTTCATTTCATGTGTAATACATGCTTAGAGGACCTGGGGGAAAGAAAGACGGTTAGAGCTCTCAGAATCAGCACACTGCAGACTTTTCACATCAAGAATATGATCGTTATTGCTGCAAAGTTATACCCTGTTCTTTAAAATCATGGTTTTTTCAATTGATACATCTTGCAATTTGCAGGTTAGTAAAGTTACAGTACAGAAAACATTTTAAACATTAATGAGCAATCTTGCAGACTTACCAGAACTTAGTTTCATTAGCTCACTTCAGGCTTTGCTATGCAACAATATATTTGTACCGCTGTAACATCTAAGGTCCCCTTTGTCTGTTCTCAAAAAATAGATGGAAAAGGAAAGGACTTAAATTACTTTACATTCACCTTGCTAATGACCTGTAAATGTTTCTTCAGCTACACAGACAAAGTTTGTTTTATTCCCCAGGACCCATCTAACACTGAAATGCATAACATGACTGCTAATGCTGATTTTTTCATTTATTATATCAAGTCACAAATGCCCACAATGAGCTGTTCTGAACAGATAAATAGACACCATATAAATGTCTTTACAGTTTAGAACTGTGGGTAGTCTGTTGGCATCATTAATATGGGTGCTGCATATCATAGTTAATATCAGAAGGCAATAATAATGAAATGTAATCTTCTGTCTATTTTAAGTTGCATATAAAATGCATTTTTAAACCCTTTGCACTTTTTCATTTTAAAGCCTGTGTGTTTAAGAAAGGTTATGCATATTACAATCTTGATAAAAATGTATGGTGATAAAGCTCTGATGATAGATCCTCAGCTGTAGGCTACAGATTTCGCCTTTGCTTCTGTTTTATTCATGTCTCTCTTACTGCACAGAAGCTTTGTAAGAGTCTGGCAAACATCTCGCCACATTCCTGTAATGTAGGAAGTAATTGTAACTTATGTTTTCTTTTAGAACTATTTAACTAATCAAATTCATTATGGGATACTTTGCAAAACAGAAAAATAAAAAAAGAATGCACTCACTAAGTTGTGAGCTGCTAACCTAAAGACTCTGTAGCTGCTAGCCTACAGAGAAGAGGGGCAGACTAACTCCAGAACAGCACAAGACTGGCTTGGTGAAATATACCACAAAAACCAGGAGTAAACAGTGTCTGACATTGATCTGCTTTATTCAATTGTGTCCAAACCATATTAAGTTAAAATATACATTTTGTATTGGACAATGTTATCATTATCATTACTTTTGAAGAATAAATTCAAAAATCCATATAAGTATTTTGTTTGATGTGAATATTTTTCTGAATAATAAGAACAACAATAATTATATAAAACAACAAGATATATACTTCTACACAGGATAATATGAATATTTAACACATTTCCATTACTTGAAAAAACTACTATAAAACAGAATTAAAACTGATTTTTGAAAACAAATGCTTTAAAGTCACAAAAACAGAGATGAATACAGTTCATACAATGTCTTTATCTAGAAGGTTTGGACATGTTTGTCATCTTAAAATAAGTAAAATTAATGTTTTCTTGGAACAAAAACTATCGTATTGAATTCAGGGAATGTAATGGTGATTTTAAAATGGAAAATATTACTGCCCTTAGAAGAGTTCAGAGAAGAGTGTCTTTAGTAGTCCATACTGTAGGTGTGTCTCAATCTCAAACCTCTCACAGGTGCTTTTATTATGACAGAACCCTGAAGTACATTCAGACAGTTAATTCTGTCAGATACTTCAAGTAGGACACAAATTCAGTTTTACAAGTTCAGAATAGTTTACACACAATTTGTGAGTATTTGGAATAAACTACCAAAACATTTGTGGAACATTAGACATTGGTGTCTTATAAAAAGCACCTGGAAAGCTTATTCGATCAATAAAATAATAGCAGGAAATTGGGTGAGATAGACCCAGCTGGCTCCTCTTGCTTGTGGCTTTTCTTAAGTTCTTATTTTCCTTTCTCTGTGTATCTAAAGCTAATAGACATAGTTTTCACTGCAGACATGATCTCCTCTGTGTAGAGATCTGTAAAATAGCCAGAGACTCAAAATGGAAGGGATGCACCTTCATAATACCCAGCAATATATGCTATTGAAGAGCTTCTATTGAAAATCAGCTATATTCAGACAGGCCAGCTGATGTGGCAGCTTCAGTAATGTGAAGAAAAGAGAAAGAACATCTGACAGAGAGACATTTTTGGTTGTGAATGAACTAGACCGTGAAATGAAGATCTGTAAAGCACCCAAGCTTTATAGTGTGAAAGAGACAATGGTGTTTAGGAGAAAACCGGGATTATCCCTTTCCATTCAGCACGTTAAATAAATTAAATTAAATATCAGATATGGATTCCAGTTCCAACTTTATATTTAATTAGTCTTTACTCTTAAAGTGTCTCTCCTTAACTGAATATGAGCATTTCAGAGGTTGTAGAGCTTTTATATAATACTAGTATGAGTTTGCTAGGATATGAAAATAAATGCATGGAAACCATCAGCACGAAACCCTACAATGTGTCTTTCCTATACCCTCCCTATTCAGCAGGACATATTAGAACGCAAGACTTGAAGAGCTGTGGTGTGTCCACTTTTGCAGTCACAGCAATCTAGATTAATTCATGTGGCAGTTGAGGAAAGTTCTTGTCTTTTACTGGTTTCAGCAAGAATGTTTAAAAGATTAAATGTTCCATGAGATGGGTTCAAATTAGATTGAAGTCAGTAGATGAACTGTTCTGCCTCATCTGAAACATGTTATAGGAGAAGAAAGACATTACTAGTTCATACAGCTCAGGGTATGTGAGAAAAACTATGTGCACAATAATTTGTATTCTTCGGGATAACATTAAGCCATGTACAGAAATTAGGAAAATGAATGCATCTGTTTTTAAATAAAGATTAAGCCAAATATTACTATAAAGAAGAAGATTACTCCTCTCCTGGGGATCAGACAGGCTATTAACTAAGGATCCTTTAACTTCTATGATCAAAATATTTATTTTTGCTGTTAATATAAATGTCTATAAATAACATTTTTTTGTAGTAAATTTTTCTAAATTTATTGCTAATTGTTATTCTGGCAATTCTTCAGTCACTATAGATCGTAGCGTTCTATTCTACATGTATATCTATGGTATTCTATAGTGCCATCTGACTACTTTGCGATGCTTTAGCCTATTTTTAGCTACAAAATTATGAAAATCGACCTTATACAATGAATGACATTATAGTCTTATTTTATTTGAAATAGCCTAGTTTTATCATTTTCTTTTTTTCAGAAACATGAATCACATTTTGTGAAGGTCGAAAATCACACAGTATTTAACTCTACTTTAACTGTTTGCATTTAAAGTTGTATTCATTATTTATAGTGAAAGAACTGTTATTTGTAAGGTAAGTGACAGGTGCTGAAATATAATGATGGGCTCCTGAGAGGCTGCACTCAGCAGGGTTCTTATCTGGGAGTGCAGGCTGAGTCCTAACAGCACTTCTTCCAGTCTGGGCAGTGTTAGCTGACTGTAACTACAGTATGACACCACAAGGTAGCAAGAGCTGATGGAAAACTGCTAGGGTTTGCTGGGTATGAAGTTAGCCAGTGTTTTCTCAGATCACTGGGCACATGTGACTTGCTGCAAAATCAGTAATGTGTGGCGACTACTATTGGCACTGTAGAGCTTGCAGCATGACAAAAAGCAGATGGCCTACCTGTGCACATTTGAGAATATTTCTGAAAGACATCTCCTCACCATCCTTTACAGTCTTTTCCTCTGTGGATACATGCAGAGCAGTGGGCCAGTTCGACTCTAAATTAATAAAATAGAACTACTTTGTGATAACCTTTCAAATACCACAAAATGATACACCCAATGTATCCACTAAATCTGCTGGATTTCCTAAGGCAGCTGCCTCCTTTCCCCCTGGAAAAGAAGAGATGTGTAATGTAAGTAAATAAGGAGAAATGCAAACATGAGTCTGTATTTCTGTCAATACCTGCCCTTCACTAGAGATTTTAAGACCAGCAGACTTTTTTCATGTTGGATTTCAAATGGATGTAAAAGTAGGTCGACTAACTAGCACCACTGTCAATAAAGTTGTGAATCACGTCAGGTCAATACACTGATTTCAGATATTTTTCAAAAGGTTATCAAAAAGTAATGAGACCCTTTTAGAACATGGTTAATGTTTAAATCTGTCAAAGGTCTGAGATGTGATGAAGGTATAAAAAAGGTTCAGATGTGATGCTTTTTCCCCTATACCCCAGTGCTAAACAAGCTGTCTTGTTTTTTTTCCTTTTACCTATCAGGGTCATACAGATGCCGTGCCGATGAGTTTGTCTGCAACAACACCTTGTGTAAACTGCTAGTCTGGGTGTGTGATGGTGAGGATGACTGTGGAGACAATTCAGATGAGGATCCCGAAATGTGTGGTGAGGACTAAATGTTTCAACTCTGTATACAACACAGAACCTAATGATTCGAAAGATATTGACTATGTGTTCACTGTCATAAACAATGAACATACCTGTGTGCATATACAGTAACAGTATATTTCAGGTGTCCCCTCACCCTCAAGCGAGGCTCCGGTGTGCTGCAGTCCTGTCCTGGATGTTTGAAAGTGGGTGGATGTAATCCACGTAATTATCTAAATTACATTTAACGTAGTCACAGGCAGAGTGGACCTGGATGCACCTAGTAAAAACAAACTGCAAAATACAAATTGGGAAATGCTGAGCTTGAAGAAGGTACTTATGAAAAAGATTTACAGTAGGTGTTTATTTTGGCACTATTTTCATCTTTTAGACAATGCGGAGGACCAGTCACTACATATCCTAACAAAATAGTATATACAGTGAAAGGCTTGGATTTGAAATCAAATCAAATCAGGTTGCCCGACCAGGGTGTGGAAGCAAAAGCACTAGATAGCTGAGTGAGATCTTCAGATAAATTAGTCACTAACAAACCGACTAGCTAGGTAGGCTAGATGGCCATCTCTCATTTGTAACCTTTCTTATCTTGGCTAAATTATGTTGTCTGTTTATTGTTGGTCTCATTGCCGTATACTGATTTTGGAGCCATAAAACACTGAATATTCCCTTTAAATAGTGTTTGTGAATAAAACACCCCAGCATAGTGAAAACTCTCAAATTATTTCTCTGCTGTAATTCATAGACATGTTCACTTTTTTATTTTGCATTTGGAGGTCAACTTGCTATGTGCTTAATTATTCATAACTCTTCCTCCATGGATAAAGATTATAGAATATGCTGTGTCTGCAGACTCAGCACTTCTTTTTAAATGTCACTCAAAGGTCCATATAGCAGGAAGCCTCAGTAGACCCGCTTGTGAAACATGCTCCTCTTTTGTGCATCTCACAAAAAACCCTTATTGCCACACAAAAATCAGATGTCAAACATGGTGATGCCGTAAAAATAGAACTTACTGTGAAGGTGAGCCTTCATTCAACTGATTATGCAAAAGATTAGTCATAAGCCAGTGCTGAAAAGAAAGGTTTGATGGATATATTATTAGGCCCAAGACGATTTTTTTTAAATGAATGCATACTTAATGTAATAATATAGGCAGAAGCATGAAAGAGTGGTTACAAAGCTGGGCTCTAAACTGGAGTGTTGTACGTTTTAATCCCAGGATGACTGTTGTACCCTTGAACTTGATACTTAAATAACTCCAGCAAATGCCCTGCTATAGAAGTCAGTACAGTACTTTCCAGGTTGCCTCTGTGAAAGCAAATTTGTTCTCAATTGGTTTACAGGATTAATTAATGAAACATACAGTATTATTAGAATCTTATACTGTAGTTATGGCTTAGAGCTCCTTCGCTATCACACTTAATTTTGATTAATTTAATTTTGGTTGTGTTAAATACCAAATGAAGTTAATTACACTTGAAATGTATATCTTAATGTTTGTTCTGTTATTTAAATATGCATTTACAGTACAGTATGTAAAATATGTATTTGGTAATATGCAGGTTAAGCAGCAAACATGCCAACACCTGCAAACATTCAAGAAAGTGATTAAAGAGAGTACAGTATACAAACATTTGAATGTGCACAAGTTACAGAAATATCAAGAGTTACAGAGAGATCAGATGTCTTTTTGAATGGGTTTGCACCACAGAAGGCCTAAGCCTCTTTCTTTATTGGTCATTTTGTGGAGATGTATTTCTTTATTCAATTCTCTGTTGTTCTTTACACATCCAGGGCTCTATTCAACAGCACGTGTAGGGGATTGGCTATCAGTTGCTAAAAGTCACCTCTGTGATAAATGTTACAAGGGCTTAAATTCTAAGCATGAACATCTTTGAAGCTGGTAAATAACAGAGCTCCACCTCCAAGCTTTCATATTAAAATAACACAGAAGACACAGTCCAGCAGATGCAGGGGCACCAGGACAGCAGAACTGGGTGGGCTAGCATGTCGATCTGTGGAAGCTCTGGGACCAGTGGATAATTGCTCCCTGCTTGGGATTCTCTCTGTAATCAGGCAGTACTCTTCATCTAATACACGCTTGAGAAAGAAAGACATGTCTCACACTCCTCTTTTTCATCCGGAGTTAGATAAAAGAAAGTGGACATTCAGGCAGGAAAATTTCAAATTTCCAAAACCGAATAGGAAAGGGAAAGCACTCTTATACACATGGCTATTGGGATGGTATAATCTTTTAAACAGGGGTCAAATTCAAATAAAAAAAGCTAATGTACAGCTTTGTTGAACTGAAAGGCAGAGGATTTAAACAATGAATTAATGCCTTTCTTTGCCCGTTAATCTTTTTCTTAAAAAGCCAGACCTCATTGTTAATATTCAGCGGTGTTTGCAAACATCCAGACATCCCTTACCGGAACACTGCTTACTCTAGTAATATAGCAGCTCTATCCAAGAAGCACAGGGACCCGTCTGCCCAGTCCATTGCTCTCACACACTGAGCCATTGGATACTGGGGGTTTTCTGGAACTGTAGCAGCCCAAAACTGCGGGTGGATACCCCATGAATGAGGTATCCGTGTGCTTTTTAAAGACCATAAACACGACGTGGATTTGAATACCTAGGGAGTAGGCAGCTGGAGGCCCTGTCAGGGGGAAGGGTGTCGGAGGCCGTGTGTGATTTGTGCGTGTGCTCTTCTCCCGCGGAAGCCAAGCTGCCGTGCCCGGCCTCTCGGCCGCTCAGGTGCGGGAACGGCAGGACCTGCCTGCGGCGGGAGCAGGTGTGCGACGGTGCGGACGACTGCGGGGACGGCTCGGACGAGCGGCGCTGCGGTGAGTCCGGCGTCGGCAGCGTTATGACGGAAGGAGGTTTTTCGATGCCATGCTATACGCGTTCACATTGTGTACCGTGATGAATCTCCTATAACTAGGAAAAACCGTTGGAAAGTTAATATTTTTTCATTATCACAGACTATGGACTATAAACTAATGAGGTAGCTGGAAAGAAAGTGCCCAGTAAGAAAAAGTGGCGTGTTTTATACTAATTCTAAATCCCGTACTGCTGGCTTAAGCACATTATATCAGATGGATGAATGCGTGTACGTTTAAATGCGTGTTTAAATATAGCTCACATTACTGCATGTTCTGCTGTCCCTTGTTAATTTGTCTCTGTGCATGAAGCTGTTTATTCGCATTTTTATCCTGTTTTGTCCCGTCTGCCAGTGTTTCACTACTGTGGCATTAATTGTATTTAAAATACAATTACCATTCCCTTTTACAACTGTGACCATTGCATTTGTTTAGGGAGGGTGACAGAGTTACCCAGTTATATATCTAGATCTTTATAAAAATTTAAGCCATTAATGTCAATTCATGTCTTTCTCAAATTGATACAATTCAATATTTATCATTTCTATTTAGACTTAACCAATCTACAAAGCACAAGAAACTTTAAGTGAATTACCCAGTGTGTATGTCGGATTGAAAGCATGCATTCAAAATCAATTCATCCATTGCTGTATCTTTTGAGGGTCAGAGTGAGCCAGAGAGTAACCTGGCTGGCACAGGGTGTGATGAGGGAATACACTTACAGTACACACATATGCAGAGCACTCTGTAGATGCCAGCATGGACAACATGTCTGTGGACCGTGGACGGAAACATTTACTTTTTTTAAGCCATTATAGCTGTTTTATATAAATTCACAAATCCTGAATATGAAATATACAAAAAAAGCTCATAATCGTATCAACTCCTTACCATCAATTTGTACAATCTCTCACCTAAAACTGGTTACCAGTTACGTGTGAAAGCTAGTCCAAACTACTTTCCTGTGCAGCTGGGTGTGACCTATATTACTGTTAAATTTGCAACCAGTCTAATGCTTAAGCTCTTCATTGGCAACAACGAGAGTCACATCATCTCAGCTTAAATACTCATGTGGTCATATGGTGATTTGGGTATGCTGAAAAAACACTTCAGAATCAGAAAGATCTGAAACGTACATACTCCTAGCCATTTCTGAAATATATAAATAGGCTGCCCATTCTCATAACAAGAAACAGTAGTATAACTGTATCTGGTGCAAGAGGAATAGCTATAATCATAATTCACATTCTGAGCCTTATTGCAATATTATTGTCATTATCGTCTTCTCCTGCAACACGTTAGACTGGAATAATTCATGGGTGGCACATTGAACATTTTGGTTTAAACTCCTTTAATGATGTTTGTCTTTAATTGAACCCCCGGCGCTGGTTTTTAATGAATTAGAGAACACGATGGAGAAGCACAGGCCCTGTGGGAAGTCTGAGTTCACCTGCAGTAATAAGCACTGCGTCCCTGCTGAGCTGCAGTGTGATCTCTTTGATGATTGTGGGGACGGAGGCTCAGATGAGCTTGATTGCAAGACTGGTGAGTTTTATGTTTAAAAGCATTGCCAGCCTTAAAAATGTGTTAATATAACTTAATATATTATTTACCTTTTTAACCACTAAGACACACAGCTTTCCAATTTTAGGTACCATCTGCAGATTGTCATAAATTTGCAAAATTGTGTCCTTTCTGGTACATTGTATATACTGTAAGGCATTTTTTTTTATTTTACTTTGCTGATCACATTTAAAGTTACCTTTAACCTACTGTATTTTTTACTTTTTTTAAAATGCTGCATGATTACCTAAGTCTTCTTTTTGCCAAAGCAATGTGTTCTCTTCAGTTGTATAATTGAAATTCATATTCATCCTGTGCTACTCAGAGGTTTTGAACTAGTTCTGTGGTTCACTGTGCCAGAATAAAATATCTTGGCCATTTTGTACTGTACATGGAGCACACTATACAGTATGTCATTTGCAGTGAATGTAGAAGAAGTCTTGAACTCTGTACTCAGTGCAATTGAGATGAATGCCCTGTGTGTACCCTGTCATTAACCCCAATGATTAAAATCACTTGCACTTCAATATTAAAGATAGGTTTTCATAATATTGTACTCTGATCTCACATATTTCTAAGGGCAGAAAGAAATATTCCACATTCAAGAAATGAAAGCATATTTAAGGAAATCTATCAAAATAAACAAATAAGATTTCATTATATATATATTTTAAATCCAATAACTCAAGGCACATAATGACAGTTCTTAAAGATAAACCTATTCAGTGCACAGTTTTTATTTTTAAAGCACACAGAATCAGGTGGATTTTATTGACATATGGTGCTATTTAATTTATATTAACAACATTTAGTAAAATGTATTCCTGCAATTTTTATTAAAAGAGTCAAATAAATGCCAAAAGCCAGTTTATTAACAAATAAAACACTTTTCCCTGTTTCTCCAGCTCCCATTAATAATATGTGTGAAGGAAAAATTAATCCGTGCGGCGAAGATGCAGTCTGCAATCAAACCATGACAGCTGCCGTTTGTCAGTGCAAACAAGGCTTTGAGAGAAACCAAAAGAATAAGCAGTGTGAAGGTACGGCACAGCCTTTGAAAAGTAATTTCTTCTTGACCTCGGGGAGTGTTGCTTCCTGGTTTTGTTTGTTTTATGCTGTAGCTTCTGCAAGCGTCAGCCACCACTGCGGGCGGCAAGGACCTCACCAGAGGCCGCTGCTCCGCCTTCCCAACAGCCGGACTCGAGCCGTTTCCATCGGCTCTGAAGGAGTTAAGGCACGGGGTCCCAGTTTCCCCCATGGGAGGGGGAGCGACTGAAATCCGGTGGAGGCTGCAGTGTGGATAATGAGGCATAGCGGGTAGCACTGCCCTTTGTGAACACAGCTGTGTTCCAAACCTCTGCTTCAAGTATTCCGATGGAGTCCCTCTCTCTGCCTACACCTTAGCTTGTGGAAATATTTTCAATGAAGGGTGATTTGTGTCAGACTTACTACAGTATACTGTATGACCTTTTCTCAAAGTGCCCTTAATGGAGCTATTGCTTCACCTAAGATAGACGTTGTGCTGTAAAAGTGCGTGACAACTATTAATTAATCTTTTTTATACAGTACATTTATAATGAGGACTATTTTTGTTATTTATGGATACTAACCAGACATGGTGCTGGCCACGTACTGTTTTTCATTTCATAAGATTCATTAGTGGATGTGTTTTGTGTGGTATGGTGTTGAGGTGTGTGAAGTGTTTAAAATGAGAAAAAGAAACAGGACTGAGAACGGAAGACAAAGAAATGCACAGAGATGTGCTCAATATGCACAGGTTAACACATACTGAAGCACTGTCTGTTTCCAGCTCCACTTCAGGGGCATCCTGTTCTAAAGGTGATGGATGCCTCAGTTCAGAGATAATATATCCTGTTTAATTTGCCATATATGAAATATGCATATATGTATATAAACAATGAAAATGTTGTACTTAGAAATACAAAAACTTTGCATGTATTTTTGTTTAATTCAGTCAATTTTACTTTATGGATATCTGAGAACGATCCCAAAATATTTTTTACTGGCGAACTATAGTGAATTTGACTTGTTTTCAATGTTCTAACCTAGACATTCATAGGCCCATTGTCACAAGTGAAATGTTGTGTTTCAGAGTTAGTCCTCAAGAGAGGTTGTTTTGATTTCTGATTGGAGTCCAGATGCTAGAGGCAAGGCCAGGAGTGAGATATCAGTCTTATTCCAGCAGCTACTTACGAGGATTTATTCTGTCCTTACCTGGCTGTTGCGTAAATCTATTTTCTGTGGAGTTAATTTCTCCCATTAAAGTTGACAATAATGACTACCAAAAATCTACACCTTCTGAAACCACCATATGAATTTTCAAGTTTTGTTTACCAAACGTTCTTTAATGTATTGATAAATTTTACAAATCTTAATTAAAAAAATATGTGTAAACTGTACCTGATGCTGAAGAATCTGAAGGGTCCCAGTTACACTAGGATATCTGTATTTTTTATAATTGAGACTCAACGTGTGTGTGCCATGGATTCTCATGTGTGTGATCTTTGAAGTTCTTCTTTATCTGGCTTTTAGTTTTTAAAGAGCATGAAAAGAGTTGACAGCACAAACAGTCTGGCCTGCTTTTCCATATTAAAAATCAGGTCTTATCAACAATAACCTTTGTGGATGCAAAAATGTCACAAATTGCTGAAAGAGAATTGATTTTTTTTTTCTTTTTCAGAAGTCAATGAGTGTCTCCTCTTTGGTTCCTGTTCTCAATACTGCACGAACACTAAAGGTTCCTTCAAATGTACATGTGACAGAAATTTTAAAGAAATCAATGGCAGCTGTTTAGTAAAAGGTAAATATTTTTTTCTGCTGTGCAAGTAGTATATTGTAATACTGCGCAGTGAAGCCTGCAATGTGTAAAATCTAATTCAAATCAAGTTTAGATTTCAGAAGCAGTAAATATGTGACATTTATGTAGGTTAAGAATTTTAGGTTCTTTATTCTAATGACGTGGACAGATTTAATACTTTCTTTATAAGTGGAATTTACAATTGCAAATAGTTTTCTTTCATGAGATTCGTAACTTCTACAGTATAAAAACAATCAGAATTAACAGATCAGGTGGGTAGATGCGTCAGCATGCATAGGCTGCAAAAGAACAAGTAATAAGTTTATTCCATGCTGAAAAAAAGAAGAAAGAGAACACAGCATTTCGGCCATGGAGCCTTCTTCAGGTGAATTAACAGAATTAACAGAACAGAATTAACAGATTCCATCGTTATCAAATGAAAGATGTGAACAGCTACAGTACATCTCCAGAAGTGTTCCAGTTTAATTTATTGCAAAAACTTGCAATAATAAACCATTTATCATACCATTTATGAACAAGTAAAGGTTTATTCTGTGCTGAAAAGAGAAGAAAGGAAACAACATTTTGGCTGTGGAGCCTCTTCAGCTGTTTTCTTTCTTCTCTTTTCAGCAGGAATAAACCTTCACTTGTTCCTTTGCAGCCTACGCATGCAGCTCCCCACCTGAACTATTATCATAGCATTTACTGTATATCATTGTAATTGCAAAATTATTAAAACTGTCCATTTACGGAAATTGTGTGTAATTTTATTGGACATTTCTGATGTATATCTTATTGATGGATTTGATCATATTTACAAAGTTGTGTTTTACTTATTTCATGTTACTCTTTGAAAAAAAGAAAAGAAAAATGTCTAAAAGAAACATTTTTCATAGCACAACTTAAAACAGGCAACTGTGATGTTGAGGCATCCTGTGATCTATAGCTCTGTACTGATGTTTTCTTTTTAAATATACAGTATATTGTCTTGTATCTGTTTATATTTACTATATATATTTACTAGGGTATTAATGCTCTATGAATAAAGCCCATTGCAAATTCACTGTTTAAATATGGACAGTAAAACGTATTTATTAGGAGTTAATAAATGACACCACCACATTTACAGTTTATTAACCTGCCCTGGATAATATCTGTGTAGCTTCCTGTGTAATTGCCATGGGTTCCAGATGGGCTCAACTAGTAAACACACTTGCACTGTGGGTTCGAGCCTGGGCCATGTCACTGTCTGACTGTGACTGGGTTTCCCTAAGCAGTGGTGCCCAGCTGGCTTAGGGTGGGGTGGGAAAAGGGCTCTCTTGGCTCTCAGAGAAACAGCGCCCCCTAGCAGCTCCTGGGCTAGCACTGCCTCTCCATTAAACACTGAAGCCCTGGCTGTACTGCCTGTCATGTGTTAAAAGACGAGTGGCTCAAAGGTGGGTAGATCGGAGGAGTCTGCCCACACTTTGTCATTCTTTTCTGTGTGAGGTTGTGGGGTTCATAGCTGTGAGCCGAGATGTGAAGATCACATAGCAATTGTTTTTTGGAAATAATTGGCGATGCTAAATTTGTAAAATGGTGGTGTTACCTTGTTTTACAATGACTGAATTTTGTGAACATTGTTCTTACCTTCTTTATGATTGATATTATTGTATTCTGTTTGAAAACATTGCTTTGAATTATAAAAAATAGCTAACATTGTGTGCTGCATGTTATAAGTTTGTGTTTTTATTTGCAATACTCAAGATTATGTTTTCTCTTATAAAGTATAATTTAATCATTTCTGTTGAAGTCAAGTCCTAGATTTAATTTAAGCATGCATACACAATGTTTGCACCTTAAGAAATTATGTTTAATATGTATTTTTAAATGTGTTTCCTGTACTAATACAACTGTAATATACTGTAATTCTGTAACAACTGTTGTTGGAATTTAGACACTATTCATTTTTTTTGCATATTAATGACACAACCTGCAGGACCAGAAGATCAAGTGCTCTACATTGCTAATGACACTGAAATCCGAGGTTTTGTGTATCCATTTAACCAGAGCCATGGACACAAACAACTAGCTCGCATTGAGGACAATGCCCGAGTCATTGGGATGGATGCTCTTTATCAAGGACACAAGATTATCTGGGGTACCCAGTTTAATCCAGGTGGAATTTTTTACAAAGACACCCTAGGCAGAAGTGAATCTAAAACAAATAGTGGATTGATAGTAAGTATTTAAAATGTTAACAGAATAATGGGGAACTACTGCCTGCTTTTCAACCTGTCATCATAACATATGTGTGTTAAAATATTGTAGTCTTGAATATTGTGTATACACAATTTTCAGCATATAATACACCCACCTCTAGCTACATACATGTGACAAAATTAAAATAATATTCGCTGATCATGTTTTCCATGACATCATAAAGTAGATATATAAATATGACCGTTATACATTTTGCTTGAGATTGGAGTTTATTAGAAGACAATGATAGTGTTTATTTCATCTCCTGCTTGCACAGTCAAGAAGAATTCAAATTCAAGTTTCTTTTTCTGCGTATTTATTCTTTCTTCTCTTCAGGATAGAATCATATCTAGTGTTTAGAATATAACTTAACAGATTTGATTGAATGTTGTCATAAATAGAACATTTAATTTTGATTGCCAAGGTTATAAATTGCCGTCATTTCACTCCTCTGACTTTCAAAGTAGACAGGATCAAGCTTGTGCTGATAGGGTTCTGTTCAAAGGGGCCTCACCGGGGGATAATGCTAAATATTGCAGGGAGGCTAATCACTTGCATTAGCTCTGAGGCTGGAGAAGCTAGACAGCTTGACTGTACTGGCACTGTGTGCTGACTTACTTCCAGAAAAGGAGGGCAGTATAGCAGCATTGTACTTGATATTCCAGACCCCATTTAGGAAGAGGTCACAGCCCTTATGTGCCCCCAGTTCTCTGACATCACCCATGATGTGGGGCTCTCTTGCCCGAGAGAGGGACCATAACAACTGCCACTGACACAGGAGTGCAGCTCAGACTCTTCTGCCTGCAGCCTTGAGTCCACACTGTACTGACTAATTGCCCCTGTCACACAAAAACATAACAACAGTTACTGACAAGAGGGGGTATTCGCAGTCTAGCTCATTTTGTTTTTCAGAAGCTAACTGGTCAAAGTATTTCATCCAGCTGAAACCAGGTTATCAGCTTAAATAACACGGCTGTGTAGTCTTATCACAAATCCCACCACTCGTGGAAACGGGAAGAGGAGCGATGTGCCATAAAAAACACAATAGTTGAACATAAACTTAGGATGATAAAGAACTTGCATCAGGTGCAACAAAATATTTACTAATGCATAACTGGACAACAGTTACAACACTACAAAAACAAGTCTTTAGTATTTACAATTAAGAACAGAAGAAACTTTTTTACCCAAAAGTTTGAGAATATGGAACAAGCTACCCAGCCATATTGTTGAAGAAGACTTCTTTCGAGGAGTGGCTGGATGAGATTCATGAATGGCCTCCTCTTGTTTGTAAACTCTTATGTTTTTATTTAAATATAATCACAGTCCCGGTTTCCATGGCTGGTACATTTTCCAGATGTAGTCTCTGAGGGTTAGTGACCTACAGTTTTATATTTCAACAAATGTGTTGGAACGTGACATGAACAGGCCTGCGTGCTTGAGGTTCGAGCTGACTAGAGATCTCCACCTCTTTCCCAGGAATATCCAGTTCCTGTCTCAGTTTCTTTCAGTAAACATACAGCAAGAAATTACTTAAAATTTTATTACATTTTGTGGAATGTTAATTAGAAGTCATAGCAATAGTAGTAGGTACAAAGCATTTTTCATTTCCCCTTTGTGCCTTTTGTTTGCCTAGAGAAGCAAACAAATCCATCAGTGTTGTACTGCCTGCTGGTATTGTCCATATCACTCTAGCACCCTTCCTTAGAGCAACACGGAAGTAAATAGTTCACAATAAGCTGGTGCTTTGCTTGGTTTCTGAGGTGGGGGTATCTGCTTTCACAGCGTTTGATTGGAAGCCAGACATAACCACAACTTTTTAATAACCAATAAGTTATGTGAAGGAAGACAGGATAGGCCTGAATGTGCAATTTTGAACTGAAACATAATAGACAGCATGATCCCTTTTCAATCACAAATCTCTTCATAGCACCAGAGCCTTTTCTCACAGTCCTACACATACACATACAAAATTCCCTTTCGATCCACATAGTAAGTAAGAAGAGAGCAAATGGACATGCAGCAAAATTTCTGGATATTGCATAGAAGCACTAAAGAACTGTGTGTTTCTCATGAAGAGAAAGAGAAGTGGACATACTGTAAGTAGTCTTGCAGAAGGTCCACAGAGCAGATATTCCACTGTTCAGTATCTCTGGTACTGTATTCTGACACTAGTCCTGAATTGACTTAGTGAAAGCTTATAGTTGTAAATGTTTTGGGGGCTGATTTTGACTTAGAACCCAGAGAACTTATTAAATTACGGTGGAAACTGTATCCCTGTGAGATACACCATGACATGACACCATGCTTTGATGTCTTTCAGACCCACTATTAAACATTCATTTAGATTTAAACTAGTGCTGCACCTTGGAGGTGACATTAAGATTAATATTCAGAAACTGGGAAGGAAGTGGGACTAAAAAATAAACAAAACAAATATGACCAACAGATATTAACATATTTATCTATTCCAGTGTCCAGATTTCCGAAGGCCAAGGGATGTCTCCTGTGACTGGGTAACTGGGAATGTCTATTGGACAGATCACTCCAGAATGCACTGGTTCAGCTACTACACAACTCACTGGACTAGGCTGCGATACTCTGTTAATGTAGGACAACTCGATGGAACAAACTGCACACGGCTCATAACAGATATAGCAGGGGAGCCTTATGCCATTGCAGTGAACCCACTTCGCGGGTAAGATCAAACATTTCCTCCAGTCCACATATTGCTTTTTTCTTACTGCTGTTTCATTCATTTTTTAGCCTGATCTTGTGTGTTTACCATGTCCATTTTTGTCATGTTCATTTAAATTACTTTTTTCAATTCTTATTCAAATCAAATAGTTGTAATCATCAGTTATCAAGTTGAAACAATGACTGTACCTCCTGGCATCCAGTATTGCCTACTGGGATTTGAGTGCATGCACACATTTAAATTAAAGAGTGCATTATAGAAAAGTAAAATAGTAAAAAGGAAGTGATCATTGGATAACACCACATCTGCAGGTCAGTGATGGTTGATGGTATCAAAGGGTCTCCATCAGAGCTACACTTGATGTAGTTTGTAGTCAAAGAAGGTGACTGTCAGCTTGTCTTTGCACCCCAAATCAGTGCGAATACATTGAAATGGAGCCAGACTGAGGTGTGCTGTGCATGTGGTTCAACAGTTTAAAATCATTGATTATTTCTAATCACAAAAGAGGAGGCTGAATTAAGCCTTCTTTGGTCAAGTTTCACAGTTTCACTTTTTGAAACAGGCAAATATAGCCATTGCAATATTGGAAAATATAAGGGGGAGATAGCAGAACAGATAGTTAACTAACTGTACTGTATTTCAAGTTCATATAGTAAACAACAGATGACATTTTGTTTTAGGTCCATTTAATTTTATATTAGCTGGACTCTTAGAATAAGAATCACGGAGTAGTGCTTAGGGTTTGGCTTTTATAACACTAGGAGTTTCCTATTTTCAATTTTTTTTAAAAGGGGGGGCACCAATGTAGTGTAAAAGCACTATGTCACCGACAAAAATAAAATTGAATTTTCCAATGACTTGATGAAGTAATAAGTCTTTATTTTAAAAAATTCAGTGACGCTACAGTATTGAAAAGCGTGTGGAAGTCAAATACTGTTGTTTCTCATTTTACAGCATGATGTACTGGACAGTGATTGGTGACCGTTCTCATATAGAGGAAGCTGCAATGGATGGAACGATGAGGAGAGTCTTGTTGGAGAAGAATCTGAGAAGGCCTACAGGTATTCTCCTTTACTTCCTGAAATGTACTTACCAAACAACACTGTAATTGTCTTTGGAATATGCCTTTGTTTGGGCTCCTGTTCTAATTAGCATTCTACTGAACAGCAGTTCAGCATTCTTGTGGGCTGTGTGTACACTGCTATTAACAAGCTAAGCCTTGTAAAGGTACCGATCGTGCTGCTTTCATTAAGAATATTCTGCCCATTTAATAAGGAGAGCCTGTAATGTGGAAAAGGAGAGGGTCTTGAACAAAAACATGAACATGGCTGGAGATTTCTATTTATTTTTAAAGCAGCAAGAAATGTGAAAAGTAATTTACCATCACTAATACCGCTGATCATCTAAGGTTAGTACTCAGTCCTCAGAGAGACTGAATCAATTCTACCTGCTAATCTAAGGTTTTAAAGGACTTCACTTCCTTCTGGCACATTTATTGGTTTGTAAACTGAGCTCAGAAAAACAAACACAGTTCATTCTTTCTGTATGTATCCTGAAGTACCTTGCCGGGCTTCATAGCAAAAAACACTTACCACTCATACACTGGTTGGGCAGAGTTTTTAAGGTGTAGTAAACATGTGAAAAGTTAGTACAAATGAGTTGACAACTTGAAATTTCTTCAAAAGTACAGTTTGTTGGCCACAGTTGGCATTTCAGCAGAATGACCTAGAGTAGTTTTACACAGTATGAAGTGCACCTGAAACCATTTAGCCTCAGTTACACAGCGTATATTCCTGTTAATGTATTGAACTTCTGTATACAGAACATAAACACTTAACACTGAACACATGAAGAATTCTACTGTAAAAATAAAAGATCATTTTAAAAATACAGGTTTAAAAGAAAATATGAAACTCCAAATAATGTATTTGATGAGCTACATACCTCCATTTCTAAAATGTCTAATGTTCATACTGTATGCAGTGTAAAAAACACAATGCAGTTTTAAATATAATTATTAGAAAACAATAAGATGTTGATTTTAATTCAAGTTCAAGTTTATTGTCATTACACTCATATACATGGTATATGGTATAACGAAATGCTATTTAGCTAGCTCTCGGACATAAGTAGTACAAAGAGAAAAAAAACACAACAACAACAATACAATTGTGCAGCAAAAGAAAGACAGAGACAACAGGCAGTGTGCAAAAAACAACAACAGACAATGTGCAAAAAAAACAACAGGCAATGTGCAAAAAACAACAGGCAATGTGCAAAACAACAAAAAAAGTAACAGGTTTATCACTGTGTTAGGGTATTTTTTGTCACATCAACATTGTACTATAAATACAGTTACCAGTCTAGTAACCCACTCCAATTCTTGTTTCAATACTATTTTTTCAGTTGTTTTTTGATCTAAGAACTAATGTGGGGAAAACTGAATGATTTCTTACGTGTTTTGGTCTTCTCTGAAATATACCATGTGACTGATTTGTAAGAAAGCCAATATTCATCAGTGTTCAAGGAAATAATAAGTAATTTTATATTGAAATGTACTCATTCAATTTAGAGGTTGGGGAATTCATTCCAAAATGTATTCTTTATTAACCCCTTAGTAAATATACCCCATAAAATTCTGTGGAACCACCAGAGGGACCATACTGAGTCAATATTTACACAGACACAGGTCACAATTTGCAGTATTTCACCAACAAAACCAAAAAAACTTTACAGAAAACCTTTTTATCAACCGAAAATAGACAACGGGGGCATCACAAAACCGTTTTCAGAACTGAAATACAGTACACCGAGGCAGTGGATCACAATACCACTTTCTATCAGATGACACACTTCAGCAAACTTCCAAAGTGTGTCAATAAGCAATCAATAACCCGGCAAAACATGAGCGCAAAAGCAAAAACCAGCAAAAAAAAGTATACAGTATGTCACAAATTTTTACCTTGTCCGGGGCATCCGTAAGACCAGAAATATATCCACAAAACGCCAACTACACTCATCTCCAGACCTGGACGAAACTAAGAGGTATTGGCTATTGGAACTGAATTTTGAAACTGACCGCATCTTAACAGCTGGTCTGATTGGTGGAAAATGCTGTTATTCGTTGTTATTCGTTTCAGCCACTCAGAGCCCTTGGGGGATGGGACATCCTCTGGGATATTTAAGGGAGAAAATTCCAGGCGGAAATTGGCTCTGATCACCACTATAATTAACTTGATCACTTTCTACGAACTGTTACAATTTAAACCCCAATTTTACCTGCCATGCTTCTCCACAAGGAAATTGCAACTGAAAGTTACAAAGGTGTATGGAAAAAAACTTACTTCTTTCCTCATTGCATCGTTGCAGGTCTTGCTATTGATTATTTCAACCAACGCCTGTATTGGGCTGACGCAGAGCTCTCTGTGATAGGAAGCATACGTTTTGATGGATCTGATTCCCTGCTTGTCATTGGCATCACACATGGTAAACTTCAAGATTGTTTTATATACTGTATACAGTATACAGCATCTTAAAAGAAACTATCAAACAGGTCAGAAGGGACAAGTGTCCTTATCTTAGTTGTAACCGTTCTTCTGTTTTTAGATGTGAAATTATTTAAGACAGACATTTGAAACAATATTCAGTGCTGCTTCTGAATTGATGCTGCTGTGTTTTATTCTTGTTCTTTTTAGTTTTGTGTTGTATCATTACAGCCATTTTTTTACCATTCATCTCACAATTTGTTTTCTATAAAGGATAAGATGTTGCCTTTCTAGAGCAGTATGGCTTATCCAGTGTTCAGGGAAACAACAGTAGTGATATCAGTCCTCTGAATTCTCATGAATATTGAATATATTCAATCTCTCCACCTCAGAATAATATTCTTTCAGCCCCAATAGGTTTGATGCTCATATTGAGTTTGATACCTGGGCGTGCAGACTCCAGTCACTTATATTACACAAGTCTTTGTTATTGAGCGATAGGCTGAATTTTCAATGTCAGAATATTGACCTTCTTAAGACCAAGACACACAATTTGGTTCAGTGCTTTTTACCTGTCTTAAACAATTGCCCTTTAGCTATCTGAAGAAACACATTTAGCGACAAATAATGAAAATGTCATTTTTACAAAAAAGACTCACGGTCATTTACTGAGCTTGTAACAAAATCCTCATTGTATTGACAGATGATGCTGTAAGGTCTTGCTCTCAGTATGGAATGTGGTTGGCACTTTAAACAACACAGTCTAAAGAAAAACAAATTGCGGTATTTATTTTGAAGCTGATGAGATATTAATTTGCTTTGACAACTGCATTGATTAGTCTGCATTTTCTTTGGAGTCTTCTCAGCACAAGGAAACTGCTGCCTTAAAACTCACTTTCACTGTTATAGGCTGTGTACAGAAGAGACAGAAAAAGCAGATGTAAAGCAGATTTAATAAGACACATGCACATTATGCACAAACATATTTTATTACTAAGCATTACCAGTTACCAATAAGTATTTAATTTGTTTTTAAATATTTTAAAAGTAACATCATTGCTTGGAAAGGGTTTGGTTTTCTTCCCTGCTTAGTAATAAGGTAAACAGCATTGTTCTCCTGATGGGTAATGTCTTTTGCAATTGAACCTTGTGAAATCTCTAGATGTAGATCCTGTTAATAATAGAAGAGCTCACTACATACATAAATAATGAAGCAGAAATGTTTACAGCATTATATTAACACTTGCTGCTTGTTTTGTTTTAGGTATTTTGCAGCCTCATAGAATTGATATATTTGAAGATTATATTTATGGAGCAGGACTGAAAAACAATGTTTTTAAAGTTCATAAGTATGGACACACTCCAGTGGAACACCTTGATCTAGGAGTAGAGAAAGCCACAAGTGTGCTGATTTCTCACCGCTACAAACAGCAAGATGGTGAGTGACCACGGTGCACATCTGTTTTGTCCGCACTCCATGATAAAAAACATTCCTTTCCAACACAGAAGATCCATTCACATCTGTTTAATTTTTAAATTGATTTAAATTTATTGAAGTTAATCAGTTCTTTAAAAAAAGTATAGCAAGTTGAAAAACAACAAGTGACTACAGTTTTAGAACAGAAGGCCTTTTATCAGCAATTGAATTTCTTTTCATGTCTCTGTGATGAATCCAGCAAAATACCACACAATGCCATAATCATTAGTTTTGTGTTTTATTAATGAAAACTGTGTTTTAATTTGGAAATATGTGATCTTTGTTGCTATTCTCTTCTTGAGATGGCAATGATGATGGTTATGATGATTGTTATTCAGTTGAAATGTACAGTATGAAAGGTGTGGATTGAATTTAAATGCTATTTTAATGTTTGCTAATCTTCATTAAAATGCTCAGAAAATGTATTGCAAAATACATTTCTAACTGCTGAGCACTTGTTTTGTCATGGTAATTAGGACTGTAGTGGATAGGAGGACTCCAAATCCATTTTCAAAAATGAGAACTGAATGTGCCATGTGTCTGCTTGGCAAAAATAATAAATCCATTAAAAGGAAGAAAACAAGTACCGTTGTTAGATAAACATTACTCCCTTCTTACATGAGGAATTAACTGTCTTCCTTCACAACCACCACACCTTACACAGAGAGTGAAGTAAGAGACAGACACTAGTGATCACCCCCTTTGCCTTTATCTTTCTTTTTCCCTTTTTTGTTTTGTTAAACCAAGCAGGAATTAACTGCCCCCCTGGATAGAATGTCTGGCTTCTTCTGGCCTGTTTTGTTTCACAGCCCAATTCCGTATATATAAGCCTCAGCCAGAGATGAAGTCTGACTCTTCCAAATATAAATCCCCCTTTCTAACTGGATGGAATATTTACGCCTTCGCAGCTGTGTGCAACCAACAGCCCTTTAGATCCTGAAGTCTCTTATTTCATTGGTTGAACAGTTAGAGCTGCATGTGTGACATCGTCTGTAGTGTGTTTTTGACCTTCACTAACTGTGCAAGTTGGCGCACATCATACTTGATGTAGCCAAAGGATAAGTTGCTTGTACTTCACAATACTGGTCTCAGTAGTCATATAGATTCTCATAACATTTCTGTTTAGGTCTCAAAAGCAGCTCCACTTTTTTCTCTCTCTAGCTAATGGCCTGGGGCTATCAGAGTTGTTTGTTGTTCCTGTAGATTTGATGAAATCCTGGAATAAGTTTTGTTAGCAGGAGCACTCTAAAGGTAGTGGCCCGTTCTAGAATTCCCCTTGCTTTATTAGTCAAAGAAACAGTCCTCAAAAACAAATGATATACAAGAGAAACAAGAATGATGTTTAGAGATAGAATGATGCTATCTTAGACCCTGCACTGCCAGTAACACTCTAAAAGTGTCTACACTGTATACTGTATATACTATAAAGAATAAAAGAAACAATCTTACTAATGTACTTCGACAAACTTTGTCTTTTTCGTACTCTAACCCAGATTGTTTAAATATTACTTACTGTTATTTGGCATATAGTTCCTCCTGAATGTTTAAGACATGTCTTCTTTGAGTTTGAGTTCTATAGATTGCCCGAGGACTAAATTCAGATCTAAGAACTATTGGATTTTTTTAGTGTTGTAACTCAACTGTTCAGTGAATAATAATAATTATTATTATCTATTAGCAGAATTTAGTTTTCAGTGACTCTTTAGGCTGGTAACTGTAAAATGTACTGCAGGAATAAAACCTTCGTCTGAAATGCAATGCAAATGTGACTGCTCTTTTTATTTATTTTCTGTTCTTTTAGTAAGTAACCCATGCCTGAAGAGGAGCTGTGAGTTTCTGTGCTTGCTCAACCCCACTGGAGCCAGTTGCTTGTGCCCAGAGGGGAAATTTTTAATCAATGGATCTTGTGGCGATATAAATATTTCAGGTACATACTTCTAGTTTTTTTACTCTGTACTACAGCCAATTCTGTTTCTTTCTTTTGTCTTTCTTCAGTCGATTTTTAAAATTAAGACATGGATAAGAAAGACCTGAAATGAAATTGAGTGCCAGGGCTCACAGTGTGTACTGGGTGGCCAATGTACAGTAGTGCTCTTGCAGGTTTACAGGTACTCCTGCACACTGCTTGCGATGGAGGGCATCATGGGATCATGCCTCACTGTAGAGCTAATGCAACAGCACTTATCAGAGCATGCTCAGGCTCATCGGCTACTCCAGCAATCATGATTGATAATAATCCATAGAAACCTGCTTTTCATTTTCAGTCACTTATTTGTACAGTGCAATCAAAACTTCTCTAAAACGTAGATTAAACAGGTGTGTTTCAAAGTAAACACAGAATAAGATATTTCATCAATAAAGTAAGATTTCCTCTGAGTTCAGAAATAGACTGGTCTAGAAATTCTGCTGTACATATTGTATTACAGACTTGATCCCAGTGTTCACAATCTGATGCCTGTTTTTTTTTCAGGAGAGCTGTGTAGACCTGCTTGTGAGAATGGAGGTCGATGTATAATCAATGAAAAGGGGGAAATGCGATGTTACTGTTGGCCAAATTTCTCTGGAGAGAGATGTGAAATCAATCATTGCAAAGACTACTGTCAGAATGGAGGAACATGTATGGGGTCTCCTTTAGGTAGGTACTTTACAGTGTTCATGTCTCAGCTCTCTAAGAAAATCTTATGACATTTCTTGCAGTCTTGAAAACCTGAAAGAGGCACACCAGGCTAGAAGAAAAGTATATTGAAAGCTGTGAGATTTATACTTAAGCAATTCAGTTCTGACAGCTTGTGTTCAGTGCTGGCTCGTTACTGATTCGTGTAACTTTGCATTATATTTTCAGTTTTTAAGAAGAACAAGTGGAAAATCAAGGAGTACAATACAATTCACATTTCTGTCAGAAGGAAAACAATTCACTAATATGCCATACATCTAGACAGACATCTCAAAGAGCTAAATGTTTAAAGACAATATACTGTACCCTTTGCCAGTTTTCTGAAATTCTACCTTTTATTTGTTGTTTGATGATCAGTGCATCTTTGAGATTTTGATTGAACATGGTGTGAATTTTAATTAATAGGTTTTGCCTGCTGCAAAAGTGTGCTGTAAAGGTTTAGATACCAACTTCAAGCTTTGCAGCAAGTCAAATGATACATGTTACATGAAGCATACCGAAAGGCAATTATGTGTACTATCACCAAGTCCCTAGATAATCAGGAAATGGCTTGATTCAGCAGAGCAGTGACCCATCTGGGGTGGTTAATTTTGATCATTCCATTTTACTGTGATTTTTCCTGAACGCTAATTTAAAGGATAATTTTTTTTTTTTCCGTGTGTTAATAAAGGCTGCTTTTGAATGAATGCTAGGTACATTGTAAATTTAATAAGTATAAATTAGCATTCTTTAATCTAGGTCAAGATTAACCTTTGGCCCACAAAATAAAAGCAGAGACATTATTTCATGAAAGGTTTCCATGGGGTAAAAGTTAAAAAACAACCAGATGTAAATGAAAACATCACTCTGGCATTGGGGCTTTAATTTGGACTGAATAGCCAGTGAAAGCTCTGGTTTAATAAAAGCTATAGTACAGAACAGTGAAGAGCCTCTAGCCCTAATCCTAACCCTGCACCTTTCAGTGTGGAAAACAAATGCACCAAAACTACAGTATGTGTTATGTGTATGTGTATGTGTTAAATCAGATCGCTTGTCCTTTCAATATAATCACAACTTGTGTTCTCAATGTACAGCAGTCTGAACTAGAGGTGAAATAGTATATCCTAAATCACTCCAGAATCCAATATATAATAATGTGTATTTTTTATATATAAATACAGTGTATATATATATATTTTACAGTATATATAAACTGAATGTTTTTAACATACAGTACAATTATATGTTGTCTAATTTAAATGAAAAACAATATTATGATACCAGTCTTTTTTTCTGGGAGTGGGTGCATTAATGTTTTTAAACAGTCTCTTCAGGATCCCTTAGTCAGATGGGTGTTTTGTGTGTGAGATTTCTATATAGAGTAACAGACTTTGATAAATCCCAGGAAGGGCACCTCTCAGAGGTATAGGCCTTTATCAGATGAACTCCTTAGCCCCAGTACAGACATACTGTACAAATCAAAGAAGACGTATACTGTAATATCGATATACTGAATTTTAAGCAAACGCCTTTCTAAATGTTTTCAGGTCTCTTGGCCTAATTTATCTGTCCTGGTTCAGCCTGATTGAACTATAAACTTAATTGTCACTATTGTGATAAGAAATGAAGTGTTTTGTAAATGTTTTTGTTCTTAGATTATTTTTCTTATATTGTGTTTACTTTCTCTTTTTTTCTTTGTAACTTTTTTTTAAACTAGATTTGAAAGGCAAATCACTTTTTTTAAAACAAGTTTATGAACTTTACATACTGGAAGGAAATTAGGTACAGTATTTTACTGTAGGTGGTTTGAGCATGAATCTTGTAAGTGTCCAGGGTTCAGTTCCTGTCTAGTCCCAACAGGGAAGGGAGCTGGCCCAGCATTTAATCCCTGTCTATTCCCACCGCACAAGTATAAACCCAATTGCCTTATAAACTGGTAGAATATATGGCAATGATGACCACAGACACATGTGTATGTACAGTATGTGTAAATCCCTTTGCAAATTTATCAGGTATTTTAAATGTTTTAACTTCAAGTTTAGTAATGTTTTAGGACACATTTTTCAGAACACATTATTTTTCATCTATATTTTTATCTATATCTATATTTAGATTTCAACTGAGCACTTTTTGGAACTCAAAAGTGATATTTTCTTTCCCATGTTTAGCAGACAGAAGGACCAATCCTTATGCAGATGTAACAAAATCAAAGCCAGGAATTCAAAATTATGGGTGTTAACACACAGAAAAATATCCTTGACCACAGTGAGAAATCCAATAGTGAAATTAGTATTCTTCCAAAGTCATTAAACAGTAAATAATGTTCAGCAGCTGAACTGAAAGGTTTTTTATATTAGAAGGAAGATGACAGAACGGGCAATGATGCTGAGAAAAGAACTTTCAGAAGATGTGGCAATGAATCTTACGTAGTGTAGTGACAGGTTCATTCTGAATGACAGGGGTATGATCTTGTGATTTATATTGTAGCAAGGACTGACAATAGATGCATGCACATGCATGTAAGCAGGAGAACATGCTGTGGACCAAGAAGTAAATGAAGAAACGTTCTAGATCTTGGTACTTTGTAGTCTACACTGTGATGTAAAGGACATTTTCCAATAATTCTGTTCTGGGAAAACACAGTTTTGGAGAAACCCAGATGAAACTCAGCACTTTGAAAGCTTTGGAAGACTTTGGGAACTACAAAGATTGTGTCTTCATATGGCAAATGGTTTGGAAATCTGGCAGGTCAACACTCACCTTCATAGAAGAATGCAGAAGAACAGAAGAATAGTGAAAGCCCAGCCAAAGGCATGCTGCCAGTGTTTTCAACTAGAAAGCCTGATATAAATTCATGTGATTTCCAGGTAGATGGAGAACACTGTCACACAGCATGAATCGCTTCAGCAAGGAAAGAAGATCAAGCCATTCTCTCATTAGCACAGGCATTTCAAAGCCTGAATTTAAATGGAACACCTAGACTGCATGTGTTTACAAAATGGAAAAGGTATTCTAGCATCTGTTCAAGACCTGAAGAGAACACTGGCACAAAAAAGAAGATAATTATTACATTTGACAATAATTTTGACTTCTTGCCAGGAGAGAACAAAATGTTTCAATGATCTGAATTAAACAAGTGTTATTTATTTGTGTAAGTGATTTTATTTTGTAATATTTTAATAAAAATAAATATTAACATTTAATAACACTATTATTGTTGTATATAATTATTATTATATATTATAATAATATTTTAAGTGATTGTTGAATGGATGTTTGAATTATTCAAATAAGTTTTTCCAGTTTCATTTTGTATTTTCCATACAGTAGCTTTATTCTGACTTCCAGAAAGATATTTCAGAATATTTACACATTGAGTTGTGGTCAGGTTGAATTGTTCATAAACTGTATTATAGTGATGTGCACTATAGATGTAAGTTAACAAGAATAGCAGTTTGTACTTTTATACAAGATTGTGCTTTCCCTTATTTATACTGTACATAACTTTTCCCTTTGAGAAAAACTTGAGAAATGGAGAAAATTAGATGCTGTTATCTGTTATTGTCCCAGCTGCTGGGCAGACAGTGCCTATTATCTTTGAAGCTTTATGGCTGAATGCATTTTCATAAAGGGGTAGCCTTGGTGCATTGAACACATTTCCTTTGGCCAGATATATGCCTTTAAATAAGAAAGAATCTGTGCATTCAATATCATGCCTTCTCAGTGGTGGTTCTTCCACTAACCAGATTTCTCATCAAACTCTGTTTTAGTCAGAAAACACAGCTGTGCACATAAATCTTACAATATTATGTGTCATCAACTATGACCCTTTTTTTCGGTCGAGATTGTATGCATCAATCAAAGTAGGTATTCCTTGAAAAATAAAAGTGTAGTGTGCGTTCAGTCATTCAGATTGAAACATGAATAACTTAAACTGGTAAAGTTATCTAAAGAACTATACACATACTGTATAATGCACAAAAGTATTCACCCCTTCCAGTAATGCCCCAATTTATTGAATTGCAAATTATGTCGTGTATTTACATTTTTTTAAATTAAAACGTTAATGCTTAAACTAAACATTTTGAGTCATAGTGACGGGGACTCTATACTGTAAAAAGGAGCTGTCCTTTAGATAAGATGTAAATCCGAGGCTCTGACTCTCTGTGGTCATTAAAAATCCCAGGGTGTTTCTCGAGAAGAGTAGGGGTGTTACCCCGGAGTCCTGGCAAAATTTCCCACTGGCCATTACCAATCATGGTCTCCTAATAATCCTCATCTCTGAATTGGGTTCATCACTCTGTTCTCCATCCCACTGAGAGCTGGTGTGTGGGGAGTGTACTGGTGCATTCTGGCTGCCATCACATCATCCAGGTGTGGCTGCACACTGGTGGTGGTGGAGGGGATCCCCATTACCTGAAAAGTGCTTTGAGTGGAGCATCCAGAAAAGCACTATATAAGTGTAAAGAATTATATTATTATTATTATTATTATTATTATTATTATTATTATTATTATTATTATTATTTACTCTGCTGCCAATTTTTAATTAGTACAAAGCTATTAGTCATTCTAGAAATAGTCATAGTGCATTAAACATGTTAAATGTTTATCAAAGTTTAATAAAAATGTTGATGTACCCACTAATTACAAATTTAAACCCAATACTTGGTGGTGGCTGTTTACTAGAGGATTGTTACTTGTACCAAACAAAACCCACAACTGACACCAGCTGTTATTTGTGATTCACTGGTGAGGTGAGGGTTTTACATAATTGAGGTGTGTGTTGTATTCCTGAGTAATTTATATTCAGTGCTATACAGTCAGAATAACTTTGCAGGTCCATTTGTATAATTATTCATAAGAGCTCTTCCAAATATGTGGAAAAAGAACAAGGTATACTATACAAAGCTCCTAAGTTGTTGTTTTTTTCTCTCAATACAAATCATGTTTTTAATTTCACTCGTAGGTGCAGCATTTCTCACAGATTCTGATGAAATATGCAGCACTGCAGAACAAAACATTCTTCTGAATATACAGAGAAATAAATAAAAAATATTGTTCATCAGTACTGTAAAAACATTGCTAGTTTTATGAAGTAAAATATATAGTCAAATATCAAACGTTAATGAAGAAATCTTTGAGACTTGCAAGGTTAGGGTTTTTCTTCTTAACATCTTCTTAGCACCAACGAATGAGGTGGGTTTCATCGTTTGTGCTGTTTGTAAGGGGGCAACTTCACGGAGCTAAACTAGCGTCGTTCACAAACGGTAAAAACCTTACACTGGCCGCGGCCCCCCCCCACCCCCAAAGCCCGCACCTCTGTGTCATGTTTTTAAAATATATATATTTCATTCTCCGCTCGCAGTTTGATTAAATTGAGTTTCATCTCATTTATCCCTGCAGAAAAGTAGCGACAGGTCGTGTTTATTCGTGTTGAGCAGGCTCAACTCAAAACTGTCGATAGAAGCTAAGGAAAACGTGACAATACCGCTCTCTGTTTATTCATTTCATCTCGTCTGTTCCAGTACAAACATGACAATACATGGAACATTACTCATTCATTCACTTTCACTAAAAGGGTAAACATTGCAATACCTCACAGCTTTGTTCTTTGTCTTTCCGTGTAAAAAATACATGTACGCAGGTAAACGAGTAATTCATCCATTGAAATGGGATGACGAAAGAAAAGCTGTATGCCAAAGCTTTGAACCTAAAATACAAGCAGTATGAATCTAAAGCAGCCTAATGAAATTTTGTTTTTGCACAAAATATGAGCTCTCCGCTTTGATAAGTCAGAAAATGAAACGTCACCATTCCACGAGAAACAAGGGGGAACAGTGAATAATTATCAGGAAAAAGTGCTACTAGAGTTAAATTGTGCCAAACACACTTCCAAACAATGTCTTAGTTACCAAGATTGTCTGTGATGGATCTGCAGTTATAGCCATTTCTAAACGCAGTATAACTACTCTAAGGCTGCAGCTGCTCTAAGATCAGAAGCCAAATTAGTTAACATTTTAGTTGCTGAATCTTTGATTAATCTAATATGCTGAATGCTGAAGCAGTTTAAACGTCAGTCATGTTCTGTAGAAATAGTTAAAATAATTTTAAACTTACCAGTTGTTGTAGGGGGCTATGCCATTTTGTGACTAATCTATACAGTACATTTAAAAAATAATTCTGCATTGTTAAATTATTAACATCATTCTTAATATTGCCCTATCTTTACTGTGTAAACCAGACCACCTGAGATATCTATTAAAGCAAAATGCTAGTGGTTTCTTTTGAACCTCATAAACAATTAATAGAAAGATGTAGCGATGGCAACCACATGAGGTGCAGGGATAAAGCAATTAATTTATTACTTGGAACTGAAAAATGACTCATTATTACAATACATTGCATTGATCATTATTAGAATTATGCTTTACTGTCTAATGTATAGGATCTATGACTTGTCTGGCTTGTACTGTATGTCTGAAATCAGGGGTAAAGTTTCATTATCGCTGTCTATGTACGAAAAATGGTACAATAGCCTGTTTTTGTAGTTAATTTCTTGAAAGAAGCCAGGGAACAGGTTAAACAAAACGAGCTGGGTAGCTTCTTCCAGATCCCACAACGCGCTGGGTCAAGAAGTGGCTCCTGTTCTCGGTTTTAAACGCCCTTCCACGCGGTTTCTGTTGGTGCCCTCTGGTTCGTGTTTCGCTGTTCATTCTGAGTACTTCTCTATTTATTCTGAATGTTTCACCATTCATTCTGAAGTGTCCCTAATTTTGTCTTTCCGAAGGGAAGCCAACCTGCCGGTGTGCTCTGGGCTTCACGGGGCCGCGCTGTGAGAGACGAGTCTGTGATAAGTACTGTGTGAACGGCGGCACTTGCGTTGTAAGTGCAGGGAACCAGCCAGTGTGCCGGTGCCCCCCGGAGTACACCGGAGATCGCTGCACGTATCGTAAGTGTCGTTTTACACCCGTGGCAAGGGTGCTGTTTGTGTATTTGCCAGTTTTATGTTCATTGATTGATGATCCAGAGTGCCAAATGGCCTGAGAAAGAAGTTGTCTTCCCAACAAATGTTTGTTTCTGACATTTTTTTTCCCAGGATGTTTGTCCATTAGGTTTTCCCTTATTTGTAAAACTTTTGGTTTATAACAGCATGTCAATGGAAACATAGGCAAGAATTTTCCAAACAAAATCCATTAACAAACTGTGATAAAGTTGGCTTTAGCCAGGGAGTACTGCAATTTAAATAACAAATTAAGAATTAATTTAAATAACAGTACTTTGCAGTCTAGCTCAAAGACCACATTAATAGAAAAGGTGGCATTTTAGTGGTGTACGAAACAATATTAACTCTAGTTTACTTGACTCAGTTATGCATTTAATATTGTTAAGCACCCTTTGGGACTATATTCAATTTTATTAACATTTTTCTGGTGTTTTGGGGTTCAATACAAGATGCTCTTTCCTCCAGTTATAATAAAATAATAATAACATTTATAATAATTAATGAAAATGATCAACTTAAGCCAATGTCAGTTTTTCTGTCAAGAAAATGCATAACAAAATGCAGTGTTTCTTTGCTGTAGAAAAGAGAAAACTTTAAAAGGAGAGGCCCTAAATGTTCTTGGGATTTGTGATCTGTGGATAGTAGTGTTCTGTTTTAATTTATATTATTGTGCACACTGGGGGAACAAAACATCTTGCTCATTCAGTGTAACAAAGATACACAAACTTCCGTTTTTAATTAGTCGTGAAATCCAACATTTCTGCAGCATGCATTATTCATTCGCAGCTGGACACACATAAACATCCAACACAATTTCATGATGCTTGCGCTCATCCAAATGCAATCAACCCAAAAGGACTACTTCGTTAGAATTCTGAAATAATTAACAAATAGGATTTCAGTATGCCAGATGACATAGACGATTTAGGCAGAGTATCACTGAATCCTGCTCACCAGTCCTAATATTCTTTAACAAAATATTGTAAACACAATTTGGACTTTTCTTTGAAGTGGATACAGTAGAAATACCTTTTGTTGTATTTAACCAAATCACTTATTAGGATAATATACAGCATCATATCATGAAGACACTACCTTTCGGACATTTTCCACTAATTATTCAGTTTTTTCCATTCTTGTAACCAGTGATCAAAGTGAGAAGGAATCACATGATAAAAGAAGCAAAACATTATTTTTTTTTTTCAGTTGTCTTCTTACCCTGTCATTGCTTTGTTGTGTTAATACCTCTTTAGTGGTGGTAAGAAGCCATGCACGTTTGAAATAATAAGATAAGTGGAATCTGGATAACACTTTATTTGAATATTGCTACTGTATTTAATGGCATAATAATCTCCTCATAACCGCTACACAAGATGTTATAATCACAAGAAAGTGCTTTACAGGGACATGTGCAGATGACATAACATGTGCATAAGAGGTCATGGCATTTGCTTAGCATCATTTCTAGCACTTAATCTGATGCTTGTACCCTCTCATTAAAAGTGTCACAATTGTTTTTCTATAACCTGCATATACTGGTTCTAACATGTCAGTACACTCCTTTCCCGTGGTTTAATGCTTGGATAACCTGTGCTAATCTGCAAGAGTATATTGTACATCATTAGCTCACTGACCAGACATTGCCACCAGGAAAAAGTGTTATTTAGCCGTGTTTCTCATTATTCTCTGCCTTTATTTTATCTGTGAGTATATCAGATGTATTCTGATCTATTCTGGCTTTCCTTCTGTGCTGCATTTAACATTTTAAATAATTCAAATGAAATGGATACATTTATTTGTTGGGTGAAGTATACTTTTGAGTGACATTACTACAGTAGGTGTGATCTTTTAAGCAATGAAGAATGAAAATAGTAGAGTTTGTAATAAAATACATACATAGCAGTCTTTGTTTTCTAACTGTAATAGCTATTAATTTCTTATAAAATCAAGATATATCAATAATATGTTTCAAATAATTTGGGAAGACAGTTAGACTTGCAAAGCATGTACATAAGAACATCTGTTTAAATCTTATCTATTTAAAAAAAAAAATCAGCCAGAGGGTTTTTTCTCTATCTCAGAGTGCTCAGAGCTCTTTCATTAGCATGTGAATAATTAAGTGTAATTATTCCATATTAAGTGATGTACATAATTCTGATTATATCCATCCCCTTACAGCTGTGTAATTCAATTCATTAATTGATCGATTTATTTATGTATTGGCAGATATTTGCCACCACTACTGTGTGAATTCCCATGCCTGTACAATATCAAGCTCCGGGCTGGTGGAGTGCGTGTGTCCACCTCGTTACGAAGGGTCAAAGTGTGAGCTGGACAAGTGCCTGAGGTGCCAGGGGGGGCAGTGTTTAATTGACCACAGCACTGGAGATGTGGCTTGCAAGTAAGTGCTCAAGGACCGTTCAGGCTGTGTTGCAGACTTAATCTGAGTTTTTTTTACAGTTAATTTAAACTTTTAAACTAACATGTCTAGTTCAAAGTCTTCAAAAAACACTTCTGTCCAATCAGCTTGCAGCATGTAAGGCCAAAGCATTAAGAAGTAAGATTTCTTAGCACATAGAGGCTTAAATTTACTGCCTTCGTGTGCAACAAACTGTCGGAAATCGATTGGTCTGGCTAGATTGCTGTCTGAAGGCATATATTACTGCACATCAGTCAGCCTGCTGCAATAAAGAGCAAAATAAAACAGAGCAATGGGAGGAAATACTCCTTTTTCTGTGAAGTATGAGGTATTTAAGGAAAGAAGATTAGCAAGGCTCCTTTCAGCACATCAATTAGTTAATTGGTTGGTTGGTTTCAGGACATAACTGTACGCTCACATAATAACTCTTTGTTTTAGACACGAAGCACCCAGAAATATACTGTAGCTATGGACCAGTACATTACCTTTCATAATATTTAATATTCAAAGGACAAAAGCAACAGAGGAAATTAGTTTTTCTATCTTTATATTTCATCGCCCCACACAGCACATTTGATCTCTAAAGGGAGCTTACTGTGTCTTGCCTTTTATCTTACAGCTGCACCACTGGGAGAATTGCATCTAGCTGCCAGTTGTGTGATGGGTACTGTTACAATGGCGGCACCTGCCAGTTGGATTCAGAAACTAACATGCCTTTTTGTCAGTAAGTAATTATTTAGTGCATTTTGAACATTTTAGGTTCCCTTGTGCTAGCTCTTTAAATTTATCTTATTGTTTTGTAACTCTGAAACACAGAGTACGTAAAATAAGTACATGGAATATACAGTATGTCTCCCAGCTGAGGAAACATTAGCTGTTGGGCTGGACTACATGCAAGGCCTGCTGGAGATATAGAAGGATAAACGTTAAAAGGATTATCCTTTTAATTAAGCTCAATATCCAAAGGGTTGTGACTTGATTGGCTCTCACAGTGTGAAACATGCTGAAGAAAGCCGCTGATGAGCAGAGGTTATACAGCCTGGAGGAGCCGGAGATGTCCTCCTTATGAGAAGCTGAAGAACCTATTAAGAGGCTACATACTGTAGGAAGCGCCCCAGTAAAATCATTTAAACTAAAGAAGAGTTTACAAAATATTGATTTCGGGGATATGAAGAAAAGTGAATGTCACGCAGTTAAAAGACACACAGCTATTTCTGAATGATATTGAATTTACATATACTTTACAACATGGAAAGTCACACAAGATAAGTGATGCATAAAATGCTTTGGAGCACCATTAGAACTGATAACTGTTAAATTATATTATGAGTGTATGAAGTGAGGGTTAATTGCATCACATACCTATGCCCTAAATTTTTTCTGCAAAAAAAAGTATTTTCCCTTACTTCTGAAAAATGTGAAAATTGTATGTTTGTCGCTGTAAAAGCCTTATTCAAAAATAACAAATAAAAAAACAGGAAAAAATGTCATAGGAGCCATCTCGACGACTGATCTCTGGTTTGGTTAACAGACTTTCAAAGTAATGTTGAATCTGAAACATTTAGACTGTGTGTCACATAAGAAGATTTTAAGTGTCTACTTTTTCTGAATCACAATATACATATATTAAAATGTGTTCTTATGAGGAAGACATTTTCTCATACCCTTTTATCTTATATAATACTGAAAATGGAAGCTTAAAGGTACAGACTATTTTTTTCTTTAAAAATGCTCTACTTTGTCAAAGAGGATGACCTGTCATATTCCAGTTCTCTGTCATAGGAGCAACTCTGTTCTCCATTCTTCCTCTTTATCCTGAATCATTTATTAAATTGTTGAAAGCAGACACGGAAATGCTTTTTGCTGAACCTGATTTATTTTTACATGCAACATTTCAGCGAAAAAATAAAGTTTCAAAGAAGTCTCCATCATGTTTTTTAAGACAATGTCTAATACACTACACTTTTTGTCAAGGGAATCTTTTAATTAACATCCCAAAAATTGTTTGGCACTTTGCAACTTGTTTTTGTTAATTATTTACTTGCAGAGTAAAATTGAAATTGTTTTTGCATTTAATTAATTCCATATACCAAAAACACTTTGGCAAGTATGTAAAAAAAGGCCAACAATACATTTGGTGGCTAGACAGCTTTTAACATACAAAGAAATTGATATGAAAATGATGGGGTCTTAAAAATGAAATGGTATAAGAAACTCAATAAAACAGAAGCTAGGTTGACGCTGATTGATCCAGAGCTTGGTAAATGTCATCACATTCAGTAGTCACTCTTATCATGGCTCATCTGGGCATCATGCTTACCAGCTGCTCCAGAAGGAAGACCCATCACTGAACATTACATGCAGGCTTCAGAGTGGTCACACAGAGGAAGAGCAATCAAGCTGTTCTTGTATGGTGAATATTCAGAGCCTGAAATTGTTGCCTGCAAGAACTTGTGTTTTATAGATAAGGATTGAAATGATGTTGGGCAAGATAATTTTTTTTGAGTTTACGATTTTAAGAAATAGTGGTATTTCTCAAGACAGACAAGAGTCTGCTTTATAATTTGTCCACTAGTCCTGCCTCAAATAGTAAACTGTTGAACAACAGCCTTTCAAATGAGCAGGTTTAATGTGCCTTTAATTGAGTGCAATAGGTATTTTCTGCCAACCAGATAAGAAATTCATTTTAGCAATCCCCTAGAGAAGAAAAATACTTCACAATCTGAAGATTTGTAAATATATTTGTGTTTTAATTGACCTGTTTTGCCTGTTAAAAGTGTGATTATAATTGCATTATATACAGCTATGTTCTTTGCATTCTGTGTCCTCCTTCCAAAAATGCGTTCATTTTTTAAAATTGATTTTCAAATTTATGCATTTGTTTAAAGACAGAAACAAAGGCATGTGTATTAAATTGTACTGTATTCTGACTAGTCACATTTTACTGAACTTCTGCAGCTGCACAGCAGGGTTCAAAAGTCAGCGCTGTGATGAGAAAGTGAACCCTTGTGATTACTACTGTCAGAATGAGGGGATTTGCACATTAACTGCGTTTAACGAACCCAGATGCAAGTAGGTTACAGCCTTAAACTAAAACACACTCACCGTTTCATCAAAACATTGTCAACATTGCTTCACTTCTGCGGCGACGCAGGCGCTCCTCCATTTACTCTTCACATGTCCAAAGCTGAAACACATCAGCATCTCATTAAACTCTGGATATCTACAATTGTGGGTTTTTGGTATGAATGATGATGTTGCTGTGGTCTGTATGTGTGTTTATGAGTGTTTATAACGTGTGATTCCAGCTTTATTTCTGGTCACTTTTCTTTGCATGATATAAAATTGCACTGCAGTAAAGTACATGTAAATAACACTTTATTAACTAAAGCAGGCAGCATATCTTATCACCTGATTTTGCATACCCACAGCACTTCACCTGCCACTGTTTTGTAGACTCAGTGTTCTCTACATTTTCAGCATTATTAGACAGGAGTACAACTTAAATGCAGAACATATGCATTGTACTGTATATTCATTTTACTTCAATTATAGGACAAAAGATGAATGTTGATTTATTTGAAAATGGTTGGGCACATCCTGCATCCTCTCACATACACTGATTTTTAGCATTTGTTAGGAAGCTATTTGTAAAAAGTTATTTTTTAAATGCAGAAAATATATAAAAAATTAAAACATGTTTGACAATATGATATATACAGTATGTATATGTATTTCAGTATCCTTGGAAGAAAACAAAATTGAATTCATTTAACATTTTAATTACCAATTAACTCTATTAAGTACATTTCTAAAATAAGTATCAGAAATTGTATTATATAGTTGTTCTTAACTCACTTGTTATTATTGATGTCTTGTAATGTTGGAAGGGAAAGTTGTCCAACATGAAGCTGTGCCTTAAGGCACTCAACTTTGAATATTTTATCCAAACTAAACAAACCTGGTTGAGGCATTTTCAGTGAAACAGCATTGTTACTCTACTGTTCTACACATCAATATTTCAGGGCTGTTTCCACTTTACAGTTGTAATTCATTTAAATACCAATAACTGGATCCATTTCCTATTCTATTGAGTTTACTTACTTTAATTTAATCAACATCCAGTTGCCGTTGTCTTGATTCATGCTTTTCTGTCATGCCAGTTTTGAACAGAGAGAATAACTCACCTTCAACAGTTCTAATTAGGGTAGTGTTTTATTGTTTCTGGATTGTTACCAAACAAAATCTGATGACACCTGTATTGTGTAAGTGTTAGGACTGAAGATGCATGATGTAATTTACTCTGGCTTCAATGTGCATTGTAAATGTTTATCTCAGCATTGTGTTGAAGCATTCTGTATGGGATACAGGGCTAATACAAACCCACCACTGTGTCTTCCTTTTCGTAACAGTTAGCTATCTAATCATTAATGCATGCTTCAAATTTCAGCAGGATGTCACTGCTCTTCTTAGTGGGTTAGGCTGTAAAACAGCTGGTGCCCATTAATTATACCCTCTTAATTGCCTTCTTTTAGGTGTTCAGCCAACTGGTCAGGCACACAATGTGAGAGGCCAGCTCCCAAAAGCAGCCGGTCTGACAATGCCAGTGGGAGTAAGTACCTCAGAGCAACATTCACAACTGCTGTTTTATGATATAATTTGAATTATTCCATTTTGTGAAGTAATATTTTTATATAAAAATGAGAGAAGGCTTTCAAACCTTTGTTATATACAGTACGTACATACACTGACAATATAAAGCTTTTGTAGTTGTCCTATTTTAAGCCTGAGGTTTTACATCCTCATCAAGTCTTATTGTCTTCCCTTGCTCTAATACAGGGCTCGTGACAAAACATTTGAGATTTCAAGTGCTGTTGGTAGTGATTGCGTACTTCAGAGATGGTGAATGCAGATTATGTGAAGTAGAGAGGAATTGCTTTACCAATTGAATTAAGAAGGAACTTATGCAGGACAGATTTTACTAGCCCAGCATGGTATTTAGCCAGTAGTAGTTCTGAGTTAATGTTGGGAAAAAATGCCGAACAATTCCTCAATTTATCTCTATAGTGTCATTCCACAGTGTTTTCAAAGAAAGCTGTAAACAAAGAAAAATGAAACACAAGAAACTAATGTCTCCATGACTAATTGTTTTACTGTACCTGTGTGTTTTGTTTTCAACCATTGCAGGAAGTATAGCCATCATTGTGCCTCTCATCCTTCTGGTTATACTAATAACCACAGTTGTAGCCGGTGTTCTCATTTGCAAAAGAAGGCAACGGTAAGAATCTATATACAGTCAATTAATTCTTTTTAAAAAGCTCAAATATGCAACAGTATTTTTTTTTATTTGTGTTTAAAACTACCAATAAACCTTCTCTTGTATATTCAAGGGGGAAAAGAGTTCAGAGGCAGCCCATGTCAAATGGTGGGATTAACGTTGAGATCGGAAACCCATCTTACAACTTGTATGAAGTGGATCATGAAAATCACGAAGATGCTGGTGGTCTCCTGCGTCCAAACTTCACGCTCGACCCTCACAAGGTCAGTGAGTCATTGTGTTATTCCTGAGACTTCTCAATAGTTACAGAAGCCGACAAACATTTCTGCTATGGGAATGCAGTGTAGTGGTGTGACTTATGTGTCAAATGCATTACAAATTCTGAAATTACACAGTGAAGCAAAAAACACAGTGTAAGATGAAATATAGACAACCACACCAATATAAGGTGCTTGATTTGAATTCAGCTTGTGGGAACAGTGAAAAATTTCAAGAAAAAAATGCTAAATTACAGATCTCTTACAACAGAGAGTAGCAGTCCAGTGCTGGTGATAATGGCTCATAGGCAGTAGAGACACATTTTAAGATCCACAAGTCTATTATCTCTGTATACTAAGTTTTGGAAGGCAGATCAATTCCAATTCAACTCCATTTTTAAGTGGTACAACACCCTTCATAAGGGTTTCTTTAGAGGAAATTCATTTTTTATAATTGTTGATCCGTACAGGTGCATCAAAGTCATATTCATTCCCCAAAAATATAATCTGAAAAGCAAAAAAGCTCTGTCTTTGTATCTAAGTATACAATTCCTGTAAATGCTTTGTTAATTAAAGACAACTGTAATATATACCATCCTGAAGAATATTATATCTTTCTATTTTAAAGTATGCTTGGAAGGATTTATGCTAGAACACAAGATGGTGGATTTAGTTAATAACTAGTGTGACACATGGTTAGCAGCAAGGTTATTGTGGGGCAACTGGAATTCACAGTCAACCTCTAGGTAAGTGGAATCTGATCTGAAGTAGTAGGACGAGCTGAAGGCACAACCAGCAAGTATCTAATTTCAAAAGAGGAAAATTTCTGAAGGGCATAACAAATTGAGAGAAGAGACGGATACACGTTTTAAATCTGATTTTGCACGATTAGTCATGGGGCATATTTAAATATTGTAGTGGGTATTTAAATATTGTTGTGGGTATTCCGTGTTACCTAAATGGGGCATTGAATATGAAATTAACTTTCAAGCAGCAAATAGGAAGGCGTAGAATGCAAACTTTATTCAGTCAAACTGTTGCATAAAATAGTGTCCTGACAGCATGAAATTTGAACGAATATATTAATTAATTGTGTGAACTTCTTGCATCTATTTATTTTAATACTTTGTGATGTTACCTGTCTTAATAATGCTTTCTCTGTTTTTTATGTAATGCTTCTTAAAAAATTACACTTGCAAAAAAATACATTTGCCTGGCAACTTTTATTTTGTAGCTTTGATTGTTGTTGTTTTTTCTTTCTTCCAAAGTACCATTATTGTTTATTAAGGCTCTGCTTTTCAAGTAGAGATTTGTAGAATGCATAATGTAGCTAAAACACCAAATATCTCATAATTTTTTGGCATCTGGGAACCTTTTTTTATAACAAAAGAAGAATGCATGTCTTCAAAAAGTAATTTGCTTGCATAGTTATTTTCAAGACAGCAAAATGTTTTATTTATAAAATCACTTGACTACAAAAATTGAATACTTTGAAATAGGTATTCAGAATCTTAAATCTGATTAGAATTGATAGCAATACCATATATTAAATTATTGTACAGTATTGTAACGCCTTGCTTAAAAACTTAAATATGTGTAACTTTAAAATGAGTCGATTTCTTTAAATACTTGAGACTGAACATCATCAAATGGAATAAGTAAAATAAATATAACATACACAGTTGTTTCTTTGTTTCATCACTCTGAAGATTAAAATGCTTTTGTGGTCTTTCAACATATTTTATAACATCTGGGTCCGTTTGACATACAGTTCAGTACGTTCAGGGCTGTTTGTGGTAACAGGTGAGTCCCTGTGTGTTTTAGGGCTGGTGTGTGAGGTCCAGTCCCAGAAGCCTTCCTGTCCACACTGTCCCGAAGGAGATAATCCCCGGACAGGTAAATTCAACTAATTCCTTTCAAACAGTGTATCTTTCAGAATATCTCAGTTGTGCCACTAGTATGGGTTGTTCTTACTGTATGTACGGTTATGCTCGATTATCTATAGGCATGGATTGAAGAATTTGCCAAGTTATTAGTGTACAGATGATGATTATCTATGAGCTTCAGGCTTACTGTATATCAGATGAGTGAATTAATCAATGTTTAAGACAATCATTATTAAAGAAAATAAGAACACAAAGGAAGAGTACTAAAATCTTCCCCTTACTTTGCCTGTCTCAAAAGACAGAGATATGTAGCCAGTGTTTCTTGAAAGTTTGTGAACCCCTGTTTTTTAAATATTACATTTTTACTATGAAATCCTTGTTTAATCCAAACTAGTCCTTTTGTTTTCTATAAGAAACGGTTGATATCCACAAATTCTATGTATTGTTTAGAAATGTATTCTATGTTATTGTTCTAGAAAAAGAATAGTTAGGTAAGAATTTGTGCTTATGCAAAAGTAAATGAAGCTCATTCAATGAGGTACAATAAGTATAACCAGGTGTTAAAATAATTTGGTTTCAAATTAACCCATCAAAGTGCCAGTCACCAGGACATGTTTGGGTGGCTCTGTACTGTATAAAAGTAAGAAACCTAATCAATTTAACCACATACTGTAGGTTAGTATAACACAACATGCCATGATATAAAGAGACCTCAAGAAGAGTGTTTTAAGAGGGCTGTAAAACCATAACAAAATGTTTCAGAATTGATCAATCTACTGTAAGACAAATATTCTACAAATGAAGAAAATATAAGACCAAGGTGACTACCTAGATGTGAATGTCCTTCAAAACAGTCACAAGAAAGCTCCTACAGGATGTCTAAAAGACCATAGGACCACATTCAAGGATCTCCAGGACTCTCCTGCTGCAGCTGACGTCAACGTTCAAACCTCAGCAACATGACGCAGGCTGAGAGGATAGAGGGTGAGAGTGTAGCCGGGAGAAAAAGAACATCCCTGCTCATCTTAAGTTTGCAAAAAAAATCTGGATGATCCTGTAGATTTTTGGAAAAATGGTCTCTGGACGGATGTGTCTAATCTTTTTGGCCACAGGAAAAAATGCAATGTTTGGCAAAAACCTACCACCACAATGACCTCATCCCCTCTGCCAAGCGTGGTGGCAGGAGACTGCCAATGGTATGGGGCCCATTGACCTGGATGACTCACTAGCATTGAGGGAACTACAAGTTCAGACCAAAATATTCTGGAGGAGAATGTCCCTCTGTCCATGAATTGAAGCTTAGCTGAAAGAAGGATCCTCCAGTATGACGATGACCCTAAATATTCTACCAAATCTACTAAAGAATGGGTTAAGAGGAAGGAAATTTTGTATTTTAAAAAGGCCACGTCAAAGTCTAGATCTCAAACCAAGAATGTTGTGGCAAGACCGGAAGGAGGTTTTCATCCAAGACAACAAACAAAGCAGGAGCAGCTGAAGCAGTATTGTAAGGAAGAATGGGTAAAACTTCTTGAATGCGGATGTGAGAGATGAATTAGTAACTATAGGAAATATTTGGCTGCTATCATACAGTAGTGTCTAAAGGATGTGCCACTGCTTATTGAATTGCACGAAGGGATCATTGTGTTTCTGTTAAATAAATGTTTTATTTAATAATTAAACTATATATTTAATAATAAAACTATATATATTTGTACGTGTGCCCATAATTCAGGTTATCTTAAATATTGCAGTTCAGATTAAATCTTTTTTTAAATATAATTTGTCTGAAAGATGAAGGATTGACATATTTTTAAGCAGCACTGTAAAACAAAGATTTGTGTAAGCATGTGTAAATTTTATAGAGCATGCAGTGCAGTGTTCTTTATATTAAAATTAGCTGAAGCATTTGAATGTATAAATCTGTAAAAATCCTTTATAAAAAGGGTAGAGTGACACTTTCTAGAGAAATTAGTGACTGACTTCATATTTAAAACATAAGTGAATTTAACATGTATTCTTTTTCATATAATGTTTTGATAGACACTCAATACGTTAGATGCATTAGTTAGTATGTATTTTTATTGCCGATTAAATTTATAATTAAATCTAAGATTCCTCCATTCCGATTGGCACACATTTCCATTAATGCATTATCTGTTACTTCCAAACAAAGTACTTGTAAATATATTCAGTAGAATAATTAATTGTAATGTAGTTTCTACATCAGTAAATTATTTTTTTTCTTAGTTAAAGCTTGTGTAAGTAAAATAATTTACTGCAGTTACTATTAACCAAGGGGCAGTACAGATCTCTCAGTACATAACTCGAGCATTACACTTATTATAGAAAATACGTTCCACTAAAACATTGTGCTAATGGTGCAACTCAGACATATTAAGAGTACAGTGAGCATAGTTTGAGGGTTCTCTGGCATGTTTTATGGTTGCCCTGTGTTTATTTACATGTGGTCTAACAGAATGTCACAGTGTTTCTGAATGCTTGATCCTTCTGTTTGTCCCTTGGCAGTCTGCTTTACCTGATTAGACTTGTGGCAAAATGCATGACATATCTGCAGTGTATAATACTTTTTTGAAAATGCTCTAATTAATTAAAAACAAAATTAACTTCTTTTATGAGGAATGAGTAGGCACTGCCTATACCTAGTATACCAAAAGACAGGTAATGAATGTTGCCCCAAGTTCACTCTGCATTCAATCTCTTGAAAGCAGCTGGGAGACTTATATTATCTATAAATCAAAGCCTTGCAATTTATAATACCACAGAGGTAATGAAGTGTGTTAGTTTAGATTTAAAACCGTTAGCTGTTGTAAAGCAATAGTGATTGGACATTGCAAGTGACTGATCGCTAAGGAGAGACTTTTGAGAGATTTTATCAGCATTTGTCTAATACTGGGGTGGGTTTTGAAGGAAATATTTCAATTTTTAGGTATGAATAGAAGACTGTAACTGATTCTTTCAATTTTATTGTTAAGTTTGAGAGTTGATCCTTTACTCTGTGTTTTAGGTAATTGTCCTTTGGAAGCTCAGAGAGTGAGCTACTATAGCACTGAGTGGGCATCAGTGACAATTATACTGTATGTGTGAATCTCACATGCACTTTGTGATTTCATATTTGGCCAATGCAATGAGGAAAAGTAAAGGCAGTATGGGTTACAGATACAATTTTCATCGTGTCAGGGTAACATGTACAAACCTGTATTAAAAGTTAATGTGAGGAAGTGGCTTATTTGGTAGGACATTGTGCTAGTAATACAGTGCAGGATTCGATTTCACTGTTGTGCCCTGATTCACCAATTTGTCCAGCCGGTGTGGAGAGAAGACCATCATGAGGTGCACCTGCAGGAAGATTAGACACAGCTGGAATTTTATTTTCTTAAAACTGCATTACAATATTTTCTCTATACCACATTTGTCATACATTTTTAGAAGCATATGAACAAACATCACAGACAAAGAGAATTGCTTTTGAGGAGCTTTATTAATCAGCAATCATTACCAGTGTCATAAATAACAGCTGTGATCACTCATTGGGCCTGTAATATAGTAACCTCTGCTTGTTTAGAGGGTGTTTGATTACCTTTGGGGATGATGAAGTTCTTCTCACATCTTGTAAAAATACTGGCGATGAATTGTAATAAAGTATTTATTTTGTGTGCATGAGTTGATGTTCCCAAAAATGTTAAACATTTCATAATGTTAATTCTCTTAATTCATTTAACATGTTGGAAATCTTTTTTGGTTTTGCGCTAACCTGGGAATTGTGCTGTTGCAGCCTACGAACTACTCCAACCCAATGTACTCAAATCTGTACCTTGATGGGCCAAACTGTCGGAAACCAGTGCTCAGCATCGACGAGAGAAGAGAGCTCCTCCCAAAGAAGCTAGAGGGCGCTATACGGGAAACAGCGGCATAGCCTGATCTCACCCTCCTTCTTTTATACAATCTGTAGAAATGTAAAAAAAAACTAAAAGAGGAAAAAAAACTTTTCTATGTTCTTATCAGGTTCTGATAATCTTTTCTGTTTTTTTTTTCCATCAGCATTACCCCTTTGTTTCATTTTCGTGCTGAAAACTATTGAATTAACCATTTGTACGTTTTTTATGAATAATATCAAACTGCACTATATAATATAAGACAAAGCTGCTGATTTGCAAACACCATTAACACAATTAATTGATGATCCGTCAGGATGGTGTAATATATATATTATTTTGAAATATATGTTGCTTTTTCAGTATATCAATACCAAGCCATGTCTTAAATGTAGAAAGACATGCTTTTTATTTAGCCTAAGCATAATATGTTCATCAGGAGTTTCCTTTTAGTTTATACTTTTCTACATTATGTGCATTTTGGTTGCCTTTGTCACTTTGTTTCTTCACTTCCAGCAAAGATAAACTTTATGATGGAATTTTGCTTTTTGGAGTTTTGTCTCTCTGTGATGTTATGGCAATCACCACTCAAATAATGTATACGGTTTCCTGATTGTGTTTTCTTCTATTGTTTGTTTGTAACTACATTTTTATTTTTCAGAAAATATAACTTTTATGAAAACATAATACTATCCAGGTTTGTGGCAGCTTTTTTCCCCTCTTTATTTATGAAAACTACAGTAAATATCAGATTGTTCATGTGTATACATTCTTATTAATACTTCCTTTCAGATACATTACATATTTTTTAATATATACAGTATATCCATATCAATGCCTTTTTAATTTAATTCTGGTGTCATTAATCAATACTTGGATTTCAAAACACTTTTGTTATCTGAATATCATACAGCTGCCCCTCACACAATTTATAAAACTATACTGTGAAGTTTACAAACATGAGGGATGCTTTGGAGTGATAAAATCCCTTGTAAATTTTTCAGACAGACTATTGGATAGCCAGCCCCAGTATAACTCCTTATTTCTAGCAAAATTGTTACAAGGCTAAGCAAACTGGGGGAGAGAGAAGAAAATAATCTTTATTAACATGTTAGTTTCATAAGCATACATGCTTTTCTAAAAGGCTGCAATGGCAATGAACTATTCTCTGATATTTGGATCATTTAGATAGATTCGATTACAGACTGTACATAAATGGATACATTTAAACTACAGAAAGGTTTAACAGGATGTCTAGTAAATCTAAATTTAGGATGTTTTGCTAGTTTATTGAAAGACCACAAATCCAGGTGTTGCTATTGGATACAAAGGAGCTTGGATCACTTGTAAGTCTTATCCAGAAAGGCATTCCAATTGTATTTGATCTGCAGTAACTGCTGTTTTACCTACATACTGTGCACCTATATATAGGCCACACACAGAAACTACTTTTTAAAATGACCTTGTTTTGTTTAGATTGCTAATTATGATTTTTGTGTCCCTGTATGCTTTAGGGACCCATGTATGAACTGTAAGCAAGTAGCAGGCCAAATTTAAACCTTTGTAACTTCTTTTTTATAGAACCTACAGAGTACAAAACATAATTGTCTGATTATAATGCCATTCTGCAAATGTACTAAATATTACAATGTGGGATTTACATATCTAATTTGTTCCGTTGTGTTTTTATTTGTTAAGCGGCCTGTTTTGTCTTCTATTTTTCCCTTCATTAGCGAGTTCTGCTTTTCACAACACAAGGGGGCAGCACTTATATATACTGTATATGTCTATAGAGAGATAGGAGAAAAGTCAATTAATGTCCCCAAAATCATCAATAAAACAGCAAATGCATTGTCATTTCAAATAACTTTAATTGTTCTTCTAGTCAAGTATATGTCTCTCTTTTCATACTATAAAACAAACGGCAGTCAGTCGTAAATGAAAAGGGCTTTTTATGTTTATTGTTCATTTGAAATATTTGTACTATACGCAGTGGAACAGTTAGTCTTGTACCCCTGTATCATAATAACCTAAGAGGGTGAGAGACTTCTGGTTTTATAAAGGATGTGCCAATTTTCTATGACCTTCCAGTGGCCTTCACTGAATTAAATTCCTATGCTATTCGTGTAATTCTGCTTGTTCTCTGTGTCTCTACACACTTAAGGTAAAGTATTTATACAAAATATTTTGTTTTAGACATTATACTTGTTTTCCATGTTTGTGAAAATGAACTGCTGGAATACTTTATAAACATGATATTGTTCATACTTATGTATTTAAATGAAGTGATTGATAAATATTTACATTTAAGCATTCTGGATTTTATTCGGATGTCTTGAAACTATAGTCTGACTGTTTTTTGACTTACAGAAGTGATCATGTTAACTGCTTTCTTGTGAAAAAATATTGATTTCTTAAGAAACGGAAAACAAAACTTTTTTAACGAATGCACATATAATTACAGTACACGAAGGCATGTTTAAGCATACCACTGGCATTGCTTCAGAGTGCTTAAAACAAGTGAGTACTGTGAAAGAATTTTAAAAACACCATACATGCTAAAAATTAACCTGCAAATCCAAATACTGTACATCAAGTATTATTTTAAACTTAATTTACACACTCTATGGTGTTTTAAGCCCTGGATATGTTGGAATTCAAATTTTCTTTTCCAAGATATTAACGTAAACTGTTATAGGTTCAGGTGGGTAGTGGTGTCAGCATGTGTAGCGTATTAACGAAGAATTAGCGTATCATATGCATATATAGGGTGGCAATAATGAGTTTTACACATTATTTACAGTATATTGTACATTATATTTACAAGATGTTATTGCATCTTGACCAGGTGCATTTTCACTATAAGTTAATTATATACTAAAGTAAATGGTAAATTGCTTTAAAAAAACAGACAACCATTTTTTACACAGAAGATAGGATGACAATATGCCTTTTCATTGCACTCAAAAAATAAACCTTTATAGCCAAGAGATGCACAGCTGGAGACTGGAGATTCAACATAAATCTAATAACCATCCAGGACGATAGATTTACAGCTCCCTCACTAGGGAAGGTGTTACTTGTGCTGTGATGATGCAGCATTCCTATCACTGAGTATACACAACACATCAGAATTCAGATAAAGAAAAAAAATGCTAAAACGGTACACCAGGTTTTGGAATTAAATGTCTAAAGAAAATTGTCCATTAAGTTTTATACAGAGAAAATGAAATCCTATAATCTTCCAGGATCAAAAATATCTATGTATGTCTTATAAGGAACAACGTTTAGTTGAGTTATGAAGTCTGTGAACCATTGAGTTCATGAAAGAGATTAAATAACCATTGGAGATGTTTTGCTACCCTACAGTATGCTACAGTCAGTTTTTGACTATTCTTCTGAGTGTTATGAGTTATTTTTGGTCATCAGCTTGTAAAATGCTCCAATAATTGGACTTACATACAGATTTAAATACAGAGACTGACGTTGCATTTTCACCTGAAGAACTCCTTGTTTGCACTGGCTGTATGTTTCTGTCATTGTCATGTTACAAGATAAAGTGCTACAGAACTATTTTGTTCTATATTAGCAGACAAAGTGTTTCTGTAAACTTCAGCATTCACTGTGCTACTTCTCTAATCGGTTAAATTATCAATAAAGATGAGTTACAGAGTTCCAGATGTGCCCATGACTATGGCATGACACTACACCCACCATGCTTCAGAGCTTAATTTGAAAGGACAAAGTTAATCTAGGGGAGTTTTGGAACACTTGTTAATGGACAGATGAGACTGTGAGTAAAGCAACTTGCAGTAAGTCTAGGGGTCGCACCAGAAGTCATAAAAATAGGCAAAACACAAAATTCATTATCATGACTATATGTAAGTGCTCCTGTAAAAGAAGGGCATTTACAAAAGAGAAACATGAACATTTAACAAAACTGCAGTTTCTCCAGAGAACCTTCTGTAGGCAATAAATCAAGTTGTGTAACACATACATTCACAGCCAACACTAGACTGACTGCTACACTATCTGCTAAATATCAGTTTGAAAACACAAAGCTCCACCCCCATTCCCTCTTGATGGACATGGAAAATCCCATTTCAACCAGAAGCGAGTCTGGTGGAACATACAGTACAGAAGACAAGGACAACACTGTGGATCCACAATAGGTGATACAAATACAAATAAGAGCTGATATGCAAATGTATATTTACCATAAAGTAGCAATAGAATATAAAAGCAAATCATACAATATCCTCCGTTTCCATATCCAGAATGTAAAGAATGAAACAGGTAAAAAAAAACGAGAGTTTAGGAACTCCTAGGACGGATGTCCTCATCAGAGGTCATGTGACAAGCATGTGCAACAGACCACCTTTGATCAAGAGCCCACGATACACCTTTTTAAGTGATTTTAACAAAGTTCGAAGTATACAGAAATAAAGGAATTTCAGATTCAGGAAAGAAAACCAGCTCGTTTGTAAACATACTGTATATCAGGCTCTGTAGATTTATTTTACAGGCTTCTAGGACATGCAACACTTCTGTCCTTCCAAGACTTAATAATAATAATTATTCATTAATTTTAGGAAATTTCTCCCTCCTCAGACTGAGCAATTTTTTATGTTTTCTATGGTAAATACCTGAGTAAAATATTCACTTACAAGTAATTCATCAACCATTTCTGTCATCATCTAGAAGAACATTATGAGCTCTGTGACACTTCATCATCTACTCTTCTTCTACTGTTGGATTAGAAAACCCTTTCAGTTGTTGTGGCTTTCATTGCAATGCTATTTTTTGTGTTGGCCTAAGATCTTTTTTTCACCTGTGTCTGCAATTCATAAACATCTGTGCTTCTAGTAGTGGGACACAGAGAACCTTCACACATTAACCAGTTCTCCCACTAATGATAAAACCCAGCTCTGAGGGACCCTGGCTGTTTTCATGCTGCAGAGACTTCGGAGCAAGTTTCCTGAAGCCCTAACCTTGCTCAATTACATTGACCCTTCCCTGGCTGCAGGTTTGTACTACTACACTGTTTCCTCAAGCCCCAAACACATTACCGGCACCTTCTCAACTGACAATGAACAAACTCACATACATTTATACAGAGATAAATCTAACCCCCATTTCCTAAGAACAGTCTTTTGAGGCCATTTTTGATGCACTCCAGTGGCGTCCCATTGTTACTGCATACCTTTCTGCAGTTGAGTAACATAATAAAGAGCATTTTTCTCGTTATTTTAATTGTGTTTTTATCCACCCCATGACAGTGCAATCATGCTAAGAAAGAAAATACACAGAGAAAACAGAATTTACAGAGAGATCACCAATATGGCAAATCCACAGTTTGGTGTGAAGGACGAGTGGACTGCACTAAGTTGGTAATGATATGCATTAATTTCAGATATATTTAGAAGGTGCAAGGGGTTTATATCACTGTTGATTCATTGAAAGGGGCATATGAGATGTGCCCTTGATGTTTATTTCATAAACGATGATTAGTAGCAGCTATCATTAAGAGCAGTTTTGCATGCAATGGAGCTGATTGAAAGCAGACCTGCTGTTTAGGTTCACCAGTGCAGTGACCCAGCAGGTGAGCAGGCGGATACAGCCACTACACTGAAGCCCAGCGTGCCCAGGCACTGCCCACGGTTATGTTCTACATAATTAATATTAACAAAGCAATTGTACTTCCACATCCTCGTATTTGCAGTCGGGCATCCTTGCACACCATGGCTCAAGAGTTTAATGTTCCTCTCTGCATTTACTTGCCAACAATCTTGATGTACGGCAAGTCTCATTCAGAATCATTAGCGTTTTAAGCATTGTTTTAAACCAGCCTGGGATTTAAATAAAACATTGTCATTGTTCCTTTTTCACATGTTTTCCAGCGATCAATATTGAAATGAAAAAAAAGTACCTACACATAACTACAGTACCAACACATATAAATGAGGAAGATATTCAGAAACTACATTATTGTCCATTATGGACATTTACCTTTGGCCTTACTGAGATCACAATAAAAACAGTGTAGTGCAGAGCAGACAAAACTTCCAATGGATTTTACAAGATCTGTTCAATTAATAACAGTACAATGCAATTCAATACAGGACAAAAAACATACTGTAAATTCAAGTATGACATACATATATGCTCAATGCAGATATGTAAATAATGTCATATGCAGACAAGCAAATACATATGTTTGATACAGAATATGTACTGTATATGTTAACAATACAATGCTCTGTATGAGTTCAGCCACCAGATTTTAAAAGAGTAATGGCACTCAGAATGAATGACTTCTTTAAAATCTTTTTTGTAGCCTTTGGCACTCTAAAACAGAGTCGACCAGATGGATTTTTTTTTCAAGTTTGAAGTGTGAGGCATCTTTACTATTAACATTGCACTCCTAGTACAAACATGGTTCTACTTGTTCTGACTCTGAACAATCATTTTGTTGCCCATGTTTATAATCCTCGAGAGCCTGGTACAGATGGAGAAATGAAGAGAGCACACTCTACCACTGACTTTGTAGTCCAGCTCTAGGAGGTGTTGGCTTCCCTCAATCTTCTCAAGAGAAATAATCTCTTGTTATTTAATGTTTGATAAGCATATTCTAAAACAGATTAGGCCATAATCTACAAATAAA